CCTCAGTTTATTAAAACTCTTAAAATGTATTCCTTGGATGAATGTGCTCACATATTTTATCACAAGTTTAATATCTTCTTTTAACTTATATTAATACCATATATTCAGTGTTTCATGTGAAGAGGTTTAATATTGTGAAAATTACTCTGTTGTGAAGTTTGCTGATGACACCACCATCATCGACCAGATTTCAAACAACCATGAGGCTTCTCAAGGGAGGAAATTGATAAGAAGTCTTATAGTGTACCGAGCACCTGGCCCGTACTCTGAATTCTTATCTGAATTTGCGGAGTTTTTGTCAACTTTAGTCCTTAAAACGGACAAAGTTATTATTGTAGGGGATTTTAATATTCATGTGGACGTTGAGAATGACAGCTTCAGTACTGCGTTTATCTCTCTGTTAGATTCCATTGGCTTCTCTCAGAGTGTTCATGAACCGACTCACTGTTTTAACCACACCCTCGACCTTGTTTTGGTGTATGGTATTGAAATTGAACATTTAGTGGTGTTCCCACAGAATCCCTCTTTGTCCGACCACTGTTTGATAACTTTTGAGTTTGTATTGCTGAACTACTCGCCATTGGGCAAAAATTTCTATACAAGATGTCTGTCTGATAGTGCTGTAGCTAAATTTAAGGATGCGATTCCATCAGCTCTAAATTCATTATCAAGTCACAAAGTAACGGAGGACTCCTATGCTAGTTTCAGTCCCTCCCAAATCGATCATCTTGTTGATAGTGCTGCAGGCTCGCTGTGAATGACACTCGACTCTGTAGCCCCTCTAAAAAAGAAGAGAAGCTCTTGGTGTGCAGCTCTGTGAGCGTCTCCCTAGCTGTCAGCCTTGGCAGTGGCTGCAGTATTCCAGCAGGTTGTCACAGATCACCTCCAGTAGTATCAGCAACAACACAACAGCAGCAGCAGCCGTATCCATAGCAACCCCTCAACAGCAACTGTCCCCTGTAAGTTATGTGTTTTAAAGCTAGAGTTGGGTATTCCCTGTTTCCCTGCTGCCACACCACCAGACTGCAGAGCAGCTTTTTCCACCAAGCTATCAGACTCTTGAACTCTCATTCATCCTCAGCACTGCTGCACTGATGATAGTTTATTCCTGTTTACCATTTTTTATAAATATTGCCTGCTATGTAGCAGAAAGGAGTTACAAACTTAATTTCACTCTACAACCTGTTCTAATGTGACAAATAAATCTACCTTGTATATTGTTTCCCACCATCTACATGAATGTGGAAAGTAGTTTAAGTCTGGTTGTTTCTCCTTGTATACTTTGTAACACTTGACCTTACAGCCCATAGAGTAATTCTGCCCAGTTTACAGTGCAGTACGTACTGACACATGATATGACGGGAACGCCATTCTGGGAGTAAAACTTTGGAGGGAACGGCGTTCGTGCTCAGATGGAAAATGTATTCAGTGTTTATATGGGGGGAATCGCTTACAGCTGTTGTACACATCTTAAAAAGGTGTTTCATCCGGACGCTGATGGGCACTGGCACTTTGTCAAAGCGTCTGTATTTGACGCCCTGAGATGAGAAGGTCTGGCCTACAGTATGCTCCTGACAATACTCTTTTATCTGGACCATTGTTTGTTCCAAAGTAAAGAGACAAACGTATTCTGTAGTGAATCAGCCTAAAGGTCCAGTTTCCAGAAACTGTAAACAAAAGCCATGTGGTGGAAATGTTTTTCATTATTGGTCATAAAGTCTTTAGAGGGCCAGGCATATGAACTTCTTGTTGGACAGCAGATATTACAATTTTTCTCGACTGTTTAAACACATTTCTTGAAATTATGCCTCTTTTTCTCAAAACTCTAAACACAAATCCACAACTTCTCACCCAATTCCCTGAACATCTTATTTTCAGGTCAAAACAAAGCTCTCTACTTAAAACCATTCAGTCTTGCTGAAAAACCAAACTTTGCCCTCAGACATAACACACAACACACTGGTGAGATAAATTCAAAACAATCCTAAAAAAACTTGTTATAAGTAAAGTTGCTTGTGGTTCTTCCTCTCAAAAACCTTTTGACCACATTGTCAATGACCGGGTAGACATGAGAAATGAAGAGAATTGTGTGTAGAGTTTAGGGTGTGCTTTCAGAAATATGGAGTTGGAAAGATGGTTTTGAAATGAGTTCAAAAGCCTGTTTATAGTGTTTAAGCAACTGAGAAAAACTGTAAATCATTTTATAATGTAGGCATTTGGAGGAAGAAACTCTGCATAAGACGCTCTTACACCTCAACTTGTTCACATTTGTCATACAGAGTGGACCAGTGAAGTAAGAGGGCCACAACTGCAAACATGCATGGAGAGGGACGACAAAGCACAAAAGTTCAAGAGTAATATTTACTCAAGTAACAACTGTGATGTTCTCCTGCTTTGCCAGACTTGCTCCTTTATCTCCACCACATTTCATTCGCTGATGGTTGTGTTATGTTGCTTAATAAACAGCAGATAACCTCCCAGTATCACTCTTCTTTCTCTCTCTCTCCCCTTTGACCTCCTTATTTCTTGAAAGATTGTAAATCCCTACATGAGGGGGTGGAACAGCTCCCGTGGAGCTGCTCAGTAGCTGGCAGCTTCCGGTGTGGTCGGGGCCAAAGAGAGCCTGGCTGTCTGTGAATGAAAATGGACATACACTCTCTACTCTTCTTCAGACTGAGAACTTTTTTATGACACTTGAGTGCAGCAGGTTTTTGAGACACAGCAGTGTATATTTACAGAAACAGGGGGCAGGGGTGTAGAATTCCGTAGGGACATGCCCCTACCAAGATCCAGCGTCTACTGAATTCTTCCTGGCAATTACTTGGATGAAAATGTATGTTATCCATCAGCTTTTAGTCAGTGTGTTGGTTCACAAATGGTTAACAGCTCTCATTCACTACTATGAGTCCAAATCATTTTTAAGTTTTAAAAGATTGTGTCCTCTCACTCATATGCCTCAAAGAGGACTTTCTGCCCCCCCCCATGTGTCTGTGACTCTGAGTGGCACCTGTACTGCACATCCAGTACTGTTCCAGAGAAGTACATTTACTTTTACTCACGTGTGCTCTGCGTGTGTGACAGTGCAGATTCTACCTGTGTGTGGGAGGAGTCCTGCTGCCAGACTCCCATCAGCCTGCCTCACCCTGCCTCACCCTGTTTCTCGCCCTCTTATGTAACAAGCTCTTTCATTAGATTTGTACATTTCTCCTTTACTGTCCTTTAGTGTAAAGCGGACTGGGATTCAGATCTTTTGTGTGTTTCACCTGTTTCACATGTTTTTTTCCCTTTTCTTCACACTGGTTGGGAGGGTGGCATTATCATCACAGATGTTAGACAGAATATTATATATTACATGAGGAGAGAGCAACTTCTTTAAGTTCTGAAGATCAACATTTCAGCAGACTGACATATTAGTGTATAGGACAGGTGTTTTAAATCCAATCAACCTTAATATACATGTGTCCACAGAGAGGGCATTCAACATCTGTGTGTGTGTGTGTGTGTGTGTGTGAGCGTCAGCCACACGTGCTGGCATATATAGGAGAACAGGAAGGCCGGGAGTGTTTCTGTGGGACTCCATCGGACAGCAGCATGGGAGGAGTTCTGTGTCTCATTCTTCATGTCTGAATGTGGGAAGCTGACTTCCTGGAGGAGGGGGAAGGACTGTGTTTCCTGGAATTCCATTAATAGAGGCTGTGTGCCGCTGCACGTTACAACTGCGCCACCATGTGGTCACACATCATGATTCTGTGATTTAATGTTGGCAGGAGGAGCCCTGTTCCAGTTTATCGGTGCCCAGTTGCTCCTATTGTATTTCCATGGCTCTCTTGAGTCTAGATGAGTGTTTAACACTTACTAGCACTATTTAACACTGCTCCAGTAAGATGTCAGCACTCTACAGGCTATGTCACAATCATCACAGGTCATGAAGGGAGACGGGAACCCAGCCTGGCTGTGACTGCTGTGAGTTCTTGTTCCTTTTAAACAATAAAGGTCTTTGCTTAGAGCATGAACCCACCTTATAGAGTCACACATGTTTTAGTGGAGCTGGTGTACATGGTATGTGATATGAGCATGCAAGCATCAAATTCCTAAAAGCAGAAGCTGAAGGCTTGTCTGTGTGAATCTGACTATTGATCATATGTGCAGCTCATCAGCTGGAGGAGTGGTCTGCTGTTTTTAGTGTCAGAGAAATTCATTTTCAGATTTTTACATCAGATCTTTTCAACCAACCCAGTAGTCGATATGTGGATGCTGTTGATTTTTATTTTACCTTTATTATCATTCATTTCTGACTTTAATTCCTGCCACTTTGGTTATTCTTATGTTGCTCTCATGTTGAAGTGTCCTTTTGCAAGATACTGAACCCCAAATTTCCCCCGATGGCTGTACCATGTATGAGTGTGTGAGAATGCTAGTTTCTGTTCAGAGCACTGAGGCTCAGTGTGTGAATGGGTGAATGTGACATAATGTAAAAGAGCTCTGAGTGGTTGGAACACTAGAAAGGCGCTATACAAGTACAGAGCATTTACCATGAACGGTATGTATTTACTATAATACAGTATTTTCCATTAGCCTTCTCAACTCTCTTTCTCAAAATGATGAGAGCCATTACAGAAATACAGTTGAACAGGCTCTGATGATAAATGCAGTATTTATCCAAGTGTGCATCTTACTCAGATGCTGTATTTATGATTCTATTTATTTATTCTGTTTTATTTTCCACATCACTCATAACTACTAATAAAGGCCTGTACTGTTACTGTCAGAAAGAATCAGATACCAGTCACAGGAGATATTTTACTGCACAACCAGTACTTGTACTACATGATCCTGAAAATACTTCTGTCCTTGAACTTCAGTAGGATTTTAAATGCTTGACTTTTATTGTAGTGGAATATTTTACATTGTGGTTTCTTACTTTTACTTACATTTTTTACACCCTGCTCTAACCCCAGACTGCAGTGTCCATATACAGTAAATGACAATGTATGGCAATATTTCTTTGTTTTGAATGTTTATTCAACAATGAGCAATAACACAGACATTTCACATTGGAACCCCTCAGCGCTGAGGATGGGGGGGGGGGCATGACGGAAACATTAAGGCCTCGTTTTTCTCGTGTTCCTACACAATACATGTTTTCACACACACCACACATAATCCTCAAGACTTTACATGGAATTGTTGATAAGCCCCGCCCCCAAGAACAGTATTTCCAGGAATCCCCCTTTCTGATAGGTCAAGGGATTCCTGGGAAAACTGGACCCCAGGAGAGAGGAGAAGAAAACCAAGAGGTCATTGAGCACTTCCTCTTCTGATGGGATCCACCCACCACCATCATCATCATCAACCGTCATCACATCAACACCGCTGGGTCCCACTCCTCACACACCCAGCTGTGGTTTGCACACTTCCCATTTACAGATTGCACATTAGAAGCTTTGAAACTGTCACATCTTTTGCTTTCCTTCTGATGGTGCCATGTCTAAAACCCTGTCACACACTTTGGCAGACGGGGGTCATATTACTGATTTCATTTATCTGAAATTTGTAATGTTGAACATCATAGGAATAATTTTAAATGTGCCCTAATCCACATTTTGTGATAAATTCTACAACTTCAATTTTTGTGTCCTCTAAATACATAAAGGTAACAGAAACAGCTTTCCTATGAATGGATAAACTGATTGTGATCCACAAGGTGTCCTGTGGCCCTAACCTGAGCCTTGGAGACCTGCTGCAGATTGGGGATGCTGTTACCTGGCTCTGGATATGCTCAGACTCGAATTTCTGTCCTCCGTCCCGAGCTACAGTGCTTCATCTCAGACTACCAAATGACCAGAGATGCAGCACTGCACCGTGGGCCGCAGGGATGGTCCAGGAAGTCAACTGGAGAAAAACACAGGGACAGTTTAGAAACCATGTTCGTTACATCGGCTGCACACATTTTCTTTCTGACTCAACAACATGAGCACCACACAAACTGCAAGGTGCACACAAACGTCTTTGCAGTTGACAAAAAACCATCACACCAAAGTTATTGATTTTAGCTCGTGAACTCAGGTGAGTCAATCAGCTGACGTGACTCATAATGAAGTGAACTCACAGGTGAAGCTAAAGCTAACGTCAGAGCAATACAAGTGACATGATGTGAACACAGAATAAACACATCTCTCTAAGCATCATGAAGGACAGGTTATTCTAAAGACAGAGGAAACATCAGACCAATCTGACCAATCAGATCAGCCTCACATGATGGGAACGTCTTCATTTACACCTAAGACACAGTTGAGCTACATTTCTGGATCTTTCTAACACTCCAGAAACACTTGTAGCATTCAGAACAGCTTTACTGTCAGACCAATGTGTTCATCAGGGTCACCCATGGCCACCAGCTGAGACGTGTTAATCTCACAATCAAGCTGTTCTGAATACTACAAGCTTAGACCTCTTCAGACTTTTCCCTTCTCCATGCACCTTGCAGGGAGGGGACGTTGTGCTGGAAATACAGACTCTGCCTCTACAGTCTTTCGAACACATTGGAAATATCAGTCAAAGCAGTGGGAGATGAACAAGGACATGAAAAGGTGTGTGTGTTGTGTGTGAGACAGAGAGATAGAGGGTACAGCACAAGCATTCTTGTTGGGGAGGGGTAAACAGGAAATGACTTTAAAGCCCAGTAGACCTACATAATGCCAACTTCCTGTCCTGCTGCTGCTCCCTCTGCCTTTCCACACGCACTCACAAATGAAATGACTCTGCATGCGTGCGTGATACTCACCCCTCTACTACATGCTGCTCTCTGACATCTGAAACACAACACACATACTTTAAGAGACACTGCAGACACACACACATGCTGAGGAACAGATCACGCATGCCCTTCATAACCACTGGCTCTCTACTGCTTCCTTTCACCCGGGTGCATTTACTCAAATACTAAATACAGTCTCTGCTGCTTTACCTGGCTGTTTTTATGTTAGGAGATGCAGATGTAGCACCCAATAATGTAATAAAATGTCCTATATTGTAATAATAAGAAAATCCCCCCATCATAATCTGTGGGGGCGCAATTGTGAAAAGCAAAAAAGTTTCTACTTTCAAATGAAATGACCCACCTGAATGGTATTACATCATCTGTAAAAATGTTATTATAATCTTATGTAATGGAGGCAGAAATGTTAGTGGCAGATGTTTGGTATAAAGCATAGATCTCCAGAATGTCAAAGTTCCAGCTTCATGACAGAATTTCAAAAAGAAGACAACAAACTACAACTCAGACACTGACTGAGCACAGAACAAATTCAGGTTCTAATCCATCTGAAGATTCAGATGAGAGAACGCACAGGGACAGAGCTGTGAACACCTTCGTGTCACAATCTGAAGACTTGAGAATGTGAGTTGAGCCTGACTTACCAGGGCCTTCATGCAAACTCACATCTCAACTACAGATGGATTTGTATCATGCAGATCAGAATCTGGCGCTTCTGTGCAGTTTCACAAGAGCTCACTGAAAGGTTTGATAAGTATGGAAGTAATATGTTAAACAGCGCTCTCCACCACCATCCAAACACCTCCAGAGACTCGGCAAGTCACGAGCACTGGAGCTGTTCTGCAAGCTGGTGGTGGAACAACACCTTCCTAACACATCTGATGTTGGTACAGCTCCTGTATTTTTCTGTTGTTAATGTGGGACAATATCGCCCAGAGTTACTGTAGTATTACAGCTAAAGCTCTGAACTCAAACCCTGAGCAGAGGCCGTGGTGGATATGGCTTCCTGACTGTGACCTGAATAGATGAGAAGATAAAAAGCTTCTATGGGAGTGTTTCTGGATATGTTTATAATGTACAGATATTGTTGTTAAAGTGCCAACCGCTCTGTAGAGTCTTGAAGTTGTTGTCTCTTACCGCTTGTGCAGACTGCTGGATCTCCAGCTGTGATCTCCATTATCTCAACAGCAACACCTGATGAAAGAGCACAGGGAACAAAGCTTACTTTACTGTCTGATTACACTCTTCTCATGGGCTTTAAATGTCCCCTGAGCAGCAGCCCTGACACTCAAACGGAGTTCCTGATTTATCAGAGAGAGAGGAGACAGAGAGAGCGACATATAAAGACAGAGGGAAAGAAAGAAGCCGGGTGTTTTCCAGGAATGCTCTGACTCTGCTGGGCTGGAAACTTCCAGTCTGCCCATATAAGGCCCGAGCCAGCCTTTTACTTTGGGGATCATGGAAAATGGGATTGCTGCTTTGGATAAACATTCCCTCTTCCAGTCTGCGATCGCTCCCACTGATAGTCTGTCACCCCCTCCCCCCTCCCTTCCCCCCTCCTGCCTACATACATTCCCTTTTCTAGTCACAGTGGGGAGAGACTCACTTAAAAGGCAGCAGAGGGAGAGGAGGCCTTTATCTCACTCCGGCCTTCTCCCTCTGCTCTGGGCTCAACAAGTCCATATTAAGAAGGAAGACTTGCTCTCTCTCTCTTTCTCACGCACACGCACACTCAGAGAAAGTCCCACAGTAGGTTCATGTCTCGAGGTCTGTCTGTCAGGAAGTGTCGCCCTCACTAAACTAAACCAACAAACAAACCTGCCCTCTCCCAGCCTGACTGTGCGCGCCTGCGTGTGTGTGTGTGTGTGTGTGTCTGTGTGTGTGTGTGTGTGGTACATGACATCAAGCTTCAAGCCTGCATCCTGTTCCCCGAGTTTCACACCACAGGCATCACCACCCTTGATTCAAATGCACTTGGTTGTGTGTGACTTGTTAATATGTATTCTGGCCAGCTGCATCAGATTAAACTCAAAGCGTCTTCATCCACGAAGACACCTCCAAGACCAAGCAGGATGAAGATTTAACCAGCAGCTGGTCTATATTCTATGTAGTTCAACATTTTGGAAATCTGCTCATTCTTTCTTTGTGGAAAGAGAAATGTGAGGAGCAGAAATGATTGGGATTCAAACAGACATCTATAACACCACAAAGCCCACTTACTAACGCGAGTTAGGTTCTGGAACTACTGATGAACTGTTTATCCAGCACTTCTGAATTGCTTTTCTTTCATCTCTCTCTCAGAAAGAAAGCAAAAAAGCACATCTGCCAAAATGTTGACCTATTTCTTTAAATCATTATTTAAGAGGGAGCTCTGTTATTAGTTCTTTTGCCATAGAACAATTTGTCATTTGTAAATCAGTTCAGATTTCCAGATTTCTCATAGGGGGAAACTTTCACATTAAACCCCTTTCTGCTAGTAACCAGAGACCAAAGCCCGCATTCACTCAGGGTCTCCAGAGCTGGCCCTTGAACAAACCAGGTTTATCATGTCAGAGCAGCTGCTGAGCTGCTGTGAGGGGCCTGAAATATCTAGCAGCTGCTGGGGAAATGCAGCTTTCCTTTCTGCAGTGGGGATAATGAAAAAGTACAGTGCTACCACAGAAGATAAAGTCAGCTTAGGTTTAACAGAATTGTTAAATTCCCATTCTTTGGAAGCAGGTCCTGATACAATTTCATTTTATGTCCAGAAATGACTCATTTTACTCTTAAGTGGATTTTGTAATGTGGAAAAAGAATATGGGATGATCCTAAGGTATGACTGAATACTAATTGTCTTTTGAATGTCATTACCAAAATCTGCAGAATAATGATATTAAAGTCAAATATGAGGAACATTTAAACATACATTAACTGTAATATGAAATCATCTGACCTTTGTGCTATAGGCTTACTGATTTTTCATGTTCCACCCTCATATAAATCTACATAATATTCTTTGTATCTGCCAAAGCAATACAGAATCTGTACTGTGTGTGGTACAGTGTGCAGATGGGAAGTCAAACGTGGGGAAGCCATGGCAACCTATCACTATGACACAGCAAACCTCTCACATACCCCAAAACACACACACTCCTTCAAGCTAAAAATTATGTCATAGATTTTTCATGATGTTGCTTCCCATTGTCTGTCGTAGCCATAGTGATATTTTGTAGTCTGATAGCATTCCTAAGCAGCTGATGACTGTTGGTTGTGTATTTGATCCACTTTGACATTAAAAATAAGTATCAAAATGTTGAAGCTCCTATGTGTTACTGACTTTGGCAACTCCTAGTGGAAGCATCAAAAAAAGACACTGCGTCCACAACAGTGTACAGCTGCAGAAAGGTGTCCCCCCCACTGGACAAAATATCAGAGACAAAATAGACAAAAAGGTTTGGATGAACCAAAAATGAAATTCCCTTCATTCATCCCTATTGTACATGATTCTATACCAATCAAACTTAGACCCCAGGGGGTCAGGTGAGTAGGGATACTGAACTGAATTCTGTTGTTAAACAGTGAACTGCAATCTACAGTTTTCCTTCGGTCCAGTTCCAGCTCACCCTCAGTCTGCCTTCAGTTTGCGTTAAAGGACAAGTTCACAACAAACCTGTATCCAGACTAAATCTACACACATCACAGTCGCTATTACAATTCTCTTTTTAAAAATGTATTCCATAAAGTAAAAAGCCAAACATTTTAGCACTTTGTATTTCATGTTGTGCCAGAAAACCTATTTAAATCAGAGCATGAACTCTCAGTGATGGAAGGATGTGACATAGTCTGACTGCAGGCTGCCAGCCCTGTGTGTGTGTGTGTGTGTGTGTGTGTGTGTGTGTGTGTGTGTGTGAGCATGCATGTGTGTGTGTTTGGACAGACTGTGATAACAGTCAGAGCCATCTCTCCTGTTGAGCCAAACATTGCCTAATATGGTCTTCTTTCTCTTTCCCCTTGGCTCTGTAAATCACACACAGGAAGCCCTCTCTCCATTTTCCTCCGTCTGTCTGTCACACACACACACACACACACACGCACACACAGTAATGTGAAAAGTTTAAGTGAAAATGAGGATAACCTTACATTTATGCAGAGTCACCAAACAAATTAAATACAGTCCGATTTACTGGTCCAGCGACTGAAGATGTGAACACAGATGTGTCAGAGAATAGAACATGATCTAAACACAAAGGGACGTAAAAGTCACTGTTAAAGTGGCGTTTAACATTAATAACCAAACATGGTCATGCTGAACTGAGAGGAACACTGGAGCCTGATCAGTTAAAGCAGGAGTGTGTCGATGGTGGGAAGAACATGAGGCTGTTATGAGGGTGGTAGGGGGTACTGAAAAGAATTCAGTGCTGTAAGGAACTTGGTGAGGCTTCCCGTGGGAGAAAAACGGACCCAGATGGAGAGTTGTAATCGACCTAGGGAAGTGGTTCCCAACATAGAGGTTGGGGCCCCAGGAGGGCTCTTACAGTTAGAAGAACCTGAGGAGTCACCAGATGATCAAAATAATAAGAAGGAAAATAAAATATTCTGTTACTGAGAAGGAAAAAACTATGGAGGAAAAGGAAAAAAAACACTCTTTGGTTTACGCTGACTGGTGACCTGTAATGCAGGGTCACCAGTAGACACAGCTTCATTTTAAGGGATCATAAGCCATAAGGAGCTGAGGGGACTGACAGGGGCCTACAGGGTGTCACTAAGACTTTGTCTTAGACATGACAATAAAAAAAATGTGCAAGACAATATATACTGTATACATTTATTAAAACAGCTGCTGCAGATGACTTTTGGTTGGCTAAACCAAAATGACACTTTGACACTCATCTCGTCAAGTCACTTTTGTCTTTGAGTGTAGAAATCCAGTCCAGAGGAAGTCAAGGACGGAAGCCCTTTCATCAGTGTTGGAGGGATTGTCAGCAGGAAGAAGGACATACTGCTCATACCGCAGCTCCTACATTAGCTGACAGATCAAAAAGGTCAGAAAGGTTGTTTACCTTCACATTATGTGACTGACAGCAGGAAGTTTCTATAGCAGACCGTTACACTGCTACAGTGAATGGAGGTTCCACTTGTTTTCAGAGAAGTAACTAGAAAACACTACAATGAAGAGAATTTAAGATGAACATTGCAGGAACAAACACCATACACCATATGAACAGCTTTAAATGTCTTAAAATGCTACATGTGAAATATTGTGTGGGAGTTGCACTTTACGCTGAAGCACTAAAATGGTGTCAGCTGAAGTATATTATGCAGTGAGAGGAGCAAGGGGTTAAAGCATTTTTGCTGAAAGCATTTAAAATGTAAGCTCTGTAGGCTGTTGAGTGTCATTCTGTACATAAGTGCTGAAAACAGCTGGACTGAAATGCGTCACACACACGTCACACACACGTCACACACACGTCACACATACGTCACACAGAGTCATGTGGTAAAATGAGGACCTGTGCAGACTGGCCGTCAGAGCACTTCATCTTTCTCTCTATCTCTTCCTCCCACTTCTCTTACCTTCCATAGGCCTTTCCTCCCACCCTACCCCCCCTACCCCCCCTTCTCCCATGTGAAATTGAGCCTGGGAATGGTGGTCTCTTGGTCCCAGAGGGGGCCTGGTGTGAGTGTGTGTGTGCAGGGGGTTATGTGAAAGTCCTCCTAACCTTGTGCCCTTAAGACTTTTGACTGCTCAGTAAATAAATACAGCATTTCCTCCTCTCCTCCCTACATACACTTTCTCATGTCCGTCTCAGTCCTCAGCAGCTCCTTGCTGCTGGGCGACAACAGTACATATTTTATTAGCTGGACTTTGGGAACATGGACCTCAGTATGAAGCTTTGTTACATTCGTTAGCATTAACCTCCTCAACCCTGTCAGACTCACCAGCCAGCCTGTCAGTATAAGCAGCCTAGAGCTAACTTTAGCGGTACTTAAGAGGAAATATAAGAGGAAATGAGGATTCAAGAGCATAACAAGTGACAGCCACACTGTTCCACGAGCCACTAACAGAACAAGCACTCCTACCCAAACAGCGGTTTGTCTCAGCTGGTTTAAAGCCACCATTTACAGAGCACTCAAATGTTTCCACAAGAAGTCAGAGATGCACTGTTGCATTAACCCTGCTGTCCAGTCCTGTTCAAACGAACATGTGTGGGCTTACATTGCTGTCTTTTTAGTACCAATTGAAATTTTAAAGCATCGTAGTGAGGACATTTAATAATAATTTTTTGCTTTCAAGCTTCAGGTTAGAATTATGTTGAGGTTAGGTTTAAAACAATGCGCTCTACAGCCCGAGGCTGTAGCATGAGGTGCAGGCACAGGTGAAATGAATTCAAACACTTCACTAATGATCACAATCAAAGTTGCTTTTTAAAAAAATATGCTGGTTAGTCTTTAGTGGTGGGAGACATTCATTACAGTAAGGTTTGGGTTTAGGCAGCTCATTGTGATGGTATTGACCAGGGTTATGGGCTCAGGAATGCATTGATGAGGACATCAGTATAGAAAGACAGATGTGTGCGTGTGCGTGTGCGTGTGCGTGTGCGTGTGCCTGTGCGTGTGCGTGTGCGTGTGCGTGTGCGTGGCTGTCCTACCTGGTCTGTTATTTCCACACCTCCTGATTCTCCTCTTGGTTGAACTGCCACTGCTTACTGTACACACTGTGGCTGGTACAGATCTGGTGTCAGTCATTGCCAGCCTGCTGTGTGAGATGAGACGCTGTGTGAGATTGCTGTCAGCCATACTGCACACTGTTGCTCTGTTTTTACCATTTAAGGACAGCACCCCACCCTGCCCCATGTTGCAAGCATAGATTTGATTTTTTTTTTACATAACTGGCTGAAACTGTGGGTCAGTGGCCAACCTCTGACACCTTAAAACAAAGTAGTGTCAACTGCGAATCCTCGTCAGAGGATGCATGTGTCTACTGTTACTGATAGTAGTAGTGTAGTGAAAGTTTTCCATTTTTCCTTCTCAAACTGTTTTTAAACAGTTTTAGGGCATTTACATTATGCACAAGCAAATATGCAAAGCTTAGAACACATTTCAAAGTCCTCATCCTGTCCATCTTCTCAAGAGCCGTAGATTTATCTGTCAAAGCTCTTGTTGAGTCCTAACCTAAAAGGTTAGTGTGTGAGCTACTGCTCTAAATAAGCACTCACTATGAGTGACAGTGACTTTGTGGCCATGTAAATGGATGAGTGAAGACAATAAACTGATGTCATTACCATGTAAGAAATAAAACTCCAGACTGGTTCTAAAGGCACAAATGATGTGGTCCAGAAGGCGGTCCTGTTACACTCTCAGTAAACACTGCAGCAGTGACTTTCACTCACTGACACACCTTCAGCCAGACTGGAGGAACAGAGCAGTGAGTGGGCCTTAAACATTTCTGAAGCAGACTTACTTGACTTTACCCTGTCTGCTGAGCATTTATCAAAGCATACCATGTTGGACTTCTCAATACACTGTTCTGACCCTCCATGTCTTTTGGTTTGCATTTAGTTTGCTACAGTCTAAAAATTTGCACTGATTTAAAACTTAGGTAAGGTCATCCATGTCAAGCCCCCCACACACTGTGTGCCAGCAACAGTCCTACTGGTCCACTGCATGTCACTGGGCTCACTTTGTCCTAATTTTCTGACACTGTTCAAATCTGTAATTTAGCGTTAGAGTGGACACGCCTAACAGATTTCACAGTTTTGCTCACAATTGTTAACATTCGTCTAGGACCAGCCAGAATCACACAGAGTGAACAGCCTTCAATGGACATCAGTACATGATTTCTTGGCGTTGTAATGCTGTGCAGACATTTCTAATGAAATTTTCAAAACCCATACTTTGACAACATCTACTGTAAGCATGATGAGCATTATGTTTATTGTGAAGGATGACCTGACTCACTCAAGTTTCAAGTTTCTGGGTTGATAGCCTGGACGATAGAAAAACTCATTTAAAATGGAATAAAACGCGGTGTGCTTTGATCTCATGTAGCCTATAGGACACAGTAAAGGATTCAAAAACACCAATAAAGGCATCTCTGTGATCATACCTGACTGAGTCCACTGCTGGGAGCTGTCATCTGCAGCTTCACTGCTGGACTGACGAGGTCTCCGCTGCTTGTCATCTCTGGCTCTGGTTTTACCGGGTCAAATGAACTGTCTGTCTGCTGCAAGGCAGCTTCTGCAGTAGTGTTGAGCTGAGGAGCAGGTCCTGAAGCTCTCTAAAGCATTCTTTCAAAGCTTAAGTATTTTCACAGTCAGACTAGAGGACTGCTCACCAGTGTGGACACCCTCTGCACTCTGTGTGTCTCTTATGAAGCAGATGGACTGCCAAGCCATGCATTCCACTGTTACCTTGTATGGTCACTGGGGGGTGGGCCTTACACTAGGGAACGCCCCCTCTAAACATGACTGATTGGCTGATGTCTAAGGAACCAAGAAGCCTCAACTAGTGACCTGAAGAGTCTGTCTGGGAATGATGGAGGGACATGAGAGACAGAAAGATAAACAGAGAAGAGGGGGGAATGGGAGGGTTAGGAGTGGAGAAGGAGAAGTAAAAGGAGACAGAAGCTGAGAAAGAAAGGGGATGTGACGAGAGAAGGGGAGGGTGCGGAGAAAGAGAGGAGGGAAGAAAGAATGAAGAGAGAAGGGGGCATTTTCACCAGTGAATGAAAAAAATGTTCATATTTCTTCTAAATTTGGGCTTTTTCGGCATTGAGCAGCTGGACTGAACAGCACGCTGAAATACCATGTGGAACCCATTACACTGCTGAGACACAGGCAGATGGGAGGGGGGGAGACAAACAGAAAGAGAGAGAGAAGGAGGGAGGGGGGAGAGAGAGAGAGAGAAGGAGAGAGGGATAGAGGGAGAGACAAACAGAGAGAGCAAGAGAGAAAGAGAAAAGGAGGAAGACAGATAGAGAGAGGAGGGAGGGAGTATTGATGAAGCTTTGGCAATATTGTTCATGCCAATAAATCACATTGAAACACAGTCAGAGAGATGAAGACAGATGGACAGACATCCTGGGTCATTGTTTGGAGGTCTGTCCTCATTTAGCTGATGCTTTTATCCAAACAACTTACAACTGCTATACATGTCAGAGGTCGCATGCCTCTGTGTCTTGCTCAGGGACACATTGGTGGATGTCTCACAGGGGGAATCGAACCCAGGTCTCCCACACCAAAGACAAGCATCTTTTTTTGTCGCCCCTCTCTCTGACGGCAGGCTTTCAGAAACTGTGTCTCCAGGAAGTCCTGCTTTTGTCTGGATGATGCAGAGCAGCACAAATCTGCAGCCAGAGGCAGATAGTGTTTGGTGATCGTATTAATCTGACACTATTTTAGTTTTAATCCTGCCATATCTCACATTGCAAATTGTCACATGATATACTGAAATGTGACACAGCAATGTAAAGATGCAGCACTGATGTAATCCTGCATAAACAGGCACACTACAGAGTTGTAATGGAGCAGTCTGATGTGTGTAGAGGTGTGTTGGCCTGTTCTGCAGCAGCCTGACTGATCACAGTAAACACAGTGGACAGTGTCTGCACTGTCGTTGCACGGCTCTTCTACAATCAGAGGTTGCAGAGTTGTCAACATGTGTCCCGCTGCCTTCAGATACTGCAGGGATTTCATGAACTGAAGTAGAAGCTGTTCATACAGTATGAAGCAGATACTGTAGAATCACTCACTCATTTAGAGGCAAATGCAGACTGGTTCACTAAAGTGATATGTAAATGTAAATGCTCCGTATTAGTATAGCACCTTACAAGATTTGCAATCACTAAAACGCTTTTATAATACATCGCATTCACCATTCACTCACAGCTATACACAGGTGGAACAGCCGCCAGGGGCAATTCGGGGTTCAGTATCTTGCCCGAGGACACTTTGACATGCAGCCTGGAGGAGCTGACCTTCCGATTAACGGGCAACCCGCTCTACCTCCTGAGCCACAGAAGCCCCTAGTGTCCCTGGAAACTGTGCCAATGAGGGAAAATGAAACAGGCTACACTGGAACTATTGTCAAGATCTGGGCCAATCATTATTTTACTCTGAAACATGCTAAGTCCAAGTCTATCCTTCCCATAAGCAAAAGTAGCGTGGGGGCATGGAGGCGGCTGACCTTGGGCCCCAGCTGGGTGGGAGGGCCCCCAACGTGAGCTGCGAATCTTATGTCAAGTGTTTGTAGACACGGCTGGACTTCACTTCCAAAACAAAAAAAAAATCTGTTCTTATCAAATGAAACAGTCCCTTCACTCCTGGTCTCAATGGTAAACCACCACAAGAATGATAATTACCAACAAAAAACCACTATGTTCTAAGCAGACACGTTTAAAAAAAATATAAATCATGAAGTAACATTTGTATTTCAAACAAATGAGAAACTTATTAGCGTGCTTCTACCATGATTAAGTAGGCTACGTAATTAAATCTTTTTTGTCTGTTTTAACAGTGTTTATTGTTGATATACAATCGGGAAGCTGCACATTTAAAAAATTGACCTGATTGGCTGTTTAGTTCCGGCAGCCACAACACAGATGGACTCAGGGGACTTTCAGAGTGAGTCCTGGGCCGGGGTCATTTAAACTTGGTATAAATTACTTGGTAGCAGGTGGACCCCATGATGAAGTCCCACCCCCACTGCGTCTAGCTCCGCCCCCGGCAATTTCAAAAGTACTGTGGGACACAAGGAGCACAAGGAGCCCCACTGAGTCAAGAGTAGCTCACTGCAAATTCTCCTGAAAATGCAGTGCTGCCATGACCTTTGACCTACAGTAAATTGGAGCTCACTTTTGTTGTGTTATTGTAATGTGCTTGCTATCAGTTTGAATGGTGTATCCTTGGCTTCTATTCAAGCCCAAATATGAGCTGTCTGAACTACAATATTTCTTTTAACACTGTAACTAGGACTACCACAGACAGCAGCAAAAGGTGGAATACTGACCAGACCACTCCCCCTAGGCATATTTAAAGATGCATATTATCACATGATGAGGGCTGATTTGGTGCCGTCAGTTAGAATTGTAGTCAATGTGGTAAAATGTTTCTGAATTGTCAGACGTCCATATTGGCCAGAACAGACACTACTACCACCTGGTTGGTCCATGTCCGTCTCACTTGCATGTCTGCAGAAGCCTTTCAGAAGCAGAGAGTCTGTTCATTTAGAAGTGGTACCAGATGCTTTGTGGCTGTACCTGACCGTGTTTGTACCAGCTCTGCCATCTTGTATCTGGATTACCTGAAGAGTAGAGATTATCAACAGGAAAACCTTCTTTCTGTTTTTAATTCTTCCCCTCTCTCTCAATTCAATTAAAATTTGCCTTTTTGGCATGAATGTTAATAGAACCGTATTGCCGAAGCTTCTCTCTCTCTCTCTCTCCCTCTCTCTCTCTCTCTCAGTTCAGTTCAGTTCAATGAGCTTTATTGCCATGAATGTTGAAGTTAAACACTGTTGCCAAAATCATTTGCAGCAAAATCACAAAATTTCCATTTGAATATAACATAGCTAGAATTAATGCACTCATGACGATTCAGTTTATTCAGTTTCTCTCTTTCTTGCTACTTACTGACAAAAGAGAAATCTAGTTTTGTGGCATATGTGTTATGGCAAAGTCAGTGAGAAATGAAATACATTGTTTGAAAGGGTTCATGTGGCTGAGAAACACACTACAGTCTCAGCCGTTTGACTTGGTAGATTCGGGCTCTTCACTAAGCATGAAGTCTTTGAGCCAAACTAAGTGATCTTCTGCTAAAGGAAGCTTGTATGACAGCTCATCAGCGTGTGTGTCCTCTCTGTTCCTGAGGCGCATACTAAAGATAGAACTATTTTATTTGGTTGGAATACTTGGATATTTAATAATTGGTTAGATATCTTGTGCTCATCAGTGCTCTCTCATTTATATTTTATTTGTTTTTAAAGATTTTTAATCAGGTATATTTATTTTATTGCATTTATGATCATCTTCATATTTTCTCAAATTCATATTAAGTCTATCCTATGTTTTTAAACTTTATGTGCTTCTGCTGTCTGCCCCGGACCCTTTTTTTTTTCTCTTCTGGTTAAATAAACTTTATGGACGGGTCACGTCACAGGGGTTTAAAATCTAGCACTAACATTAATCTGCAGCAATATTAAAGACCAACACGTTAGAGTAGTTCTCAGCAGTCAAACAACATTTCTGAATGTTTGCTTTATTAATATGGTATCTCCTGTTAAAGCAGATGTGAAAGAGAGAGAAGGGGGGCAGGTAGGAACCAGCTTCAGACTCCTCTCTGGCTGTTCTGTCTCTTGTGTCTTAATAAGGTAATGTTTGGAGATGGTTCACTGTTTACAGCAGCTGACAAGACTGGGCTATTAGTGATGGCAACCAAGCATGGACACACACACACACACACACACACACACACACGCTACCCTTTACTAAATGTACAATGAGTCCACATCAGGGCTGAACCTTATATAAATCTCCCCGAGTGTGTTTGCAGTCTTTTCCCTCATATGGAGAGGAGTCCTCCCCACTACACTGTGTAAACTAAGTCAACATCTACTCATCTGCTCCATGCAAAGTGAAAAACTACCACTTTTGAACAACTTCTTAAATGTGTGAGGGATGGGGAAAGCAAACAGCTAGGTATTATTTTCAGAAAAACAAACAGACTGAGGAGGAGGACTTTTTGGCCCTGAACTGAGCCTTCCAGGCAGAGCTTCCTTGGCTCTGTGGTTATAGGCAGGTTAATTTAGATTATGGGACAAAACCTGGTCTCGACTGGACAAAAACATTCCAGGAGTTGGTTTGATGCAAGTACACTTGGTAAGATACATTCAGAGCACAATGCTCTTCCCTAACTCACTCAAGAAAGCTCCACCAAAGCTGCACACTCCTCTAAAGACATTTTCAAATATGAAGAAGAATCAATTTTATTTTCACATACAATTATCCACAGTACAACACACACACAAATTTGTTCTCTGCATTTAACATATGCTAATTAGGAGCAGTGGGCAGCCACTGTGCAGCGCCCAGGGAGCAGTCAGGAGTTTAGGGCCTGGCCTTCACCAGTGGTCCGTTCTGGCGTCGAACCTGAAGATGACCCTCCAGTTGCCAAGCCAAGTCCCCACGGACTGAGCTAACGCCAGCAGACTTGCCCTTTCACACATGCAGCACACAACGGGAGATTGTCCGTATCAGACGCATTCTCACCTAGAAATACTGGTAATAAAATGGTTTAGATGTGAATTCTCCAGCCAACATTTCACGCTCTCTTCACACAGGGGCTCAATGGGACATGCTGCAATCCATTGAAAGTCGATGTTCCCAGTTGGAAGGACTACTCCCGACTTCTGATTTATGAGCCCCGGTGCATCTACTCAGGAACACATGGATGTCTGCAGCAAAATGATGTTTAAATGGTCATAGTTACTGAGGATCTATATAAATTCTCCCAGCACCGTTAGCGAAGAGAAACGGAGTATAGAGTCAGTCAACTGTCCTGCTTGCATGAACATAACGTTACCATAACAGCTCAAAGTTATGTAAACAAATGCAGAGCGTGCTTAATAGTGTGAACCACAGTCAGTAGCATAAAGTAGGGGCCTCAGGAAAGCAGACTGCAGGTCGACCCTTCTCTAAAGTTGTAACTTGTTCTACTGTTTACTGTGTGCACCGCCATATTGCTGTGGCAGATCTCACCTGAGTTTCTAACTTCAATGACCATTCCATTGCACTTTCCAGAGGTCAATTTTCAGGAGTTCCGAGTACAGTGGATCGCAGCATCAGTCTGTGCACTAGGGAACCGGCAGGATGTCCACCTGACTTGGACACTTGCATTCATACATATAGCTCCCTCCGGGTAATGTCTAGATAAGTTAAGGGTTGCAGAGTATGTGTGAAAGGGACTTAAATCAGCCCTTTCAGCAAAAGAAAATATTAAGACATCCACATCAACAATCAGCGACAGCCATTTGTGTCATTAAATGTATGATGTTGTAGCTCTACTTATGTCACTTTTTGCACTTCATCTTTGATATATGTTGATACATGTACGCCATTTAAATTTGGTTTGCATTACACAGTACAGCAGCTTGTCAAACAGGCCTCTAAGTCTCAACCCTAATGAACATCAGAACATCTCTGATGGTATAGTTAAAGTCAGCTGGGTTGTTTTTATCTTGCTCTCATTTTGATAAAGTCTGTAAATAGCAGATTAACAACTTCTCAAATAACAGAAGAAGAAAGCTGGGAGTGTACATGGCATCATTGATTGCACATTTAAGATGTTCAGAACATGAATTTAAGAACAAAAAGAAGGTCTCTAAGGTTCCTCATGCCATCAGTATACCTCATTCAAGTAATGACAGGCAGAGAAAATAAGTATTTTCCAAGACGGAAGATGTGTCTGAGAAGGTGCCACCCCCACAGTATACAGAGACTCTGCATCAGGTCTCCGAAGAGACACACTGAAACATTTGTCCTTGCACCTGATGAGCATTATTAAGGACACAGCTGTGTGCTCCATCAGTAGTGGTCTGTCTGTCTCTGAGAGCATCAACCCAAAGCTAAGGTGCAACCCACTGTATAGTGTTGTGTGAAGCCTGCACGTTCAGTCAGCATCCCACTTTCCTCCTCTGACCTTGAGCTGTGATTTTTCTTTACGTTAACCAACCATGACACGGACTCTTTAGAGATGATCCTATGACTAAACGCACTAAAGATCAGAGGAGAGCACTTGCTGTGTAGAAACAGAGGAACTAACAGAAGCTGGTTAGTGTCACAGAAAGTCCAGTGGAACAGCAGGAGGCTGTGCAGGCTGACAGGAGGTTTACATTCACTGACGGCAGCCGAGAAGTCGTGTGTGTGTGTGTGTGTGTGTGTGTGTGTGTGTGTGTGTGTGTGTGTGTGTGTGTGTGTGTGTGTGTGTGTGTGTGTGTGTGTGTGTGTGTGACACAGAGTAACGTGCGACTCTGTCTTGCTGTACTCCAACTTGTCAAAGCAGGAAGAGCAGAGATTAGAGCAGCCAGAATTAGAACAGTGTGTCCAGGTAGATCTGCTCTCTGTCTGCTCCATTATGCTCCGTAACTTTATCATGACAGTCTCAGTCTAATGATCTGATAACAGTGCAGAGAGATTTTACTTTTGACCCATCAGATAGCCTAATATTAGAATCTAAAAACACAGTGGTAGAGAATCAGAAAGGAAGACATGTAACAACAGAAGTTATTTCCATGTTATTTTATTTTTCAGTATGTGAAATAGTCTTGTTCTTTCCTTATAAACATATAAACACCATGGAAGCATGTGGTCATCCATGACATCTGTACACAATACACAAACAGAAGGCTGGACTCTGCAAACTCAATTTTAAACATTCACTGTGAGTTCACCTTTCTCAACCCAAACCCTTTGCCATATTTGAGGAGAACCCACATCCTGACCCCAGAACAGTCAGTCTGCAGTCATACAGGGCAGAGCTGGCCAAATAAATGACCAATGAAATCCTTTCCAAGCAAACCAATTCTGACTCCTTCAAAAAGCTGGAGCAAAAGGCATTTCTCAAGGCTTTAACAGGTGCACTTCATGTTACACCTCCTTATAGTAAAGAGGCTGAGGGCTGAGCCCAGGATACTTTAGATAGGACCATCTCCATCTGTCAGAATATTTCAATCCACGACAGACATAAGACAGACTTGGAGAAGGAGAACGCTGAGCAGTCAGCAGCTTCCTACGACATTACGACTGTGTGCATTAGAGAAGAGCCTCTTGAGTGTTCGGCATGTGTTTGTCAGATTATCCTCAGCTGATGAGTTCATGTATGACAACAATGACTGAGATGGGAATAGAATAGAGCCACATAGAAAAATGAATGAATGGAGAGAAGTTCAGAAGTGGGGGGGGGGGGGGGGGGGGGGGGGCAACAGAGTAAAAAAACAAACAAACAAAGCTGCATCATCTGCATGGCCGGCCACCCAGGAAGATGTCATGTGTGTCATACAGATAGTGTAATTTCACTATGATCATGATTGTGAGCGGACACTGCCGACGTCTCGCCTCAGCTGTCCTCTGGGCAGTCATCCTGTGTATTTAAGCTGCTTGTGATGAGCAACTCACAACTGGATATTTCTCTCTAAGTTCCCTTTATGCTGCTTAGTGAGTGGTAACTGCAGCATCTCATCATGGCACGCTACATTTGCATGGAAGTGTTGTAATTTGTTTGCAGGTCAGGCTGGTTGAGTGAGAATTAAGTTAATCTGAGTCTTTATAAAGTCTGGCTCCCTGGCAGTCTTTATCCAATAGGCCTAACATGTGAGGAGGACTGACACTTCAAGAAAAGCAGCTACAGGGATGTTAATCCACAACTGCTCCATATTTCTCCCTCTCCATATGGTCTGAAAATCTCTTTTCCATTTAGTGCTAGCTGAGGTAAAATGCAAAACCACAACACATACCGTCCACCAGCAAGAGCCATCAACGCTTCTGCATGTTCACGGAAACAAATGTACTCCAAAGGGAAACTTAAAACCGAAAGAAAAAGCATATTTTCTTTGACATTTGTGTCTAAGGCCGCTTCTGTCTGATTGGTCACATGTGGAACAGAGGTAGGCAGACTGGACAGAAGAAAGATCAGACCGACACTGCAGCACCGTCCTTCTCTGCATGTGTTCTCAGGGCTAACATGATAGACAAGAAAAGCAGCATGAAGAGCCAGGCCTTTATTCCTAAGCTAATGCAGCAGCTAATGTTTTCATAGACTAAATGAAAATGTACTTTATGCTGAATTTACTATTTGAGCTGTAATTTTCACCACCTCAATGTTTTTGTCCGTTTACTCTGCTTTTATTTGAGGATTTCACAGTATGCTAGGGCGCTCCTGCTTTTACATGCCTTAGGATTTTGCCTAAATAATTTGAAAATCATATGTGTGATGAATCTTCTCCAAATGTTTTCAAAATCCTAAATGTATTTTCCCCCATGGAACTTAAAGGTTTTGGCCACTCCCATTCATCTTTGGCAGCGCCTCCCGGTGCCCTCACCTGCAATTATTCCTTCTCCATGAAGCTAGCTGAGATATCATGTGCACGTCAGTGTGCAAGAACACAGCTCTGACCTGCAGATTACACATGTCTCGCTCTGGGTATCCACAGTCAGGAGCTCAGGCGGTGCTGCAGCAAGCCTGTCATCTGCTGGGACCCCTCTGCACGTGATGACAGAGGAGGGGTTTGTGGAGTCTAGATGTAGTCATCGTCCACAGGCTCTCCTGGCGTATCACAGTGATGGAGGAAGAGGACCACCACTCTCTGAAACACTCCTCTTTTGCTCTGCCGGCGCTCTGAGATCTCTTCCCCGATGGTCTCCATGCAGATGTCAGCTGACAGCTGGCCTTTACGCCGCGGGGCGTAGATTGTGGCTAAGATGTGACACAACAGAGGGGACAACATTTCAAGTGCTTATATGATCAGGCTCTGTCCTGGTCTGTCACAAGGACGGCTGTAATAACAGGTAAAAACTAAGAATTGTGTACATTTAGAGAACAACCACATGTAGTGACTGCGGATTAGACAGACGGATGTATTGACTGCACTCACTGCTTTCATCGTCCTCAAAGTCATAGCGGGCGTAGCTGTTGGGATCAGCTGCTCTCAGAGTCCTCAGCCAGGGGAAGTCTGTTATCATGCTGTAGGGAGCTCCATCCACCACTCCTGAACAATATCATCATAGAAGACGGTTAACTTTAAAGAAGGAACCTCACTTCTCACGTGTCTCCAGTCTGCCAGCTGGTTGCGTGCTTTATTTGAAGTATAATCGTCCTAGTTAACCCGTTTTGTTCGGGCTGAAAACCAGAACTTCTTCTTCATCCTCTTTCGTCCACGTGATTTGTAGCATGATGGAATACATCTACCACAAGGTGCACTGAAGAAACGGCAGATTTCTTTGAACTAATTTACTTGTTAAATAACTGAAAATGCTACTTTAACTCGATTTTAAAGGTGTAAAAATGAACATTGACACAGTTTTGTACAGTCTCTGAAGCACACTGGTTTGAAATGATGACACAATGACTGAGTGCTGACTCTTAGCTGTAAGAGGTGTTTGACTATTGGGTGGACACTAGGCTTGTGCCGATTGGCGACTGGATCGGCTATCGACAATTGAAGGGATGATCAGCGATTTTTTTTTCTCCCCCATGAGCCGATATTAAGGCGAACGTCACTGTCAGAACTAAGATGACACAAAAACTGTCAAGAATCTGCACCACACTGCAGTATTTCCCATTCATTGATTTATTTGTGGCGACAAGACACACCACAATATCAATGCTGACCACCACATACTATTTACTGCACATATATTCACTCAGTACCTCCGCTTGTTTGTCCCCTCTCTCTCTCAAACACATTGAAATGGAGTTAGTCTTTTCTTCTTAACACAACGCTGTCAAAGTCGGAGACCCACCTTCAAATAAGGATGTATGCATGTAAGGAGCCTGGCTAGTAAGGATAGCTATGTCAGTGTTAGAATACAGCCGGGTTTGTTAAGGTTGGCACGCTGTACATAGCTGCTAGTCAATATCGATTGCACGCCCAGGGTTTGGCTGGTGTGCAGGTCTACCTTCAGCGGTAATCTACAAATCTGTGGGGGTTAGTGTAGGTGTGACTGTGTTACCCTCCAGTGTATAGATGTCCCTGCCCCAGGGGTATTTGGGATACTTCTTCACATCCTCGTCTGTCCTGGTGGCCTCCGGGAAGAACTCATACTTGATTAACTCTCTGTGAGAGACGGAGACATCGCGGGCATCAGTTTGTGACAGGTCACGGTCAAACTAAGATCTGGTCTCATACTTGCTCACTGACAATGTGAAAGGCTATGCATTTCATCAGACTGGAGTGGTCACTTTGTGGTCTGGATGCTGTTAACGCTGTCATTACTAATCAGCTGATCACAGTTTACTCACACAGGTTTCGTCTTTCTCTGGAGCTACAGCCAACATTTATTGTGCATTTCTTTTACATGCACACAAAAAGTGTGTTTAATCTTCAGACTTTTATTTATAATAATAATAATAATAATAATAATCCTTATTTGTAGAGCACTTTTCAAAAACAAGTTACAAAGTTCTTTAACAAGTGTAAGAATAATACAAAAAAAAAACAAGAATACAAAAAAAAAAACATATTTTATTTGGATATCTACAAATAAAACCAGCCAGCTGTAAACCAATCACTTTCACATTTGATTTCTTGTGTAACAAAAGCACATATAGTATAGGTGCTGTGGAGCAGGACTGCTTTATATTGAGGTGTTCCTATGTTTTTGTCCGTGCATTACACTGTACAAGCGTACCTAATTAAGTGGATACTGTGTGTACTTACACAAAAGTTCCCAATTCTCTACCACAGAACTTTAATGAGCTTGAATAAGACAAAGCATGTATTAAAAACCTACAGATGCAAAATTCATTCAACTTTTTTGAGCTGCACCTGTAATTTTTGACTTCCATCAAACTTTGCCATCGAGTTTTAAATCCAAAATAAATTCATGAAAAAAAAGCTAAAGTTCTTTTCAAGATGCACCTGTATGTCCGGGAGGTTCACTTCTACGCCATGCACCACTATAACGATAACATGATGTAAATTCAGTACTCAGGATCCTGAGACTGCCTCTTTGCATCTGCACAGCAAGTGTGAACACACTGACATAAGTGACCCAATTTGCAATTGTGTAACCATGACAGCTACCATCAACATGGTACCAATCAACATTTCTGTTCAAAGCAGTTTCCTAGAAAAGCGGCCCAGAAGTTGTAGCTTTGAGAATCATTCCACTGTTTGGACAACCTCATTATGGTGGACTGCTCTGTTGCAGTTATCACAGATACTACTCACTGGCTGATGTTGGCTATGGTGTCCATCCAGCTGCGAATGCGAACCTTGTTGCGTATGTTTGGAGGGTTGCTGAACTCATGTACTATAGCGATATGATAGGGATAGGGCCCCTGGAAGAGCTGACGCTCCAGTGCTACAGAGTCAATCTGAAAAGGAGAGAGAAGTCTGTTTCCTGTGCCAGTAAAGTCTCATTGAATTTAACAGAAGTAGAGAGACGGAGCGTTCCGGTGAGAGCAAAGAGAACGAGGGGAGAGGCGGAGAGATGAAGAGAGACAATCAGGTATTGGGAGAACAAATAATGGAAAGCATGGGAAATGCTTGTCTACCTTCACTACATATGTAGGAGGTGTTTGCTTATTTTGCTGCAAAAAACTGATTTACCAACTAAAAGCAGCTCAAAATGTCTAACTGGTTGAAAGCTAGGTTGTTGGTGTCCGTCACTCAGGACTTCCACAGACTTCTAAATAAAAGTCTTAAATGATCTTCGCTGGAAGACCATTAAAACCATACCCATCTCTACGAGCAAAGTGTTGTGTGACGTTCGATCTTAACCACACATAAAACATGCTTTTTTTCTTGACAGTGGTGTAGAAAGTTAAACTAAACATTCCTGATCGCTCATACATTTTAATGTCTGTTCTTCAGATGCTGACAGTAGTAATTTGTAACAAACTACATTCTGAAAATAAATTTTGCGAGGCAAATAAAAGCATGTTTGAATTTAAACTGAATTCATTCTAGTTTACTTCTGCATTGTAGCACACAACCTTCATGCTCTAAAAAAGGATGACAGAAAAAGTAATAATTGACCTTGTTTGCAGTTGGAGGGGTCCTATCAACAGTTTTACAGTCATCTCTTTTATAATGGTAGTCTATGGGGAATATGCTTTTGGAGCCGTTTCTCATTTCAATACCACACGTGGCCACTGAGACAAAATGGCAGCACCGTGGTATCCAGCTCTCTAAATACATCCATGGTTAGGATTCGGTTACTAAGGAAACTGAGATAACATCACAGATTACCAACCTGGTGCATAGGCCGCATGTAGATGATGCGGTTCCTCTCAGGGGGCATTTTCAGTATCTGATCCAGGACCTGTTCCATGTCCAGCTTCTTACACTGAGCATAATCAAACCTATTGACTATGGGGGCACTTTCTACTCGCAGCTGCTTCAACACCCGACATCTGGTGGCTACAGAGAGGGAGGACACAGAGACTATAAGTCTATACCGCTTTCATACAAAACCCTGTACTGAAGCGTGGTAATGAACACTCATTCTCCCCATGTTTCATGGGTTACTGGACCTGAATATACAGTGGATAGAAAAAGTCTACACACCCCTGTTAAAATGGCAGGTTCTTATGATGTAAAATAATGACAAAGATAAATCATGTCAGAACTTTTTCCACCTTTAATGTGACCTATAATGTGAACAATTCAATTGAAAATCAAAGTGAAATCTTCGAGGGGGAAAAATGGAAAATAAAAACCTTACAATAACCTGGTTGCATAAGTGTGCACACCCTCTTATAACTGGGGACGACGCTATGTTCAGAATTAACCAATAACATTCAAACTCAGGTTAACTGGAAGTCATTACACCCCTGCCATCATTTAAAGTGACTCTGATTAATCACAAATAAAGTTCAGCTGTTCTAGTAGGATTTTCCTGATGTTTTCTTAGTTGCATCTCCGAGCAAACGGTCCGCAGAGAGCTTTCAAAGCATCAGAGAGATCTCATTGTTGAAAGACATAAGTCAGGAGATGGGTACAAAAGAATTTCCAAAGCATTAGATATACCATGGAACACAGTGAAGACAGTCATCATCAAGTGGAGAAAATATGGCACAACTGTGACTGGACGTCCCTCCAAAACTGATGAAAAGATGAGAAGAAAACTGGTCAGGGAGGCTTCCATGAGGCCTACAGCAACATTAAAGGAACTGCAGGGATTTCTGGCAAGTACTGGCTTTGTGGTACATGTGACAACTCCCGTATTCTTCATATGAATGGGCTATGTGGTAGGGTGGCAAGACAGAAGCCTTTCCTTACAAAGAATAGAACTTTTTGGCCATAATTCCAAAAGGTATTCCATACCCATAGTGAAGCATGGTGGCGGCAGCATCATGCTTTGGGGCTGTTTTTCTTCAGCTGGAACCGGGGCCTTAGTCAGAGTGGAGGGAATTATGAACAGTTCCAAATACCAAGCAGTTTTGGCACAAAACCTTCAGGCGTCGGTTAGAAAGATGAAGATGAAGAGGAAGTTCACCTTTCAGCACGACAACGACCCAAAGCGCACATCCTGGATTTTGGACTTCAGCAGAAGAAGATTAACGTTTTGGAACGGCCCAGCCAGAGCCCAGACCTGAATCCGATTGAACATCTGAAGAGGGCTGTGCACAGGCCATGTCCTCGCAATCTGACAGATTTGGAGCACTTTTGCAAAGAAGAGTGGGCAAATATTGCCACGTCAAGATGTGCCATGCTAATAGACTCCTACCCAAAAAGACTGACTGCTGTAATAAAATCAAAAGGCGCTTCAACAAAGTATTAGTCTAAGGGTGTGCACACTTATGCAACCAGGTTATTTGAGGGTTTTTATTTTTCCATTTTTCCCCCTCGAAGATTTCAGTTTCTTCAGTTTTTCTATTGAATTGTTCACATTATAGGTCACATTAAAAGGTGGAAAAAGTTCTGACATGATTTATCTTTGTCTCATTATTTTACATCATAAGAACCTGCCATTTTAACAGTAAGTAAGTATGTCTGCTAAACTGAGCAGACCTTATTAAAACAGGCCAGCTTTACACTGATATTCATTCATTCAACATGGCAGACTGTGTTGATGACATAGTGTCATTTTTATTGTGTAACTGGAATCATATTTGTAACTTTATTATTAGGTCTCCTTATGAAAGGTTAATTCAGTAACTTATACCGTATGGCACTTCCTGGGAAGATTGATACATTATAATTGTTTCTGGAAGATTATGGTTTTGGTAACCCCTAATGATTCATCAGATCATTACTACAATTACAAGCAAATTTAAAGATCCAAGCGGCTTGGGACTGAAGGTAGTGCAGCTACAATCTTAACATTAAAAATTCAAAACATCAATACTAGAGGACAAACTGGACATGTATACTAAAGGTCTTAATATCTAGAGACTACAATCAAAGATCATGTAGCAACCAAACAGGGGTTTTTTTTGTTGTCGTTTTTTTTTTTTTTAAAGTTTACAAAAATTGCATATTTTGTGGTTGGCTAGATTTCTTCTCTAGAATCTACCTCTCACATTTGTACTATGGACAGTGGAAAAGTAATAATCAGAGCATAAATGGAACCAACATCATTTTCTTGAGTAAGAGGGTTTGGATGAGTTTTAGTACATATTTAGTCAAAGTGATGCAAAAGGAAAACTGAGAAAACATCAACATGAGTCATCAAATATCAGTGTGTCTGTGTGTTACCATGAATGAACATCATCTTGGGGCAGTCTTTGAGGACCAGGTCAGTGATTCCACAGTTGGTCAGTGTGATGCCCACCAGGTTCTTACTCTTCAGAGACAAAATCTGCAGGAGCAAAAGCATCTCAACATGTCAACAATTCTAACAAAGGATGCAAAGTTTATACTTGTTAAAGCCAATGTTAGCAGCCCCTCACATGTGCACCCCGGCTTTTAGATAACAAACATGAAGACCATGAAGATTCTCCTTCTGAGCCCCACCTGCAACACTCTGGCTCCCCCCAGTGGAGAATAACTGCTGAAAATCACTTTGTACAAGTTTACTCAAGTTAAGTTTTGCATACTGTGTATGAATTCATATAAAAAGTATTTACACCCCCCCACCCCCCTTGGACTTTGGATAACTAATTACACTTTAACACTGATAAACAGTGACTATTAGACAATGACAAACTCCACAGTGTGCACCTGTATGTGGTCGTCCTCAGTGACGGGGTCTGAGGTGCTTGTTGATTTATCAGCCATTCGTTTCCTCCTCACTGCTACTCGAGGCCTGGCTCTCGAAAGATCTACACAACAAAAGCAGCAAAAAATATATCACCTTAAACAATGCAAAGGTGAGTAACATATTCACATGAAACCCACTACCAACAAGCAGGCCAAACAGAAATCAACTATTTTCACAGCAACAATGTTAAAGCACACTCCGTGGATTTAGCATTGCATGGAGGGTTTGAAAGGAAAAAAGGATCCATCGATGCAGCAGAACCAGAGATGTTTTTATTTCACATTCTTCTTCCTTGTCAAAACCTGCCGCTCAACATTACCCTCAATAAAACTCACCTGCCAACTGTTCAGTCGGACAATCAGGCGAGTTATGCTAGCAGTAGCTAATGTAGCCTATTTGATTGCTTCAGCCCCAGCCGACGCCAAATTGCTGACATCACTTGAGGACATTGAGCAGACCTCACACCGAAGCCGTCATACTACTTTAAAACATGCACCTGAAACCCACGCAACTACTAAAACTCACACTCGCAGTTGTCATGCTAATATGTTTAAAATGATTAAGAAAATCTACACAAAATAAGATGAAATTTAAAAATCGAGTTAGAGCATCTGCATTGTGTGTAAACAACAGGTGTTTATTTCCAGACAGGCCTACTTTACTGTCATTTATGATTGGCATTCTGCTGCAGGGCATGGGGCAGACTAATTACTAACCGTTCTGTAATGTGTGTTGATTTTTAGTTATGTGTGATTCCTTGATTTACACTCCTTTTCTTTCTTACTTTATCTTGCTATCATTTATGAAAAAGTAGTCTTTCTGTGGATTACAGTGCAAATATGAGACGTGCCCATCTTTAATTTATTTATTTTAATGGTCTTATTTCTTTTTCTGTGTTTGTCCTACTTGGGACACTGGGGATCTTTTAAGGGTGCGTTAGATATCATAATATGCCAGGTATACATTTTATCTCAAAATGTTCTGAGTGCTAAGAGGTTATACTTCCAAGGGGTAGGAAATGAAAAAGAGTGAGCCGTTTAAGGAAACTCCCTTTCACAAAAAGTACAGTGCATAAAATAATAAAACATAATATTTGATGAAATATTGAAATAACGTCACTAACGTGAAAGCACAGAGCCAAGCCTGTGCAGCTAAACACAGCTTTAGTTGCACTCCGAGTGTTCATATGCTAAAGAACACATTAAAAGTCTGTTAGTAACTTCAGTCTTACCCGTCTCAGGTACCAGGGACACAGAGGACATACGGGTGCAGGATCGGGTCAAAGGTCGTCGAGGAACAAAGTCCTCATCTCTGGCCTGACCCTGCTGTGAAGCTGAAACGGCAGCAGAGGCAGAACCAGCAGGGCCAGGATGTCTCTCTCCCTGTCCTGCCAGCAGTACTGGTTTCCTGGGTGCATGGTTTACAGCAGCATCTCTGGGCTCTAGACTGTCTTCACCAGCAGGACCAGAGCTCTGCCTCGCCCCAGCCTCTCTTGTGCAACTGTCCCCAGTCCTGGCTCCAGAGGGGCCCTGTGTACAGTCATTAGTCCTGCCAGTTCCTGTAGCTCTGTCAGTGGTTGTGGTTGCTCTGTGGGTGGTCCCTGCCACCACCCTCCCACATCCACCCACCTGTCTGTGTGTGGCTACCATAGGTCCAGCTCTGCCCGCAGATCCAGTCACTGGTCTAACTCCGGTCCTCGCGGTTGCCCCTGGGCTCCCAGTGCCCCGTACTGTCCCACTGTCAGCCACAGGTCTTGCAATGGTCTCCCCAGCCTCAGTAGTAATTCCTTTACTGCTAGTCCTCCTGCTGTTCTCTGCAGCAGCCTTCATGTCTGCCTTGATCTGTTCACTGGTCACCTGACAGCTCTTCTCACAGCTGCTCTCTAACACCTGAGCCTTTGTGTGATCTACCGAGGCTGATACAGCCACATAGTTACTCCGCCGCAGGGGAGTCTTTCCTTTACCTGGAAACACACACACACACACACACACACACACACACACACGTTACACTTCCATTCACTCCAGAACTAACTAAATAATACATTTGTTAAAAAATGTTCAACAAAAACCCTGGTAAACCAAGTTCTTGTGCTTCTCAAGATCAGGTGTCTTTATATTTTCAAGGGCCGGCTGTCGTATAAAAGGTAGAGCAGGTTGTCCACTAATCAGAAAGTCAGCAGAGGTAGAGACTGCTTTTTAAAGACTTTTAGGGATAAGGTTACAATTAGATTAAGGTTAGGGGGTAAGGGTAAGGAGCTAGGAGTGCTCAAGAGTGTCAATGAGAGGTCCCCACAGGGATCAAAGACAAACATATGTGTGAGTGTGTTTCGCCACATACTGGAAAAAAAACTAAAATTTTTTTAACTTATATCCCCCTCATACTGTTGCACATCGACAACCCAAATGATATGCTCATCAAACGCACTGTTGTGACTGCCCGGTGTGTTCTGTGTTGTGCTGACACCTTCTGTACAGGAAGCTGGCTGCTGCAAACAGGAAGCTGGCATTAGCCTTGAAACAAGGCCTTCTTCTTCCTCACTGTCCGAGTCTGAAATGACCAGCGGCGGCTTGGGAACAGAGGCACCAGCTGGTCTGCACTGCTGGACTAAACCACTGGGACCTGAAGATGGGAAGGATAGATCAGTAGACGTCATAACGTAATAAGAAAAGCTTTCCAATTCATAAGAAGGGTAGTGAGAGCACACACAGCTTGTCTTAACCTCCGCTAATGATAAAAAAAGAGCAGCTCCTTACCTGCTTGCTCTTCATCAGGAGCCTGTGGTGTTCCAGCTGGACGACTGGGCCCTGGAGACACATCAGCTTCTTCCACTCTCACCTCCTCTTCTGCTCCTTTCAGCTCTATCTGAGGATCAGCCCCCATGTTCTCCTCCTCCAACATTACCTCATCATCATCATCGTCCTCCATCCCATTTACCTCCACTGGTGCTGTGGAAACAAACATAACTTCTTTACTTACTGTCATGAGTAGGTTATGTTTCAGGTCCCATTTGTTTATTTGTCTGTAAACAGGATCGCTCAAAAAGCACAGACTAAAAGCAGTCTACTTAACATACAGTGGTCAGATTTCTCGTGGTTGCATCTGGCTTTTAGGTGGCACAACCCTACCATGTGAGAATTAAACTGCCATAACTAAGTGTTTATGAGCATGACTCACTTATCATTTAGCTCACTTCATCTTTGTACAGAGAGACAATACCACCAGACTGGACTCCTTTTGCAAGATTTGCAGTCCTGTTAGCCCTTGCCATATTTCTATAAAAAGGTTTTTCTAAAGATTGCTGGCAATAATTTGAATCTGAAATAAAAGTCCATAACAAATGAAAATGTGAAAAAGTGAACGGATGTAAAAACTTAAGATGGTAACGAGCTGCTGTGATTTCTGCTGCTCCACTGACTAAGACTGCGGGTGGGACTTGCCATTGGGCTGCTGCTGCTGCTGCTGCTGCTGCCTTTGGTTGTTGTTGTTGACGTTGTTGTTGACAGGTGGAGGAGCGGGAGGCAGGTTGGCCTCATTATTGTGGTGGTGGTTGTTGTTGTCGTGGTCATTGTTGGAGTTCTGATTGCTGACCAGTGCCGAGGACACGCCAATACCAGTTCCTGCACTCAGGCCCACCCTGGCACAGCCCTGACACACACACACACGATGCATTATATGCATTAGCACATACACTAACTTTCTTAAGCACCTCATACCTGCCAATCAACCATTAACATGGGAAAAGATTTCTTTGTTGCTGTTACTTATAAACTCTGGGTTTTCTGCTATCAGTTACATTCAGTCATGGCGAGCTGGTGAATCTGTAAAGTAGTACTGCTGACACCAAGCCAGCACTACAGCTCAACAACAACAACTCATAAAGCACCATGCACGTGCTTCACAATCAATGCATTTTAAAGCAACGGCATTGGTAGGCCTGCACTGTGATACCGGAAGTGCTGACAGTGACACGGCCAGCCAACATGTAGTTTTTCTAAAATTACAATCAGACATCTGTGTCAGTAGGTTGTTTTAAAACACTGTAAAGGCAAAATTGTTTTTATGACATGTTTAACACACCTCAATAAAAAGGGAAATGGCCCAGAAAGCGAGGGCTGACAAAACAACTTAATGACAACATTTCCAGCAATTGGAATAAAAGTAAAAACAGACACTAAAAGGATGATGGGGGTAGGGTATAGGTGGGTTCTGAGTGCATGCTGTGTGTGTGTGTGTGTGTTGATGAACATACTGAATACCTTGGGTGGTTCTCTAAACATCTGATCCAGACAGATAAACTCCAGACTGGGCAGTAACTCTATGAACTGGGAGAAGGATTCCAGTTTGATGGCATGACAGCGAACCAGAGTGAGATCAACAAGACGGCTCCATCTGGACTGATCTGAGGACAGGAGCAGGCACAACATAACAGCTACTCAGAGCTCTAAATCAAGACTCAGAGCGAGAGATGATGATGATCTCATTATTGAATTGTACTAACTATATATGAACGTTCTACCTGATGTAACAAACTGAGCTCGCCACAAACATATGGACACTAGTATTAGAGCCATGTCTGACTGTAGCCAAGTACCAGTGAGGATTCAAGTGGAGAGAGTGAGTCAGGAGTGGGTTTTACCTGTGATCCAGTGGTGAGGGTTGTGCAGGTGTGGACAGTTGTAGATGAGGAGGTATTTAATATTAGTGAACACCTCATTCACCACCTTTATGCCAATATCAGTGATGATGCCGGGGTTCTCAATGACATCAGCCAGACCGTACTTCACCAGCTCCGAATGACTCAACTTACCTGCCACACACACACACACACACACACACACACACACGATGTTGCATTTTTTCCACACACCTGTAATCTAAACTTATAAAATTCAAGTCACCAGAATCTGACTTTTTTCCCCTGTACACCATAGATTTTTAAACATCGTCAGAACAGAAAAGTTGTTTTAGTGCCCAGTGTCCTCTGAGACTGATGATGATGATATCTGAGAGAAGGAACTAACATTGCAGCAGGAACTCATCCACATATCCCAGATGAAGCGTCTCAAACTGAGGGAACTCTAGTTCAGCCATTTTGAGAGCTGAGAAGACTCCATCTTTAGTGAGTGAAGGCTGGATCCGCAGCTCATGGAGCCTGTTAAACACAGAGTATTGTTTAAATGGCTTAATGGACCAACATAAACACAGATATAATGCTGATTTCTGCCACTTTAATCCTTGAATGTTAACAAAATGTTGTTGTTTCCTTACAAGAAACGGCCACAAGTAAATGTTAATATGATAATATATGCATGGCAAGATAATGCAGGGAATGTTCTTCATTTACTTTGTTACAGACCACTTTGCAAGACTGAACAGTGACTAAACAGCGTGTCCACAAGATGCCAATGAAACTGGCATTTTAAGCTGAAATGAGCACCTGCGAGCAGCAGTGATGATAAGGTAGCCCAAGTCCACTTCCAGAGCGTTCTTACAGGCTCCAAACACAATGGTGTGGAGGTTCCGAAATCCTCCTGGAGACAAACATTCACAGCATTACAGACAACAAACACATCTTATTAAGTTTGGGTGCATTTGTCAGCATTGTAACTGGTATTAAGAGGATGCAAATCGTCGGTGACTGATTACAAACGACAGTGGAAAACAATTGTCAACATTCTCAAACAGCTTGTAACAAAAAATGACAATGATGAATGAAATGCCAAGACAAAAGCAAAACCAACACTGAATGAATCCTAGCAATGTGCATTGTCAGTATGCCCACAGTGTGAGAACAAGTCACTCAAGCACTTCAATAAAACACACACTCTGGTAGAACCAACACTTGGAGATGTTTAGAAACATGTGCTCTCCTCACCTGACCTCCAGCTATCCTCCACCACATGTTGGATGAGCCCTCCCAGGAAGGGAACTCTCACCAGCTCCAGCTGCTCCAGGTTCCGGGCTGATGCTAAACCGGTAACCAGGGGAACATATTTGAGCGAGTTGGTTGGCCCTGCACAGTTCCGCATGACAAAGGTTCTCAGGCTCACACACAGAAAGTCCTTAAACGGCTGTGGTTTGGTGAGACGGACCCATTTCAGGTAAAGGTGGCGCAGCATGGACACACAGGGGATCTCTGGGACATTCACACCTACAAACAAACAAACAAACAAACACTATGTGAAGTACATCAAAACAGCCGTGGTATTTGGGGTGGTGATGGAACAGTGGATAAGAGACATGCCTTTGGTGTGAGAAACTTGGGTCTGAATCCACTGTGACACACCAGTGTGTCCCTGAGCAAGACACTTCACCCCTAGTTGCTCAAGAGGCGTGCGACCTCTGACATGTATAGCAATTGTAAGTCGCTTTGGATAAAAGCGTCAGCTAAATGAATAAATGTAAATGTATTTTTAACACTAGAGGTGACAATGGAGCCAACAGGAACACTCTTCAGGCCTGTGTATTATTCGCCACAAACTCATGCACTAACAGGGATGAAGCTGACTTCAGCTGTAGCATTGAGGCAGTGGCAGGAACTGTTCTACTTACCCACTAGATGTAGGGTCTGGATCTTTGCAGTTATGGGGATGGTCAGTTTGTTCTCAGCGGGAATGGGAAAAGACCCGTTACGGTTGCGGAACTTTCCTAGTATGTGAACCTGAGGCATGTAGTTCCATATGGCTTCCACCAGCTCCAGATGGGACGTCTCCACGCCCTGAAATGAAGTAAAAAACAAAAAAAATGTTGAAGGTTCACTTTCAAGCCCCTATTCAACCTCATCTTGCAGTTTTTCCTCAGTGGATCGAGTTTGCTCTGATGTAATGGCAATAGCTTACACCGTGACATGCAGGTGAAAGCTCTGGAGAAATCTAGTATGTGTGAAAATCCTACTTAACCTTGGAATCAGTAGTTTGACAATGGTTAGAGTTGTGTTTTTGTTAACTACACATACACCATTATCCTTGTTTGATAGATGGTCCAGGCCAAAAAAGCATATTGATCAACAGCAAAGTTTGTGTTTCATGTGGAAGATAAAAGGGCTGTCAAACATTTCTCAGAGTCTGATCTTACTCAGGTATAAGGTTAGCCGACGTGCACCTCCTCAAAAATGTAACTACACGTTGAGTCGACGCGGACGGTGGCTGTAACACAGTGAATTAATATACAGGTGCTGGTCATTTAATTAGAATATCTTCTATTTCAGTAATTCCATTCAAAAAGTGAAACTTTATTATATAATATTATATTCATTCATTACACACAGACTGATATATTTCAAGTGTTCATTCCTTTTAAATTTTGATGATTATAACTGACAACTAATGAAAATCCCAAATTCAGTATCTCCGAAAATTATCGTCGTGCGTGGTGGTTCTTGAAGCACTGACTCCAGCTGCAGTCCACTCTTTGTGAATCTCCCCCACATTTTGAATGGCTTTTGTTTCACAATCCTCTCCAGGGTGCGGTTATCCCTATTGCTTGTACACTTTTTTCTACCACATCTTTTCCTTCCCTTCGCCTCTCTATTAATGTGCTTGGACACAGAGCTCTGTGAACAGCCAGCCTCTTTAGCAATGACCTTTTGTGTCTTGCCCTCCTTGTGCAAGGTGTCAATGGTCGTCTTTTGGACAGCTGTCAAGTCAGCGGTCTTCCCCATGATTGTGTAGCCTACAGAACTAGACTGAGAGACCATTTAAAGGCCTTTGCAGGTGTTTTGAGTTAATTAGCTGATTGGAGTGTGGCACCAGGTGTCTTTAATATTTTACCTTTTCACAATATTCTAATTTTCTCTAATTTTTCATTAGTTGTCAGTTATAATCATCAAAATTAAAAGGAATGAACACTTGAAATATATCAGTCTGTGTGGAATGAATGTTTACATTATATACAAGTTTCACTTTTTGAATGGAATTACTGAAATAAATCAACTTTTTGATGATATTCTAATTATATGACCAGCACCTGTATTTGACCATCGCAACCCAAGTGAAATTACTTGTTTCACTATCAAAATGTGATCCATTTGGTTGGTAACATTTGAAAAGGCTACACCAGCCGCACGTTTACAATTTTAGTCTCATTTACATTAGCGGAGCGCTAAACCAGAAGTTAGCCTGCTCGGCCGGCAAAAGTCAACACAGTGGACGCTGTAGCGCTACTGCCGACTGGACAACTAATTGCAGAATGACAGACACACCTACGCACAAGTATAAATGCATGGTTACGTGCGTACCCTACGCAGGAGTATAAATGGGCCTTAAGAGGGCAACAACGTAGCTACAATCTCAGTTTCTACAAGTAATTTGAACTTCTTACAGCACCTCTACACTCTGTACAGTTTTTACATTTCTATGGGGCAAAAACAGACTGTTGAGTGCCACAGAATACCAAAATTATGCAGGCCATTTCACTAATAATGACACCAACAACCAAAGAGGAGGAGCCAATCAGTAGAATCACACTGAACGTTTGTAACCTGCATGCTCCTGGCTCTGTGAGATGCATCAGTGCACCTCTCTGCGCAGGATAGCATTTTCAGACTAAATACTGACCAGCAGATTGGGACAGGCTTGTAGTGCCTCCAGGACTCCAGGTATACTGAAAGCCTCGTAGCCCCGGACTCGTCTCCTCTCCAGGTATCGAGGGTGGAGGCCATAAAGCTGCTCCAGATCTGGCATCTTCTTCAAAAGGAGCAAAAAGCTGCTGTCTGTAAAACCTAACCCAGAAACAAAATAAACACCATTAATCAGTATTAACCATGCCACTATCAACCTACCAAACTCTTCCCAGACCACTTTGCTTTTCAAATCACTGCAGTGGCTCCCTGCTGCAGCTGACAACCAGTGCAAGACTCTAGTACTGATCTAACACTACACACAGCCCCACCATTACTATCTGCCTCTGCGGTCCACCCTGTCGCTCAAAGACCCTGCAAACTTGTCTCCGTCAAAGCCCTTCTCTGTTCTGGTCCTACTGGGGTGGAATGAGGAGCAGTCCTGTAGCACTGAACATGCTCTGTGTTATTTGTTTATTGGGGTGCTGTGGTTGTGCTGCAAGCTCTTACCTGAAGGCATATACTCCCACCAGCGACCAGCACACAGATCCACTACCTTGACTACTCGTAGGTACAGAGTTACAGCTTCGCGAAGCTTTCTGGACAGACACTCCATACACATGATGTCCTTCATGGGAAGGTACCTATGAAACAAAACAATCTTCAAACTTTCAAAACCTCCAGCACTGCAATGTTACAAATCATAAAGCACATCTGCTTTAAGGCAGGTCTGCATTTTTCTATGACTTTTTAGGTATATCAGACAAATATATTTACATAAAGGGGAATTAAACTGTACTGTGTTGGATTTTTTTCATCTGTGAAGCTGCAGATATCCTACTCATGGTAATGGTCATGCAATATAATGACAATAAAAACACATGCTGTAGACCCCTACCCAGCCCTGGAATGTATTGTAAAGTACACAACACAATGGTGCAGCTGGAGGGCTGTGTACCTGAATATGTGACAGAGGACTTCATGGGACAGCTCATTGATGTAGTCTTTGGGTTCACTGGGTCTCAGGACCAGCTCCCCTCCACCGCTGCCCCCTACAGGTTGGAGTTTAGAGGCCTTTCTTCTAGGACCCATCACGACACTGCTCAGGCTATACACACACACTGCCTCCCTCCTGCAGCATGGAAACTATTTCCCAGGCCTGGACCTCAGTTCTGGACACATAGAAAGACAAGTTAATGGGAGCGAGGGAAGAGGATACAAGGCCCTCTCATTTGCCTTATTGCATGTCTCCTCGCTCCTCGGGAGACTGAGCTGTTGTGATCTGCATCTCGACAGTGGTGAAAATACAAACAGGAATAAAAGTACAAGTATCAAGCCGGTTAGGTTGAGATTGTATTAGTTTCTGACTCACCTCACTTCAAACCTGATCAACAAAGGAACCATAAAACATTGTTTTTTCTATTCAGGGCCTGTGATTTCCACTTTTAAAGATTTTGGGTTGTCTTATAATTAAAATGTATTTTAATGAATCCATTTTAGTATGTGATGCTGAAAATCCCTGTGGGTAGAACACATTTCAATGTGAGATGGATTTAGGTTACATAATTTCAACTTTCCCTAAAACTTTTATGTCACTTCTACACATGACAAGACATTCCCATAATTACATGGATTATTGCATTATTTATTTGCAGACAGAATATAAATAAATGCTAATGGTGCTGAACAATGAATCAAAACAATCTAAAAATGATGCTGCTGTATTTTTACTGAGGTCTGTCCAAACAAGCATGTTCCCTTACATCTGGACAAAATGATTTGTAGGCCAGGGCGTCTCAGCAGCAGCACAATGCTGCATTTATAATGGCACATGACACATTTTACCTAAAACAGTGGAGCTCCTTAGCCATTTTGCGATTCTGATAACATTTCAATTCATGGCTCAGCCATACGTGGGAGTGACTAAGATGTGGGGAAGTTGCAAGTGAAGGAAACCAGGAGACATTTTAGATATGAGACGCACACAGAGAGTGCATGACATGCAAGCTGCTTCTGTCTGTCAATCTATTCAGGACAGGATGTCATTCATCTGCTTTCCACATGATAATCACATCCAGATTTCTGCTCACTGGTGCCTGTGCAGTCTTCAACTGCATGAAAACTCCGCCAGTGTCCATCATCACTCTAGCAGTCATCAGTAAATATGAACCTCCTTTTATGTCTGGCTGCCTGGACACTACTGCACTTCAACACTCTCTGCTGGATTTGATTTCTCTACGTGATCCCCAGTAATGGAAGAGGAGAGCAAAAAGCAAGAACAAAATGATCCTCCACATAAGTGGCTTTTGCTCTGTAGATCTCCACCAACTCCAAAGACACTCATTTGGCTCTCCGTTGCTAGACACTTAACTGTGTTCACCAGTTACTCAGTAGCTTTGTGTATCTGCCATCTGCTTATTTGTAGTTAAATGCAATTTGCAAATTGGAGTTGGTGTGCGGGCATTGCTTTTGTCACGTGTATTCTCTGACCAGGTGCTGCCCCGTTTAAAAGGGGAACTCCACATTTTCATACATGAAGATCAGTCACGAGGAGTACCACTCAGTCTAGGAAAACACTTGTCAAGTATGAGAAAATAACCCTGGTGATGTCATAGTGATGCCATCAAGGGGCTTACAGACTACGCATTTACAGGGTCTAAGGAAAGATGCATTATGGGAATTGCAGGGTCCAGTGTCTTCGGAGCACGAACTACTCGGAGGAGGTTGTGTGCCTTTAGCTGACGCCAGCCAGATGTACTTCGTTGCAAGACCAGTATGTGAAGGTTAGGTCTAACAGGAAAACAGCTTAGTTATGGCAGGGTACATAACCCATGTCACTGTAGCGTTAACGTTGGCTGGGAAGCTTTGAGCCAAAGCATAACAAGACAAACAGCGTTATTCATGTTAGCCAACTGACAAACGACAGTGCACCGGTATCCAAAGAATGGCCAGTTAAACGTGTACTTACAACGTGAGAACTAACATTAAAACTGTTAATTATTCCACGTCTGTCAAACTCGCTGAACGTTTTCATGCTTTAAAGTTAACCTGGTCTTTGTCAAAGCTAGCTTACTAGTTAGCATAGCCACAGCTAACAGTGTACACAAAGACAAAACCACACAATTAAACAATCAAACCAGCACGCAGACTAAAGTAGTGTAGCATTTCCCAAGGCGTTTAGCAGTGGTGCTAACATACCAGTATTTTTCTATGAAAGCCGCTGTGGGGTTGCTCTTCTGCCATCCTGCATCCTGCAGTGTTTGCTAAGCTTCGCTCTATCACTACTACTTCTTCTTCTTCTTCTTCTTCTTCTTCTTCTTTGGGTTTTTACGGCAGCTGGCATCCATTGAGTTGCATTACTGCCACCTTCAGGCTTTCTTTACCCTTTGCTTTCATTCATAATGTTAGCTACTTTGTTGACTAGAGGCATTTATAGTAGTTTACAATACTTAATCTGCCTACCTAATCCAGTCGCCCTCAGAAAACCAAATATCCATTTCCTACCCTCCACACTCTCTCCATAATAAACTTTTTACTGTATTATCCACCTGTCTGATTTTTTTAACTGTGTTATCATTTCTTGGCTTTCCTGAGTAAATTTCCTGCATGTTGTAAGAATGTGTTCTACTGTTTCAGCCTCCTGACATTGTTCACACATTCCTGTAGGATGTTTTCCTGTAAGTAAAAGTGTGCTGTTAAGATTGCTATGCCCAATTCTCAGCCTGCTTATTTTCTGCTTCTTGGCAACCAGCGTATCACGTGTATTCTCGCCACCTTCTGCTTCAGAGTGTTGACCAGAGATTAAATCCTACCCATTAATGTTTCTCCAAGTTTGTTTGAAGGAATCAAAAGAAGTTTTACTATCTGTTACTATCATTAATGTTATATTTAGAAAGTCTGAATTCCAGCCCTCCTTAGATCTTCCTACATTTGTCACCTTTCTTGCTGATACTTACTATTCAATTCAGTTCAATTCAATTTTATTTATATAGCGCCAAATCACAACAACAGTTATCTCACAGCGCTTTTCATAAAAGAGCAGGTCTAGACCGTACTCTGTGATGCTATTTACAGAAGCCCAACAGTTCCCACCAAGAGCAAGCACTAGGCGACAGAGGCAAGGAAAAACTTCCTTTTAAGAGGCAGAAACCTCGAGCAGAACCATGGCTCAGGGTGGGCGGCCATCTGCCTCGACTGGTTGGGGTGAAGGAGAGAGAGAGGGGAGGGAGGCAGCCTACGCAATATACACACAGAGGTACAGACAGTTAAGGTGATGTTGCTATAGACTAAATGAAAAATCGTACAGATATTTATAGTAGTGGTAATGATAACAATCGCAATGTTAATGATTATATTAACAATAATAACAATAGGACTAGTAACAATAGTCGTTAGCAGTCGGGGGCAGCAGGCGACCCGCAGCCACAGATCCAGACTCCACAGCTCCAGAGCCAGAAACACCTGCAGGAAGTGATAGGAGGAGAGAGGAGAGGGACGAGAAAGCACAAGACTACCGGAAAGGGGAGAAGTTGTGTTAGTAACATGCAATAATGGGATGAGGTTGCATACAGAGGGAGAGAAAGTAGAGGAGAGAGGAGCTCAGTGCATCATGGGAAATCCCCCGGCAGTCTAGGCCTATAGCAGCATAACTAAGGGATGGTTCAGGACTCACCTGAGCCAGCCCTAACTATAAGCTTTATCAAAGAGGAAAGTCTTAAGCCTACTCTTAAATGTGGAGATGGTGTCTGCCTCCTGAACCCAAACTGGAACCTGGTTCCACAGGAGAGGAGCTTGATAGCTGAACACTCTGGCTCCTAGTCTACTTTTGGAGACTCTAGGAACCACAAGTAACCCTGCATTCTGGGAGCGCAGTGCTCTGGTGGGGTAGTAAGGTACTATGAGCTCTTTAAGATAAGATGGTGCCTGACCATTAAGAGCTTTGTAGGTAAGAAGAATGATTTTAAATTCTATTCTGGATTTTACTGGAAGCCAATGCAAAGAAGCTAAGACAGGAGAAATATGATCTCTTTTCCTGGTTCCTGTCAGAACACTTGCTGCAGCATTCTGGATCAGCTGAAGAGTCTTAACGGACTTTTTCAAGCAGCCTGATAATAAAGAATTGCAGTAATCCAGCCTAGAAGTAACAAATGCATGGACTAGTTTTTCTGCATCATTTTTAGAGAGGATGTTCCTGATTTTCGCAATATTACGTAGGTGAAAAAAGGCGGTCCTTGAAATTTGCTTAATGTGAGACTTAAATGACATGTCCTGATCAAAGATAACTCCAAGATTCCTCACAGTGGTGCTGGAGGCCAGGGCGATGCCATCAAGGGAAACTATATCTTTAGATAATGCGTCACGGAGGTGCTTAGGCCCCAGAACAAAAACTTCAGTTTTATCTGAGTTTAACATTAGAAAATTACAGGTCATCCAGGTTTTAACATCCTGAAGGCACATTTGAAGTTTAGCTAACTGATGAGTTTCATCTGGTTTGATCGATAGATATAACTGAGTATCATCTGCATAACAATGAAAGCTTATGGAATATTTCCTGATAATATTGCCTAAAGAAGCATATATAAAGTGAAGAGGATTGGTCCGAGGACAGATCCTTGAGGAACTCCATGACTAACTTTGGCATGCATGGAGGACTCATCGTTAACTTGTACAAACTGAAATCGATCTGATAAATAGGACTTAAACCAGCTTAGAGCGGTTCCTTTAATGCCAATGAAATGTTCCAGTCTCTGCAATAGGATCTGATGGTCAATGGTATCAAATGCAGCACTAAGATCTAATAAAACCAGTACAGAGACAAGTCCTTTGTCTGATCCAATAAGGAGGTCGTTAGTAATTTTCACCAGTGCTGTCTCTGTGCTATGATGAGCTCTAAATCCTGACTGAAAATCCTCAAATAAACTATTGCTCTGTAGAAAGTCACACAGCTGTTTAGCAACTGCTTTCTCCAGAACCTTAGAGAGAAATGGAAGGTTAGATATAGGTCTATAGTTGGCTAAAACATCCGGATCAAGTTTGGGCTTTTTCAGAAGAGGTTTAATTACAGCTACTTTAAAGTACTGTGGTACATAGCCTGTTGATAGAGATAGATTGATCATATCTAGTATAGAAGTGCTGACTAAGGGTAAAACATCTTTAAGCAACCTAGTCGGGATGGGGTCTAAGAGGCAGGTTGATGGTTTAGATGAAGAAATTATTGAAGTTAGTTGGTAAAGATTGAGGGAAGCAAAACAGTCTAAACATATATCTGGTTCTACAGCTGTTTCTAAGGTTCCTGAGTTAAGAGATAAGTTGGTGCCAGTTGAGGGCAGGTCTTGTTGAATTTTGTCTCTAATAGCTAGAATTTTATCATTAAAGAAGCTCATGAAGTCGTAACTACTGAGAGCTATGGGAATACTTGGTTTTAAGATTATCTTGCCAAATTAAACGAGAATTTTCCAGTTTGGTGGAACGCCAATTCCTCTCAAGTTTCCGCGATATTTGCTTTAATTTGCGAGTTTCAGTATTATACCATGGAGCTAACCGTCTATGTTTTAGTATTTTCTTTTTTAGAGGGGCTACAGAGTCGAGTGTCATTCGCAGCAAGCCTGCAGTACTATTAACAAGATGATCAATTTGGGAGGGACTGAAATTAGCATAGGAGTCCTCCGTTACTTTGTGACTAGATAATGTATTTAGAGCTGATGGAATCGCATCCTTAAATTTAGCTACAGCACTATCAGACAGACATCTTGTATAGAAATTTTTGCCCAGTGGCGTGTAGTTCAGCAATACAAACTCAAAAGTTATCAAACAGTGGTCGGACAAAGAGGGATTTTGTGGGAACACCACTAAATGTTCAATTTCAATACCATACACCAGAACAAGGTCGAGGGTGTGGTTAAAACAGTGAGTCGGTTCATGAACACTCTGAGAGAAGCCAATGGAATCTAACAGAGAGATAAACGCAGTACTGAAGCTGTCATTCTCAACGTCCACATGAATATTAAAATCCCCTACAATAATAACTTTGTCTGTTTTAAGGACTAAAGTTGACAAAAACTCTGCAAATTCAGATAATAATTCAGAGTACGGGCCAGGTGCTCGGTACACTATAACGAAGAGAATTGGTTGCAGTGATTTCCAACTTGGGTGCGAAAGACCAAGAACAAGGCTTTCAAATGAGTTATAATTTAGTTTAGGTTTAGAGCTGATTAGTAGGCTAGAGTCAAAGATAGCTGCAACTCCACCTCCTCGGCCTGTGCCTCGAGGAATGTGAGTATTAATATGACTGGGAGGGGTGGATTAATTTAGGCTAACATATTCTCCATCACCCAGCCAGGTTTCAGTAAGACAAAATAAATCAATATCATAATCTGATATTAGTTCATTTACTAGTACACCTTTAGAAGAGAGAGATCTGATGTTTAAGAGTCCACATTTAACTCTACTATTCGTTTGCACTATTGCTCTTGTGGTTAGCAAAAACCTAAACTCCCTTATTACATGCACAACAGACTCAACCTGACAATGTTCACATAAACCATTTGGATGCTTTCCCATTATCTTAAGTGTGCTACTTAGATTGGCACTTATTCTTATTCTACTGAAAGTGACCTCTGCTTTTCTTGGCCGACCTATGTTTCTAAATGATGAATTACCTTGCTGTTAAAATTATACAGAAATGTTCCTCTTATTTCAGTGTTCCACTGCTCTTGCCCCTCTTCTTTTTCAGGGATTGTAATCCAGTACACTTTGATATATATTTTCTCACGGTTTGTCAGCTCTCCATTGTGATTGTGCTCCGGTTTTCCTACACGCAGGATCTAAAACGGGCAATAAGACGAGGGCAAAGGCCAAAAATGTTATCATGATAAAAAGCTCTTCATGTCTTTCTATATCTATAATTATCACCAATTATGGCATTATCAAGTATCAAATCTTTATTTCTTCAAGTTTGAAGACTGAGTGAAAGTTGAAGAAACCTGATGGTTAATTGTGGATTAAACTCTTCTTTATGGTCAACACTTGAGGCCAATCAGTGGATCACTTCACAAATCTGAGGTAGAACATTGGAAACAATTATGATAAAATCTTTGTTAACACATATGCATGAGTAAAATAAGTAAAAGATTTTTTCAGTCCTTTTTCCTCACCAAAATAAACATCTTAAAAAAAATTAAGTCCTAAGTCTTGTATGATACAAGTGAATAAAATTAAACATTTATTGAACATTTGTTATAATGTTATTGAAAAAAATTATATCGTAATAATTATTGTCATTGTTTTATTGTCCAGCCCTATGAAGGCCTAATACCACACCTGGGAGAGATGGTCTGGGGTACAAGGTATTGCATGGCATTAGAGGAAATGTTAGCGCTGATAAATACAGTATGGGAGGAAGGGCTAATCCCGGGAGAGTGGAAGCATGCAGTGGTCATCATGATTTTAAAACCTGTGAAGGAAGCTGAGAGTCCTGGATCTTCCAGACCAATAGCCCTTACAGCAGTTATCAGCAAAATAATGGAAAGAATGGTTACAGATAGACTTGTGCACAGGCAGCTGGTCTTTCAAAGCGGGTTTAGGCTTGGTAGGGCAACAGTGGATTCAGTTCTATTATTAAATAGAGAGGTTAAAAGAGCTCTAAACAAAGAGGTGGTGATTGGTGTCTTCTTGGATATAGAGAAGGCATATGCATGCTGTGGAGAGATGGTTTAGTAATCAAGTTATATGAAGCAGGGATTCGAGGGAGGGATTTTTTGAGATCCCGGACCATACAGGTAAAAGTGTGTGTGTGTGTATGTGTGCAGATGATGGAGCAATATAGAAGAGAGGAAAAGAACTTTGGAAAAGAAGACGGAAGAGAGGGACAGTTATATACAAATAGTAAATCTTCACTTAGAGGAGATGGGCTTGAGTGGGGTAGAGGTAGTGCTGTCTGTATGCTGGCCAGTTGTCCCTCGATGGTTATGGTCAGAAGCTGAAATAGACTTGTCTGTTAAAGAGTCAATACAGATCAATGAAATGGGAAATCCTGTAGTTTGTGTAGAAGAACACCTTAGGATTAGGTGGAGGGACTATATAAGCGTACATACTGATGGGTCTACAGACCCTGAAAGGCTTGTATGCTCCCCATGTTCAAATCTGTCAGTGTAGAAGACTGCCTGATGGGATTTCCGTATTCACTGCAGAATTAGTTGCTTTATTGTGAACAGTGTGGTGGGTGGAGGAAGGGGGTTCATACTGTGTACAGACTCCTTATCTGCCTTGATGGCATTGGGTGGAGGTGAAGGTGGAAGAGCTAGGCCAGACATAGTTGGGGAGATTTTAATGATGATTTTTTAACTGGAGTGGCAGGGGTATAGAGGGGTTTTTCTTTGGATGCCAGTCCATGTTGAGGGTCATGAGGTGGCAGATCAGGTAGCTATAAGGAAAGTTTGAGCAGGGATAGTGTAGATGTGCAGGGGCCACTTGGTAGGATGGAAAGATTGTACCTCAGTGAGAGACTGTGTCATCTGTGGCAACAAGAGTGGGAAGCAAACAAAAGCGGGAGAAAGCTGTACAACATTCAACCTGCAGTAAAGCTCGGCAATAGAGTGACCATGCCTCGGACTTAAGTTAAAGTGACAAGGCTGAGACTGGGACATTGTGCATAGAGAGCAGTTGTGAACACTGTGGAGTCCTGGAGTCTGTACAACATAAATGCATTGCCCACTCTATGCCAAGCAAAGGAGGGATTTATTCATAGGATTAGGCAAACTGAGCATGGAAATATTTTCCATCTGAACACTGAGTGATGGGGTAGCCTACTTCAAAAAGAGAGATACAGAGAAATAATAAACTTCCTTAAATCCACAGGACTATATTGCAAGTTATAGCTTTTCGGGTCCTTTCAGATAGAAAGTAATTTGCGCTGCGCAAAAGTTAAACTATTGTGAACTTTGACCACGTCCTTTTATTGTGGCCAGCCTAAGTCCTTTTATTGTGGCCAGCCTCCTAACGCACACCTTTGCAATTCCCATGCTGGCTGATCAGCATCTTGATATGCCACACCTGTGAGGTGGATGGATTATCTCGGCAAAGGAGAAGTACTCACTGACACAGATTTAGACAGATTTGTGAACAATATTTGAGAGAAATAGGCCTTTTCTGTACATAGAGAAAATCTTATATCTTTGAGTTCATCTCATGATGAATGGGGGCAAAAACAAAAGTGTTGTGTTTATAATTTTGTTCAGTGTAATATTAGATGCGTTCGAGATGACAGAAGAAGAAGACGAAGAAGGATGCCTTATTTTAAGTCCAGCGTGCATCACGTTAAGTGAGCGCTGCGCAGCGCTGCATGAAGTCAAACGCACCTATCGCCATTAGGTGATAAAGCGTCAGTGGCAATACTATACTGGTGGGAGGCAGCAATGCACTAAAACAGTGCCGAGAAAAAAACGCAGAAGAAGAAAAAGGAGCAGCGAAAAGGACTGGCAGCTCACTGTGATTGGCTGAGAGGTGACCAATAGGCAGCTGACAGGAGTTACCGTGTGTGGTGGTCGGGCTGCAGCAGTGGTGCACAATGTTCGGGAAACTTTCCTATTTGTTGTTTCTGCTCATTATTTTCTACAATGGCCACACTGACGCGCAGAAGAAAAAAGAGGTAACATGCTTTTAATATCATAAAGTGGAAAAAGTTCATAAATCTTCTCCGGAAATGTTTGCGAGGTTTTCTAAGTTGACTATAGTCCGTGTCAATGTTAGAGGCTAACGTTAAGCTAACAGCAACCAGAAATGAGCTGACCGTAAGTAGTTTTCAACAAATAACATTTATTTGACCTTAACTCATACACACTGAAAACGTTTGCTAAATCGTAGTGCTGGTCGTTTGCCGTTCGGTTAAGGTGAGCTTACTAAACCCAACAAAAAGTCAGCCACTGTACCACAACAAACTGCTACAGGTAGTACGGTGTTGCGGAAACTTCACTTCCGGTATCCCTCTGCCACAAAATGACAAGATGATCGGGCCAGTCTGCATCATAAACACCCCTTAAACTCTAACAAGCCGTTATACATGCTTTCCACATTCCATTAGGATTCTGGGATAGCTTTTGGTCTCTTTTGGCCTGTTTTTGCGCCTGACAACATGAGCTGTCTTCTTGTCTGCGTTCTGTCTAGACTCTGCTGTCAGAGAAAGTGACTCAGATGATGGAGTGGGCCTCCAAACGTTCAGTCATCAGGATGAATGGAGATAAGTTCCGTCGCTTTGTCAAGGCTCCTCCCAGAAACTACTCCGTGGTCATCATGTTTACAGCCCTGCAGCCACAGAGACAGTGTGGGGTCTGCAGGTAAGAAGCAGGAGCAATAGGTACAGATCCTGTTGTTTTTATTCTAAAGTGAATTTAAATGCATCTTTTCATTTCAGACAAGCTGATGAGGAGTTCCAGGTGCTGGCTAACTCCTGGCGTTATTCCTCTGCCTTCACAAACAAAGTCTTCTTTGCATGTGTCGATTTTGATGAAGGATCAGACGTCTTTCAGATGGTGAGACAACTTCTTGTTCTCCAAGACTAGCATTATGCCTTTTGTTTTTCTAAGAGTCTGCCATCCAACACCAAAAAACTGAAAGTGTTTCATTGAGAGCTTAGAGTCTTCAGGCTGTGAGTATTACCAAACATCTGCAATTAGCTCATATCAGCTCTGTTTTCAATTACAATTTTAGCGTCCTACGATTATGAAAACACAGTTATCGAGATAAAAGGCTGCTCTGGTTTTGTCTTTTGTCACCCCTGTCCTTTACAGTGGTGGCTCTGCCAAACCTTAAAGCCCAAACTCCCTCTCAGCAGGGCAGGCTGTGACGTTCAGCTCGAGGGGAGATGAAATTAGTCTAGCGTCTACCAGACTTATCCTCTACTGATAGCTTAACAGATTGTTGACAAATTGTTTCTACTTTTCTTACTCAACATTGGTTTAATCATCACTGCATCTCCAGACAGAACACTAGGTTTGAATCTTAGCGTCATCTAATTTAACAAGTTGTCGTCAGTAGTTCACCTGTTTCTGCTCCACACAGACTTTGAGCCCTCAAAGCAGAAACACTGCGCTGCCTCATCCTCTTGCGTCCAAGATGCTGTTTAAAGTTAATAATGTTGAATTACTATTTCTTATTTAAAGAGGTCATATTATGCTTTTTGGCTTTTTTCTTTTCTTTATTGTGTGTTAGCACTTTCAGACCAAAAGCGAATCAAGTGCTCAGGGCAGCGTATTAAATACAAAGTCAATACTTCATATTTATTTATTTTTATATAAAAACCTGACAAAACTGGACACTGCTTGGAGAAAAGAAAGCGAGGAAGTTGAACTACCTGGTGAGTTCAGAAAATGTGCGTCTGTTACTTTATTCCAGCTATTCTGTGAACAAGTTAGCATAGCCCCAATCAATTAAAACTCCATTCAGAAAATAAACATTTTAAAAGTTGTTGTCTTGCTGACAGACCTGACAAAGCATGTTCAAAACAACTTACAATAAGTGCATTTAAACTCCACAGGAACAAGAGCGAGATTTTTATCAATATCTGAAGGTGCATCTCTCCTAAACTAACAACTGAAAAAAATGCTGAGGTTCCTTTCCAGTGATGCTGACAAAGTCGAGGCTGAACTGAAAGATTACCATCACTCTGCTTTAAAAGCTAAGAGGCAGAAACGTCTAAATAAACAACTCTTGGTTCTTTTGAACTCTTTTGCTTACAAACTGTGCGGATGTGATCTGGATGTTCCTGCAAAAGAGACACTTTCTGTCAGTGAAACCTGAATAAATAAAGAATAAACAAACATTAAAAGCTGAGAGATTGGAATAATGAGGGATTTCTGATTTGCTAAGCTCATTTCATCAGGATCTGCTGCATATAATGAATGTTTTGACTGTTTGTGTTGCAGCTAAATATGAATTCTGCTCCGACCTTCATTCACTTCCCATCCAAAGGAAAACCCCGCAGGTCTGATACTTACGAGCTCCAGGTCAGAGGCTTTGCAGCTGAGCAGCTGGCTAGATGGGTGGCAGACAGGACTGATGTGCAGGTAATTGCAAAAAACATATCATTAAAGCGGACTTTAAGTGACCAGGGCCCTGAGGTGATCCATCATTGTGTTTGCTATAATGAAATAAACCAATAAATCCTGACTCATCAATCGGACTCATGATGACTGTAGCTTCATGTTTGTCTGTTTTTCAGATCCGTGTCATTCGTCCTCCCAACTACGCAGGGCCTCTCCTGCTGGGCTTCCTCCTGGCTGTGATTGGAGGACTGGCGTATCTACGAAGGCATAATTTGGAGTTTCTCTTTAACAATAATGTCTGGGCCTTCTCTGCGCTGGTAACAACAACCAACACACAGTACATCTGTACATAGATACATGGTGTTTGTGGGAAGTAGCCTCCTCAGCGCTTTTACACTACAATCACGTTCACCATTCATACACTGGCAGAACAATTCAGGGTTCAGTATCTTGCCCACAGACACTTCAACATGCAGCCTGGAGGAGCCGGGGATTGAACCGCCGACCTGATTAATGGCCGCCCAGAATGACAGATGAAACATGTAAATTTAAGTTCAAAAACGGCATCAGTTCTTCTAGGAACACTTACACAAAGTCAGGGATTTTGTAGGCATCTTGTCAGCTATATGATTAAACAATTATAGCAAAAAGGTTATAATGATCGTAAAGTCAATATATAGGTTGAAACACAATCATTAACAGCTGTGTTGGAGAAATACAGCTGGGTGAGGAACAGCCAAACTCCGCTAACAAGGTGAGGCTGCTGAAGACAGTTTACTCTCAAAAGAATAAGCAGAGCAACAAGACACAAGGTAGTTATACTGCATCAGCAAGGTCTCTCCCAGGGAGACATTTCAAGGCAGACAGGGGTTTCCAGATGTCCAAAATTTTCTATATTGGGATATGAATTTTTTGTCATATCACACAACCCTACTGTAGATTATTGATGTTGATATTTTTATTCTTGGCTCTATGTGAATCCTAACCCTGCCTCTACAAACAGCAAATATAGAGAAATGGTCAAATGTTGGTAGCACAAGGTAACAAGAGTTAATGTTAATTGATCAGAATTTAGGAGCAGGACATTTCCTGTCATCTCATCTTTATTTAGCTTTGTATTACAGAGGGATGTGCACCTGCGAGTAAACTGTCTGAGGCAAGAGTGTTGAAATGCAATTAGTACGATTGTAATTAGGGCTGTGCATCTTCACGATTATCAGGTCAAGGATTCGATGCGATGCGATATGTCGACGCATCACCTCAAGGGTGGGAATTCCTGTGCAACTCATTATGATTGTGAGGCTACGATTCGACAGGATAAAGATGTATTTTTTCAATACATCTACAAGCAAAATATTTGTAACAATCCAAACACAGCATTAAATTATTACAGCTTTATTACTGACCTCTGCTGCTGCTCCTATCATTTCTGATGCTGCTGTTATTAGTATAGACTGTGACCTGCACTGCACATTTACAGCCAGACTGAAACGTAACGCTCATGTTTTCCTCTGCTCCGCTGCTTTCACCTTCACCTACTGCCGCCTGTCACGTAGCTGTCCTTTGAAGAATGAGGAGAGATTTTATTGATCATGTGAAAGTTTAAAAGCTGTCTGTGCTGAACAGGGAGAACCACACGTCTCCGGAGCTGCATTTCCGAGTTCTGCTTTTATATAGCGGATAATAACATAGAAATTTATGTGTGTTTATGTGCGTTTCAGTGCTTTGTCCTGATCATGACTTCAGGTCAGATGTGGAACCACATCAGAGGACCACCTTATGCGCACAAGAACCCCAGCACCGGACAAGTTGTAAGACAGAAACACACAGTATATCCTCAGTCACAATATAATATGTGAACTAACTATCAGAATAGTCTTAAACTGTCTGTGTGTTTCAGAGCTACATCCACGGCAGCAGCCAGGCCCAGTTTGTGGCTGAGACACACATTGTCCTACTCTTCAGTATCCTTCCGCTGTATGCATACTGTATCACCCTCCCTCAGCACACATTGAATACTTAGGCCTAAACCCCCAAATCTGATCTAGAGTAACTCTTGCAAAATGCACAGATAAAAACAAGCTCAGGATATCTAATGAACTAATCCTTGACTCAGACTCTGAGTGCCAGCTCTGGTCCTGTTGCAGATTTTCTTCACTCCGCTAGCTTAGTTGTATTGTTATGTATAAAGCACATCACCTGTTTGTGGCAGGGTTGCAGACCACCTCTCTTCTACCTAACTTCAGCCCACACCATCGCATGCCTCATCTTGGCTCTTGCTGGGTTGGATCTGTTAAATTCTAGTGGTAATGGTCTGACTAAAGCCACATTCATTTGTTGTCTTAACCTTGACCTTACTGTCAGATGCTGCTATCACCATGGGAATTGTGCTGCTGTGTGAGGCTGCTACCTCTGACTTGGACATCGGAAAGAGGAAGAGTATGCATACACACTGATTATTCCTACTGACCTTAGCATCTTTGCATACACTCAAAAGCATTTTTAGCTGAATCGCAGCATTGTTGGACTGTCGAGTGTTGGACTGCCCTTATTGGCTGTTGCTCTTTCAAAGTGGCACGACCAGTCCTTAATTGCGTCTTCCGGAGGCTTTCAAGCTTGGTTTATGCTCGCGTAAGACACTGTGGCTTCCACAGGTGGCATTTGAGCCACGAATGTGCACAGAGGCGTTTAGGGAGAGTGTGCAGTATTCTCTGAAACATCATGTGGTGACAAACAAAACATTCTCTGAAGAAGCAAGAAGTCTTCAGTGAGTGGAAGAATGTTACAGACCACACATGGCTGCACCCTCTGCTGTTCAGCTCCTCCAGGCTGAGAAAGAATTGTAATTAAAGTGGGGGTAGGCCATTTATGGCAGAAGCATTTTGTTGTGTTTGTTGGAATTGTCTTTACATCACAACAGCAAGTCAAATGCTCTGACATAAACATGGAAAAAGATCCAGTATCTGTGGCTGAAGATTCTTAGTCATCCTCGTGTTCTCTCTCTGACTGGCAAATCCAAGCTTTTTAACCTCTGTAGGGTCATTATGAAGCTGATGGATACTGCTTGTTTCTTTATCCATTATTGAGAATGCATCGGAGCATGAACAAAGCTTTACAGCGAGGCGCCGACACTCCTCGGTTCTGTCCTCAGGAGCCAGCTGGACAAATCGCAATATTGGTGCAATGTGCAAATCACAGAAGTTGCAATGAAGGTGCCTCTGCTGGATCATCAATTGATAGGTTCAATAATGATTACATGCCCATATATACATGAAAACTGTTTTTGTTCCAGCCTGAAGATATCTCTTCCTATTGCGATTAACTGACCAGGTCAGGTAATCGATTCAGTCGTTTTCTCATCTGCTCCTGTTAATTTACTGTTAATGCAAACTCAGCACTTCATCAGTGCAGATGTTCACAGTAAAAGCCTCCCAGTGGCTCAGAGGGCATAATCTCTCCCTTCCCTTGCTGACCTTATAATCTCTTACCAAAAATGGTAAGGAGAAGTGATTGGAAGTAATCTGTGAATTAAAAAAGTGGGTTTTGAGCATAACGCTCTGTTGCTGTGGAAATGTACATCATATTTTCCCATGCGAGACATTATGGTACAAGCACCCATCCTGCTCAGTGCTTTTTAACCACCCTTTGTTTGTGGCAGCCATTAAAATACCACTTTGTGTTTGGGAATTTATAGCATATTTGTGATACACAGTGACATATGGTGAAAGTTAAGAGGAAAGACTGGTTCAAAACATAAAATAGAAATTCTGAAGCTCATTTTATTTGGAGCAGGTTGTGGCACATCTAGTCATTACAGGAAATATACCTGTGTATGTTAGTTTTGTAAAGACTTAACAGTAAAGACAGTTAATTACTGATGGTGAAATTGGAAGTCGTTATATGATGTTGAACATGAATGGGTCAGCACACGCATCCATTCATCAACACAGGTACACAATCTACTGTATAGCAAACTGTGTGTGTGTGTGTGTGTGTCAGTTATGTGTGTAGCAGGCATTGGTCTGGTGATGCTGTTCTTCAGCTGGCTGCTGTCCATTTTCAGAGCAAAGTACCATGGATATCCATACAGGTAGAGAGCTACATTTACATCTGTTAATCCTGCTTTACCTGCTGTGATTGGCTGAGATAATGCTAATACTTCTTATTGGCTAAAGTCGTTTTGTCTCTGTTGCAGTTTCCTGATAAGTTAGAGCTGACCAGCATCCTCCAGCACAGCAAGTTCAAGACAGGAAGTTCCCCAAAGTGCTCTCAACAAGCAGGGTGCTGTCCATGGCAACGATGTCACATTTTTGTCTGCTAAGCCATGGTTTGGCTTCTGATATGATGAGCCAAACGTGTGTGTGTGTGTGTGTGTGTGTGTACACATACATTGTGCCTTAAACAAAGACTCAACAAGCAATTAATTTGCCAGTAACCGAGCCCTAATCATCAGAGTGCATTCTAAACTGTCTCGTGCCAAAATGTGTTTTATAGATTAGAATTAGGAAAAACAAAATCAGAATTTCTTAAATTCATTGATTGGTGATAGTTTCTCAGTTACTGAACACAAATCTCAGTCTGTATCTTTATTTTTGAAACTGTTGGGACCATAAACAGGTCATGGACTCTGTTCTGTTTTGTTTGATTTTGTTTGTGTGTGCCTGAACTTAAACCAGGATTTAATATTTATTGAAGAGCAAAGTGGGAGCCAGCATTCACATTTTCTGGAAATAAGTAATTTTGGTTACACTTTATATAGCTCCTGTAATATCCTCATAATGTCCTAAGATGTTTTCTGGTAAGAGCAATACATTTTGGTACTAAATGTAGGGAAAATGGAGATGTGATAGTACGCATAATATTATACCACCACAGGGAAGGACAAAAAACATTTTTTTCATGTACATAAAAACTTTAAGAAAACTTAAAAAGCGGTAAGAAACATCCCATCACTAGGCTTAAAAATGAGTTGCTACTTCTGATAGGCATTTCTGATATTTCACTTTCTTTTAGTAATGGAACTATTAACATGTTTAAGAATCACTGACAGTATTTTTGACTGTAAACAGGGAAGACTTAAATGCCATTTCATTTGGAATTTCAAACAAGATGTTGGTCCCCTCTGTAACACAGGGCCTCAATATCTGCTATTGATGTAGGACCCATTTGAAGTCTCTATCATGTCCGTTCATATTGTGTGTTAGTTTTGCTCACTCCCAAACAAGCTTTCTGTTCAATGGGCACAAACCAGTGGAGATGCAGTAAGCCTGGGGCTGTTGGTGCCCCTGGAGTTCTGGTTCCCTGTGACAATTGCCACTTTGGAAATGTTCACTCTTCCCTGGTGCACGTCTGCCTGGTTAGTAATCCAGCCTTGATGGTTTCTGTTAACAACAAAAAGCTTTCCACAGTTGTTATTTACGCTTCTATTTGGAATTTTACTAAGGTTCATGGGACCTGTTGTACTTAGACCAGTTTAACCAGTAAACGGTATGTAAAACATGATTTCACAGAAACAAAGAAGAAATGCTACTAACCGATGGCCATAACATAGCCCAGTAAAGACTGTGATATCATCAAGTAGTCCTTTGTTTCTGTGGTGATGAACAGTGAGGTCATCATTTAAAGAAAAGGTTTAGAATGCAGATTTGACCTGCAGCTTCACCCACTGCTACTCTAAGCTATGTGCCTTACACTGCTGAGCCACTAGGGTGTGTGATGAATTCTATACCCATGACCTGAATATAGCAGTGTAATTTTAATAAATCTGAAGGCAGTTTGACCAGGAAGCCAGTTCAGTTCCTTATCACTTCTCTCCCTCAGTGTAGTGTGTCACAGAGTAACACATTACAGCGTTCTGTTGACTTGGGGGATACATAAATGATTAAATTACAACTTCATTTTTCCAAACCCAGAAGCAGAATGCGTCGTCACACTCAGGGTTTGCTCAAACCTATCTGGAATCTAATAGTATGAATTACTTGTAGATTCAGGGATGGAAGGTTTAAAATATTTATTTTACAGTATGATTTGTGCATTTTCAAATTTTTTTTAATCAAATGACCTCTACTAAATCTGTTTGGATTTATCAAGTCAGTTAACTACACACACATGGGTTCACATGGGTTTTGTGTAATATACCTTTGTTCTTTTCACCTGTACTAGGTCCGAAGTCAGCTGGTGTTATGTTAAAACAGAATAGAAGCATATGGCATATTAACAGTGCTCACTTACTGTTGAAGAATGAGTTGGTCCTTTATTTAGAAGAAAGAATGGCCTTAACCCCAGAGCAAGATGAGATTTTGGAGTGTTTATACAAAACGTGTTCATCAGAAGGATACATTTTTTTTCTTTTGTATAAAACCAAGTGCTTTAAATGTTATGTGGTTGCCTTACCAGGATGTACCAGGGGGAATATTTCATCTGAAGTGATTGATTGATTAAAGTGCCTTAACTGCCTTTCAGTGTTTGTCTCAATTTAATTCAATTCAAATTCGCTTTATTGGCATGAATGTGTAACAACAATATTGCCAAAGCATCATACATACAACATAAGAACAATCAACCCCATACATTTAATTAAACAAGTAATTAAAGCGTAAAGTAATCAAAGCATATGTGTGTTTGTGTAAAGAAAAAAAAAAGAAAAGAACATTAAAAATAAAATAAAACTGTAAGCGTGTGTGTGTGTTTAAAAATATATATTAAAAGTATAAATAAATCAAACAGTAAGCGTGTGTGTGTGTTTAAAAATATATATTAAAAGTATAAATAAATCAAACAGTAAGCATGTGTGTTTGTGTTAAAAAATAAATAAATAAAACGGTAAGCGTGTGTGTGTGTTTAAAAATATATATTAAAAGTATAAATAAATCAAACAGTAAGCGTGTGTTTGTGTTTAAAAATAATATATATTAAAAGTATAAATAAATCAAACAGTAAGCATGTGTGTTTGTGTTAAAAAATAAATAAATAAAACGGTAAGCGTGTGTGTGTGTTTAAAAATATATATTAAAAGTATAAATAAATCAAACAGTAAGCGTGTGTGTGTTTAAAATATATATTAAAAGTATAAATAAATCAAACAGTAAGCGTGGGTGTGTTTAAAAATATATATTAAAAGTATAAATAAATAAAACAGTAAGCGTGTGTGTGTTTAAAAAAATAAATAAATAAAACAGTGAGCGTGTGTGTTTGTGTTTAAAAAAATAAATAAATAAACCGGAAGCGTGTCTGTGTGTTTGTGTGTTAGAAAATAAAAATATATTAAAAATAAAATAAATAAATAAAACAATAAGCGTGTGTGTTTGTGTTAAAAAATAAAATAAATAAATAAAACAGTAAGCGTGTGTTTTTGTGTTAAAAAATAGAATAATAAATAAAACAGTAAGCGTGTGTGTGTGTTTGTGTGTTAAAAATAAAAATATATTAAAAATAAAATAAATAAATAAAACAGTAAGCATGTGTGTTTGTGTTAAAAAATAAAATAAATAAGACAGTAAGCGTGTGTGTTTGTGTTAAAAAATAAAATAAATAAGACAGTAAACGTGTGTGTTTGTGTTAAAAAAAATAAATAAAACAGTAAGCGTGTGTGTGTTAAAAAATAAAAATATATTAAAAATAAAATAAATAAATAAAACAGTAAGCGTGTGTGTGTTGTGTGTTAACAAAATATATATATTAAAAATTCTCTTCCTCTTTAAGTTTTTTGGGAGCCCAGTACACACAAGGGTAGCATGGCTTGTGGCTAGACACAAATTGTCATCTATTATCTGTGATGGGAAAATTTAAACAGACGGTTGTGTATGCTGATTTTTCAATATAGTCGAAGACTTCTTCTTTTGAGGTGTTAAGTACATTTTTTAGACAGGACAGCGTAAAGGGATCACTGCGCAGTCAGGTGGCAGCAACCATGCACTGTAAAGCCCCAGTGCAGCTGCTGTTCAGCACTTTAGGGCTACACATGTACAGAACTGGAGTTACTGTACAGCTATTTGATATGTGCTCTGGCTCTGCCACACACTCAGAGTCCAGTTTTGTGTGTAAGTCTGGTCATTGACACAAGACGTGGACAGATGGAGGTGGGGATAGAACCTATAATCACTGGACGACCTGCTCTACCCCATGGGCCACAGCTTGAGCCACAGTTGCCCATGATGAGGATGTGGCGTCAGTGTGTGCTGTCCTTCCAGAAGAGTGTGGGGCAGGGATCAGTCTAAGCATGGCTTACCATATTGCTGTAGTGGGTAGATGGTGCCAAAACAAGGAGAAGGAGCAGTCTAGTCTTATGGACTGATATTTGTGTCAGTAGAATCTGAATTTGAATTGCTCAACTTGAATAACTATTGAAAAACTGAATCTGAATAGCATAATTTGAAAGTGAATTTATTAGTTTGAATGTGAATTCCAATAAACTTGAAATTGAATTCCGTCAACTGAAACTGGATTTGAGCCTCACTAAAAATTCAACTTTGGAATTTTCAAGTTGCATTACCTTTTAACCTTATACGCTGTATGGACAAAGATGCTGGGACACTACACATTCCTTTTATGATATCCCATTCTAAATTCATAGGCATTGATATGGAGTCGGTCCCCCTTTGCAGCTATAAGAGCTTCCAATCTTCTGAAAAGGTTTTCATCAAGATTTTGGAGTGTGTCTGTGGGAATTTTTTCCCATTCATCCAGAAGAGCATTTGCGAGGTCAGACACTGATGAGGGATGAGAGGGCCTGGCTTGCAATATCCAGTATAGTTCATCCCAAAGGTGTTGGAGAGGGTTGAGGTCAGGGCTCTGAACAGGCCAATCAAGATCTTTCACACCAAACTAGGAAAACTATTTCTTTATGGAGCTGGCTTTGTGGACGGAGGCATTGTTCTACTGAAACAGGAAAAGGCCAAATTCAAACTGTTGGAAGAACTATTGTCTAAAATTGTGTGCTGTAGCATTTACATTTCCCTTAACAAGGCCACTCCATGAAAAAACAGCCCCTACCAAAAGTATTAGGACAGGGGTGTCCCAGTATTTTTGTCTAGTGTATGTTAGCCGGTTGAACAAGCTGTACCTTGCCATATTCTGCACAATATAGGAAATACTACTGAACAGTAAAGATATTTAAAGTTCCATACATGTCTATTGCTCAGTTAACCAATTCAAAACATCACATTCCACATTACTACCTTGATTTCCAAATAAAATGCAAAATTTACTTTCATCTGAAAAGAGGACTTTGGTCCAGATCTTTTTCTCCTTAGCCCAGGTAAGACACTTCTGACGTTGTCTCTAGTTCAGGAGTGGCTTGACACTAGCAATTCATCATTTCCTGGACACATCTGAGCCTGGTGGCTCTTGATGCACTGACTTAAGCCTCAGTCCACTCCTTGGGAAGCTCCCCCCAGTTCTTGAATCAGCTTTGCTTGACAATCCTCTCAGGGCTGAGGTCATCCCTGTTGCTTGTGCACCTTTTCCTACCACACTTTAACCTTTTAACCCTAACTTTACATCAATATGCTTTGATCCAGCTCTCTGTGAACTGCCAGCCCTTTCAGCAGTGACCTTCTGGGGCTAACCTGCTTGTGGAGGGTGTCAAATAGTTTCTCCTGGACAAATGTCAAGTCAGAAGTCTTCTCCATGGTTGTGGTTGTGTGTACTGATCCAGACTGAGAGATAAGAAGCTCTTCTCAGGTCGACATTTAAGTCTTTATTCATATATTCAAATATTTTGAGCAATCTATTTTTGATTTATGTGAGCTGTAAGCCTTAATCACAGTGTGCAGAAGTCGCCAACTTTCTGCAGTCAGTAGCTACAGACCTCCAAACATCTTGTGGCCTTTCGGATTAGCTCAAGAACAGAGAGCTTGATGGAATGTGTTTCCATGGCCGAGCAGCTGCATCCAAGCCTTCCATCACCAAGTGCAATGCAAAGCGTCAGATGCAGTGGTGTAAAGCACGCCGCCACTGGACACTAGAGCAGTGAATCACGCTTCTCTGTCTGCCAGTCCCATGGACGATTCTGGGTTTGGCAGGTTGCCAGGAGAACGGTACTTGCCTGACTGCATTGTGCGAAGTGTAAAGTTTAGCGGAGGGGGGGTTATGGTGTGGGGGTGTTTTTCAGGGGCTGGGCTTGGCCCCCTAGTTCCAGTGAAAGGAACTGTTAATGCTTCAGCATACCAAGACATTTCGGACAATTTCACGCTCCCAACTTTGTGGAAGCAGTTTGGGGAAGGCCCCTTCCTGTTCCAACATGACACGGATGAGCGAGTTCGTTGTGGAGGAACTTGACTGGCCTGCACAGAGTCCTGACCTCAACCCGACAGAACACCTTTGGGATGAATTAGAGACAGTGAGCCAGGCCTTCTCGTCCAACATCTGCGCCTGACCTCACAATTGCGCTTCTAGAAGAATGGTCAAAAAATTCCCATCAACACACACCTAAACACCACCTAAAGCCTTCCCAGAAGAGTGGAAGCTGTTGTAGCTGCAGAGGGTGCGCCGATTCCATATTAAACCCTGCGGATTAAGAATGAGATGTTATTAACCTTCATGTGCATGTAAAGGCAGGTGACCCAAAACCTTTGGCAATATAGTGTATTTAGAATTGTATCCACTAGATGGCGTCATTGTTCAATGATTGTTAGAGTTACAAGTGACGTTGCAAAGGTGGAGTGAGTCTATGGTTGGAAGAAGTGCTAATATCACAATGTAAAAACACTTTATTGCATGACATTACAAAACAGCACGAAATATGGAATATTTCTATCAACAAGAAAAAGTAAGAAAAAAAGAAAGGGAAGAAAATTGATGAATAAATTACTTGATAGGGGAGAGGTTAAGGTAAAAACTGGATAACAGGCATTAGGCTGACAACAGCTAGCAGATGGCACAAAGAAAATAAGTCAATAAGAAAATTCTTAACACCATATTTCGTGCTGGGATCTCTAATGTATGTACGGTACATTTATTTTAACAAATACAGTTAGCTAGTTGAACATGTTATATGGTAATTGGAACATTTAGTCAGGCGTAAGTGTCGTTTTAACGATTGACCTGTGGTGCGCTCTAACAATCATTGAATCTTTGCGTCACATACAACAACAGTAGACGAAGAAGAAGGAATCCGGAAAATGTAAGATGGCGGAATTTGAAAACAGCAACGATGTGACACAGCCACTAAATTCAGACGCAGAACCTCCAAAATTATCTGACTTGCTGGATCGTGGATGGAAGATTTATGAGGAGGTAGACCGTACAAACGAACCGCTTGGCTCTAGCAGTATCCAGGTCCGAGTTAAACGCGGTTTGAGTATGTTGGAGGAAGCGTCTACAATGGTGGCTAAGCTCGACCTGTTCAGCCGCAATGAAGAGCTGGAGGAGATCGCCACGGCAGACCTCAAGTACCTGCTGCTGCCAGCTCTGTTAGGAGCCCTGACCATGAAGCAGACCAGCCGAGACAAACGACTAGAGATAGTCCAAACAGCCCGGGCTTACTTCATGGATTTTTTGAGGAGATGTAAGGAATATAACATAACGTCATCACAGTTTGAACTGCCAAAGTCGACGAATGTAAACACAAGCCTAGACGAAGAATCAGAAAATGGTAACTCTCATGTTATAGCGAAGGTAAGTGGATTAGCTGAATATTACACTACTATAAATTACATCACATGGCTTCGTAAGACAAGTTTCAGTGTCAGAGGCTCTAAATGCTAACTTAATATTCGATCATTTTCAGGTAAGTTAACGTTAACTTTACTACGTTTCTTTAACGTGATGTAGAATAAGCAAATGTGTAATGTTCTGTCTAATTGTAAGTCACTTGGTTTTTGGTATGTCCGGGCCATTTTACTGGCGTATGGACTTGCAGCTTATGCCACAACCACTACCATTTCTGGTGGCTAAGCTAGCTGGGCTAACGTTAGCCATATAAGGGCGAAACATTAATGGATTTACCTTTTATTTAATCATATATATATATATATATATATACGAGTAAAGACTATAACCTACTGTAGCCTAGTTAAGCGTTCTGCATGAATGGATTGACAAGTTAGATACCATTAATAAATTAGAGACCAATATTAACTGTGCTTATTACTCAAGGATTTAAATTCACATCCCAGTGTTGACAGGTATGACTCCTCTCTCTACCCTCTAAAAAACTGCCTGAGCTTTCCAGAACAAAAAGCGGCGTGTATCACTCACTCATGATGCAAAAGCCGTCATGCTTCTTTATCTCCTAAATTTTTTTGGCTAAAGCCTTTTTTGTTGCAGTTTTTGTAGTTGAAGTAAATTTATAAAGATGCTGTTTGTTCTGTTTTTGTAATTTATTATATGCTATATTTTTAAGATGTTCGCAGTAACCAGGCAAAGGCTTCTATGGTTTAAGTCTCTAAAAGAGAGGGAGTGGAAAATGTTGCCCATGTTTCTTGTCAATAAAAAAATTACAGTTGTCATTTTATGATATGTTATCAACTCTTAATTTTAATACTTAATAAATAGTTTTTAGGAATATTTAAATAAATAATGCTAATAAACAGAAGGCTTCAAATAGACCCAGTGATCGGTGATCGGCCTCAAAAATCCTGATTGAAGCACCTCTAATGAATTCATATGTTTACAAATCTGTATCATGCTGTAGTTTTTTTGGCATCACTTTGATCCATTTATTGCAACAACTGGGGGTTCATACAGCTGTAGTAATCACGGTCTCTGTTTATTCGCTTTATGGCGTTGTGTGTGTGAACACTTGGCTGTAGTCAAGCCATTAAATTCACGAGGATTAAATTGGTGTTTTGTCTGAATGCACAGTAATGGCAGGGAAAACCCTGGGCATTGTTGGCACATCATAACGAATGATGTGGAATAAGAATTGGTATCCTGTCAGTGAACAGTGACTTAGCACTCTGCACTACAAAGGACTGCTGTACCCACAGAAGCAGTGCAATTGAAAGGAAAAGTGTTTTCAGTTTTCAGGCTGGATGGTAAACTGCAGTATACCAGCAACATGTGTTCCCTCAGCTTCTCATCCATTTGAACTAGTTTGTTTAACTAGTTAGAAGTGGGAGGAGATATGTAAACAACAGGGGAAAAGAACAAGCTCTGCTTCTTGGAGGGAAGATTGTTATCCCTTATTTCTGTACCCCTGCCCAAAAGAAGTCTTATTCAAATTCAGATCTAAAAACAGAATCATTTTAGTGAAGTGTTGATTCAACTGTATGATCATGCCAGAGGTTATAGTTTGTGCTGCAGTTGAACGGTATTTGGCTGTTGTGTTGGGTAAACTGGGTTAATTTTAGCTACGTGTGCCTAATAAATTTGCAAGTGAGTGTATATTGGGACATATGAGTAATGGAAAGCAGCTGTGTAGGCGGGTGACTGGCAGGTGGATGGCTGTAACACACTGAGATGATGAGGGATCAGCCATCTCATTGTACTGTGCTTCACCAGAGATGTTTTCAAATCTGTTTCATTCTTCCCAACATACAGTCTACATTGAAAGTATTATTCCTGGTTGGACGAAATGACTGCTGGAAGTACTAATCAATAAAGACTAATGATGTCGTGGAAACAGAAAAGAGCAGCGTGTCCCTTACAGCATTGTCTGATAATAATTTAAGGTAGTACTCTGAACTGTGTTGTGTGCTTGTTGTTCCAGCCCGTCCCCTGCTCGTCAGATCTGGTTACCATGGCAGCACAGAGACAAGCGAAGATTGAGCGGTACCGTCAGAAGAAGGACCTGGAAGCCAGACTGTCAGATGTACGGGGAGCCGTGGACAGCGGAGAGGCCGACGATGAAGTCTGCAGAGACTTTTACCTTCTGAATTTCCGGAGGTGGGTCACTCTGAGTCTGGAGGAAATAGAGAGCATCGACCAGGAGGTGGAGATACTCAAGCAGATGGGTGATCTGAAGCAGGGGGCTGCCAAGCATTCAGCTCAGCCAGTCAGGCCTCCCATGAAACCCTTCATCCTCACCAAGGACGCTGTACAGGTGAGACTTAGGTTAACATCACGATGCAGAGCCGCAGTGAAAACATTAGAAAAGGGTCACAGCCATGTGTTTTCAACACAAAGTGACGCCTTTGCGTGTTGGTATCGTTCTGCTTGCGTGTCCTTCTCACCTTTTTTACCCCTGACCAGTTTGCATGCCTGGAAGAACTGAAAAAAATAAATAGCATTTCAAGTCTTCTCTGAATGTGTTTTAATATCAATTTATCAAACGACTGTTGAGCAGAACATGACATCTTTCACTTCCAGCTGTCACGTCTCCTCCGTCCACAGCTGCTGTATTTTACACAGCTGGTGCTGTATTTATAAACCAGCTTCTGCGTTGGTTTGACTGCGCCTGAGCGCTCTGCTACGAAGCTAGCACTAACGGGAGAGATGGCTTCCTGTGATTTCTCGTAATATAAAAGCTGTTTGTGCTTGTGCTACATTTTACTCTTTAGCATACCGGCAACTTTAGCATGCTCTAAAAGTTGCTCTGTGTATCATCAGCTTAAAGAACAAAATAACAAAAGGAGGTCAGCACACATACACTTACAGAATATGCATAAGGAACACTTTTTGAGCAGTTTTGCTAGTAGCAAGTCTGACTATGTTTTGAACAGATAGCGGCGGTGCGGGGCGGGTGGCTGACACGTTTTACGCTGTAATGTACTACTCTTAGCAGGTTGGCCATATCGACTTCAAAACTGTCCCAGGAAACCCTTAACACATTGATGAGGCCATGTTGTACAACTTGTGAATTTTCGTTTAACGGGTTGACGGTGGCTTGACGGTGGCGTGGCGGGGAAGTGCCACACTTCGCCACGACACAGGAAGTTGTTGTAATTTGACTGTACATGCTCAGATCTGTACCAAATTTTGCACGTTTAATAAGAGTCCCGCCCTGAACACATGTACAAGCCAATATTCACTCATAGTCGTAGTGCCACCTTCTGGCAACAGGAAGTGACTTTCAACGAAGCAGCTCCATAATCTCAAACGCGGCCGCCTCACTCCTCAATGCGCTACACATGCGAGGGCCCGCCCAGCGCTGCTTGCAGCTTTAATATTGGGTGATTAGGTGATCTATGTTCTTTTTTTTCAAATAACTGTTTCATAAAAATATATGGAAATTGTATCAGATCCTCCTCATCCTAATTAGTTCCACCTCAATGTATCTGCTATCGGATTTTAAAATCCTCAAATATCAAAGAGAGATGCTGTACTGAGGTTATGGATAAGCAATAATGTTGACGGTTTCCAACGGGCCCACACTGCCCTTGTCGGTAAGTAACAGGGAATTCCGATCACACAGTAGGTACCAATCAAGGTAGCGAGCAGTAGAACAGGCTGTAGCGTCCTTATCATGCTGGGCAACATTGTGTGATAGTGTGTTTGCTTCACCCACAGGCTCAGGTGTTCGGGGCTGGTTACCCCAGCCTTGCCACCATGACAGTAGATGACTGGTATGAACAGCAGAGGAAACACGGAGTCCTGCCTGGCCAGGGGATACCCAGGAAGGTCGCTGTGGAGGAGGACACTGACGCAAAGGAGAGGGAAGAGGAAGAAAAAGAGAAAAAGGCTGAAAATGATGATGAGGAGTCTTTGCTGAAAGCCAGAAACTGGGATGACTGGAAAGACACTCATCGCAAAGGTTATGGAAACCGCCATAACATGGGCTAACTGATCCCAGCACAGTGTGTGCCCAAACGGACCCGGCTCGACTTCATTACTATTCTAATCAGTCCAGGAAGTGGACGCTCTTCACAATTCTGATCCTTAAACCTGGTACATGCAGGTATAGCTACAGGTAGACACCAGAGCGGATTTACTCATGTTCCATATTCTGTTTTCACTCATTTACAAAGTTGGTTCAGCAATCCTCTGTGGTGGTGTGTTTTTAGAGTTTGGGGTGAAGGAAGCGCAGCTGCCAAGATGCCAAGGTTTCTGTATTGTAGTGTGTATTCCCTAACACTGTCAATACAAAATAAAGAGACTGGTCAAAGCATGTAACAAGAGAGAATTGCAATATATGGGCTATGGGAATATCTACATCTCCGTGCTGTAGAGAGATATAAGGAGATACAGAAGGCCAGTGATGATGGCTGTGGTTAGCTAGTCACTCCAGATCACATTTGATTAGATACATTTATTTATGTTCTCAAGGCCTGAGTTCAACATGAGTCATTACATTAACAGGAAAAGGAACACACATTCAGCATAACAAGATAAATGATTTACACAATGACAAATGTAGATCTTGGAAACCGTTGAACACAATTTGGGTGATTTGTCAAGATGCAGTAAACATAAGTCAGTGCCTGGGTGAAATCTAAAATGTGTCAAGATGAGGTCATTGCTGCTATCTCCGCATTACTGAAGAAAAATAACCTACGTACTCCTCTCAACATCTCCTCCCTCACCAACGAGCTTGAGAAGGTTGTGTCTGGAATGCGTTGACCTCAGGTCTCAAACATTCCTTTGTTTGAGTAATCAATGACCAAAAGTTAATGTCAAGGATCGTCCATGTGAGTTAAGCTGACCTTGTGGCCCGCCTGCGATGCAGATGATTAAACTTGTAGTAACTATGGTAACTGAAAGTAAAGTAGCTTCATCAGCAGTTTGAAATGAGCTGTGTTAGGTATAACCACTGCTGCTCCCACTTGGCAGCAGTGTAAGTGAACAACACAGCTGTACGTATCCCTCCTCCAATAATCCCATTCACCTCAGCCAGGTCGACTTCTGGAACTTCCCTTTTCTGTTTACTCAAACAAACAACAGCAAAAACTCAGACTGATCCAAAAGATATTGCTCACTTTATTGGCTCCCAGTGAAACGCAGAATCTGCACAGTCTTGAAAGCAGGTTACCCGAGATGTCTGGATGACTTTTACAATAATTGAGAACTATTATTGTGTGACCTGCCAGACAACAATCAAGTGTGAGTTAGCAATGTTGCCTGATGCCGTTAAAGGTTTGTCTGTTCTGTGAAGTTTTTAGCACAGATGGCCAGCAGAATCAGCTGCATTCGAGACAGAAAGTCTCGTCGTCACTCAACAAGTCTGCTTTTCTTTTAATTGCGGTAATGTTCTGTTTTCAAAGTTGTCTGGACTTGATACTGCATTGTGTGGAAGCCCGTTTCTGTCAGGTAAAGGGAAAAAAAGATTCACATGTGGACAGAATGGAAGTACACGTGGTTAGTCCAGAATTTGACTCCCCGTGAGTATTTACCTCATGTAACTAGAACATTTTGACCACAGAAAAGCAGACATGATGTGTACTGTGATGGAAGACCTGGTGGGCTGTAGGTCTGGCTCACAGTTAGAGTTCAAGTCCATCACAAAGGTGGCAGAGCCCAGACCTGTCCACTGACTGCATGAGAGCTGTGTCCCTGTTCTGACTGAATGATACCCCGACACATTTCTGACACATCGCCGACGTCTGCCAGCACGGCGATCGGCCGACGCTTAAAGTCATAGTCTGCACGAGCCTTTAGCCTATCCACAGCACCTCACAGCCACTACCTACACACTGTGCATGTGTCAAACAGTAGGAGTTGACTGAATGGTCATAGCACTGCAATAAGAAGACACCAAGAACCCTTTTAGCCGGTCCACAGAAGCCTGCTGTTATCAGAAAAAAAATACTTGTTCAAGAGAGAAGTATCCAAGTAGTGTTGCATATTAAGATGTGGTGTGATAGCCAGACTGATACAGCGATTTGGCATTTTATTTTATTACATTTGCTCATATGCGTATAGGAGCCATTATACATGAGGGGGACATGCCCCCCCCACATTTCAAAATCTATTTTGTCCCCATCACTTTTTCCGGCGATTTTGGAGACGGCTCATAGCCAGGCGGATTGAGTGACTAGTTAATCAATCAATCACACACTCCGCATCAGACATGATTAAACGGTTGAAACACGGACAAAAATCATGTAGGCCTATAGAAAACATGCATCAGAAGGCAAATGTGGTGCTGAAAAGTTAAGGGAGAAAAAAAGAGTTCGCTAGAAGCAGGTACAGCAAAGCCTTAATATTACCTTAATTTTGTGCTGTTCTTTTTGTACCTGAAAACAGCAGTGGGGACGCCTGCTGTAGGGTAGGTAGTGACTTGTTACAAGTAACATAATTTTGCAAAATAAATAAATAAAATAAAAAAAGTAATTGGCACCTTTTCACGATCCTTTTTTAAAACTGTAGCCTGCTTTTACTCATTACTCCAGTATTTTCTGTGGGCCTGTAATCTACTTTTAATTTCGCTACATTTTCCATTCATACATTCATAACTTCACCAGTCTGTAATCTGCTACAGGCTCCATTAACCGAATGAGCTGTCAGCCAGGCTGTGCGCGCAGTTACGCAGAAGAACGCACGGGCGCTTATCACAGATATGAATGAGCTGGGCAGATGTAAACATTTAGAAAATCAGACAAAAACCTTTTCAGTTTCAGCCTACTTTCCATTAACGGTGCATTAAAAGCGTCTTTAGTCTCTGCAGAGCAAACGTAAACTTCACACTGTAACTTCAAAGTCTGATGATCACTAGAATGATTCTGATATATTAACAGTATCTTGTTGTTGAAAAGAGCATCACATTCTTTTGATGGATATTAGCATGTTCTTTTGTTTGTTTGTTTTTTTACATTGTTTACTGTTTAATAGCTTTGACTCAGCAGCTACCAGCTGTTATTTATTCAGGAAACAATCATTTTTGAGATGCACAGAGAGAGAGAGAAAATATGGTGGATAAAACAGTCCTGTTGGGCTTTAGGCAGGACGCACAGTTTCCTCTGTATGTAGGTTTACCTGCTTCAACAAGAGCTGCTCCGTGTTACTGGCACAATCATTCTTTGCGTTGTAAAGATTATTTAGATGCTTTAAGAATAATCACATTGTTTTGGCTGCCTGTGCTGCTGCAAAGCAAGTGGTTTGGTTTGCTACATGTCCATAATAAAATTTACAGGCAACAATAGCCCTGGGCAGCAATGTGGTGTATGTGTCTCTGCTATGTGTCCATAAGCAATTTAAAAGTAGTCAAAATGTTCACACAGAGACGAGCATCCTGCAGTAATTTAAGAGGAAGAGCACAGAGGTCACAGGAGCAAGAGTAGAAAAAACTGAGGAGGGCGAGGTTGTAAGTTGTATGGATAGCTACTAGACGTAGTAAATTCTAAAACTCACGTAGTAAAAAGACTTTGTTAGACCAACGGCATGTCATCAGAGTTTGCATTGAAGACAGTTCTGTGTTCACAAACATTTGTTGCTTTCGTAGATGTGAGATGAATTGACCACAGAACTGGGAGAGTCAGGGCCATGTGAGACACAGGAAATATCACAGACAGCTCATAAGTGTAACATTAGGATAACTAAATACAGTTGTACTGTGGTTAGCTACATTAACTAGCAGCTGTTCCATGGTTTTTATGGTATGTAGTTGGTTTTGTTCTAGTTATATTATACTCCCGCTCTCTAACCCTCCCCAGTCTGTTCTCCATCTTCTGTCACTACAAAGACCCTCTTTCAGCCACACTAATAAGTACATTCTCTTTTCATTAGAAATGAGCATTTAATCAGAATCAGAATCAGAAGGAGCTTTATTGCCAAGTTGTGTTTAACACATACAAGGAATTTGTTTTGGTGATAAGGTGCTACATGCAGACAAACATACAGTTGACATAAATAAATGTAGAAATATATAAATATGAAATAGACAATGTAATATTAAAAAGAATAGAGAAAAATAATACAACTATTTGCAGACTGTCTATCAACTATGTAAGTGCTTTATTTAAAAAAACCAAAAACGAACCCCCCTAGCATTTCAGCGTTCCCCCCAGGTTCAAAGTCGCTCCTGCGCCTCTGCATTTGCTGGTTCTAAAAAGAACAAGTAAACCATCTACTGGATTTTCATATAACCTTACTGCTCATGAAAGACTGATTTCTTTGAGCTGTTGTTTCTAATTACATATTTGAGGCTAATAATATGACGCATATGACTAATTATGACATGACCAGTGATGAAGTTTGAGTAGGTCCGTTTGGTACAGTTTTATTTTAAAAGTTGTGGCCGGAAGTGTGAGGATAAGTACCTGCAGTTTGACAACCGGTCTGTTATTCGCCCTCTGAGGACGGTAACGCAAGCTGTCAGCTAGCCGTGCGAAGGACTCCACAACAAGGATAACATACGTCCGTGAATAGTCGGGGGTAGTGTAACGTTATCGTTACTCATTCTATCAGCTGTCTGTCTGTCTGCCTCACTCACTCCCTGTCCGCCTGTCTCTACGTGGCCTGAAACCATCCGCAATGAATGATCAAAGCTAACTTAGCTAACTTAGCTAAGTTGAACTTCGGACAGCAGGGAAATATTTCTGTTGCCTGTCAGAGCTGATATGTGCGGTAGTGTCATTGGTTGTGATATTCCTACACATCGTAATTTAACTTTACTTCCTGTTGCAAAGGTTACGCTTTGTCATTTTGGACAGTCTAAGTTGACATTGTTATCAGCTGAGTGTAACGTCAACGTTTCTGTATAACGTTACACCAACTGTCAAAATGCCTTTTGTCAGTAGCCGTAACGTTAGGTTACATAACGTTACCTCCGTGCATCATTCATAATATTGCCTTTATCGCATTTGAATGCTACCTGGGACTACATTCCAGGAAAAGGTGGGTAACGTTTTATTTGCTCTTTTCCTTCTAATCATCGTTACGGACGGCATGTGAGCTAAAACACCATCAAGCCAGCCGCCTCTTAGATTCTGTTGCGACTCTATTGGTGTCATTACGGGACATGCGTGCAACCCATAGACTTTATGGTGCAACCATAGGAGTGCAACCCAGACTCATGAATGAAGGCTCCCACTAGGCTGTTGCAGATGAGCTGTGGGTGAGATCAGGCGGCAGCAGGGGGCGCTAAGAAAAAAACTGAAGGCAAGTTGAAAGTTTCCAGCAGTCTTCAAAGAATATACAGGAAGTACAGAAACATTAGATCCATCTGTAGGCAACTAGTTTGCTGATCATGATAGCTACCTGAAGAAGTCGCGTGTGCATTTTAGATCCCCCAGAACATTTGGAGCAGTCAACAGTTAATTTCCTGCATTCTGGTAAATTGCACCAATTTCTGCCTTTTCTGTATCAATTTATGGTGGAAATGTTTTTTATTTATGCAAAGGAAAAACACAATCCAGTTGACAGGTGACAATTCAAAATCTAAAATAACAGAATCTAATGCAGTGCAGCTTTCAGCTATTCTGTGCTGCTATCAGATCTGTTTCTCCTGTAGATCAGCTTTTCTCATGTAGTATCATCCCTGCTGAGTCAGCACACATGCAGGCAGGATTTAGTCTTCCCTCCGCTTTGTGTCTTGTTTGGGGAAGTAACCTCTTGGTGCATGTGGCACCTTTTCATTCAATAATAAATGAATTCATTTTAATTCAGTTAGAAACTCCTGGGCTTTGATAGTTCCTGTGTTTCAGCACGTTTCCTATTCATCTTCAAAACTGTATTTTCATTCAAAATCTCTCCCACATATCTGCATTCTGATGTGTCCCTTGAGAGAATCAGAGAATGATTGAGCAAATTTTAGCCCTTGGAAGCAAGGGCATAACGTTTACTGGGGACATGTCCCTGCCAATATTCACAGATGGCTGAATTGTCCCTATGAATAATTTTGATCTCAAAATATAATATAAAAATGTAACCATTGTTGTCAGAAAGTGTCTAGTCAATGTATTTGGAAAACCATTAACAGCTCTCATTCTCTGAGTCCAATACATTATTAAGTATTGAAAGATTTTGTCAGCTGCAGTGAGATCCTCCTGTTGGCACTGGCAGTTCTTTGGCACTTGTTCGGCAGTTGAGTAATGCCTTCTTTGACTCGCTGTCAATGAAGATTATGATTTTTTTACACATTTTTATTTACAAACTTGTTTGTTTTTCACTTCTCCGTAACATCTAAGTAGCAGCATACTGACAAATGACAATGAAATAGTTAAGTGGTAAAATATAAATATTTCATACTATGATATTGTATCATAATATCTATGGCAGCTAGCGCCACTCTGGTCTGATATCGCTAACAGCTTTTGAAGTTGCAGTTATATTTGTAGTAACATCACTATGTTGTGTAGTAAGAGTGAAAGAGTACAACAACTTTAAAATTTAATACAATTTAATATTGCACAGATCATATAAACATGCAGATTCTGTGAGCCTTTATTAGGATCAGCATGGTGCAGACACACTGTCAAGTCTCTCCAGCTGTTAGAGCCGACTGACATCTGATCCAGCTGTGATCAGCTGATCAACTGTATACACTCCAGTGATGAAATAAACCCCTGCACTAACCATTTAAAATTTTGACTGTGCGCACACAAGTCTGACTTCTTTCCGCTCTACGTTATGCTGCACGTTGTGAATGAAGTGTGTCTCTCTGTGTAGATGCCAGGTGCTGGTCCATGGGTGTAAGCAGACTGGATATATTTTACAGAAGGCTGCTCCTCACCAAACTCTTCATTGGGGGATGGGGGAAGCCTGAAGACCTCAAGAGGTACGGAACACAGAGAACACAGAATACAGCTAAAAGTATATTCAGAAGAACAGAATTACAAGGTAGGAAACAGTGCAGCCGCTTCTAACTGTTCCTGGAAGATCTCCAAGTGCTCCTTGGGTAACTGGGAGATTTAGTCCCTCCAGCTTGTCCTGGGTCTGGTCACTGTGGTCTCTTACAGGGCTCATTTCATAATATTTATATATTGTAAATCTGGGTGTCCTCTAGGAAACTGGTTAGTGGAGATGATAAGCGCAGTCAGATCCTGACACACATTATCTTGATATCGATGTACTGTACATAAATGAACATTAAAGTATAGTCATTTCTCCAGGCGGTAGTGGAAGTGCTCTTTATTTCATGTGCAGTGGGGCTCATATACACTGTATGTATGTCTGTATGTACACTAAATTAGAAGAAATCCAGAAATCATGTCAAACATTTTACAAATCCCTATACACTCTACCCATTTTTAAATTCATCAGATCTCCCCTCTGGTGGATTTATTTTATTTCTGAAAACTTCAGTTGAACCTTGAAAAATTGCAATCACAAGAAAACTAATAATAAAGCTTCCAAGTCAACACACAAGCTGAAAAGAACTTAATACAATTCAACAATAAACGGACCCTGAGGACTGTGCTGTAAATTCAGATAAACCTCAGAAACAGAAACTTTCCTAGTTGGATAACTTCCTCTCGCTCTGCGGCTACAACAGCCAATTGCAGTGCAACACAAAAAACAACAATAAAACCACTGGATGATTAGAGTAGGAATACAGTCACAAGACATCACTGTTGAGACAGCACCTTGGAGACAGTGCAGGAGCTGCGCTGGAAATGCAGAGCAGGTCACCCACCAGGACGCACAGCCTGCCTCACAAGAGCCTGCAAAGTGCACAAAACACTAAAATCACCAGTTGGGAACTACACTTGAATTAGAACTAATTCAAACTTGCATATACAGTCTATACTGGAGAGCAGAAGAGCTGCCTCCCAAACAGCGAGAGGGTGAGGAGCTCAGGCAATGCTGGGAGGAATTAATACCACAGGGTGCATACAAAGATGGCTGCCCTGTCTCCACTTCCTCCCTCTATACAAAAATGAAGCCAAAATATCCTGGATACTGGCATTGCCATCATGCACTGGTGACGTCATTTGGAGCCAGAGTCAGTACATTAGTGATCACTCATACACCCGACCGCAACCAGAGCACAGCTGGAAATCCCCTTTTTATTACATCAAATAACTAATTAAAAACAAACTTAACAGAAAAATGAACACTTGCCTAAACATCAGCCGCCTCCTCACTCTGATGGTGTGAACCCTCAGCAGTCAACAGTAAGACTTTATATTTTCTAAAAAAATTTTTTTTTTAAATAACAACAAAGATACATATTAGAAAAGGGTAGAAGTTGCTTTTGACACTGTAAGTTGTTGATAAAAAAACACATTTTATTTCTTCTGTAGCTTTACCTCTTCGCACCCGTGCAGTTAGAATATGTCCAGAAAACCTGAATAATCTTTTGGTATTAATCAGCCAAACAAATCACCAGTGTGCCAGCATGACAAATGAAATACCATGTACATACATCTTAAAGTTATGTTAGACAGAATCAAACTAATTCTTTATCATGATATAGATTTGCGATCAGGTCCAGCCAGTTCAGATGCTTTTGTGTGATCAGTGCTGAAATTGATAGACGTGTACTGATGTTGAACTGATATGTTGCCCCTTGTTTGTGTTTTTCAGAATCTTTGAGTTCCGTAAGATTATTGGAGATAGAGAAAAGTGCAAGTCTCTGGTGCCTAAGAACTACCCAGTTTACATAGACAAGGTACTCCGTCTGTCCCTCTTTACTGCTCACTAGTATAACTAGTCTTTGCATTCTCACATGTGTGTGCATGTGTTTGTGCCTTTGTGTCCAGACAGAGGAGCACGCTGACTGTCAGATCCACGATGGGTTCTTCATCTCTCCTCTGGAGCACTTGGTTCCTGGAATCCTGCCACCAGAGGCTGTCAAAGCCAGGTACAGAAATGGATGTCATGCTCTACTTCTACTGCTAATGCGATGATGTTGCACCAGCTGAGCTGACATGAGCCCTGTGATCACCTGTGACTGATAGTAAAGTACACATTAACAACAAAGTGATTTTAACAAAAAGTATGATTATAATAGGTGTAATACTGGTGGATTGAAGTAAAATAAGTCACAGACAGGTTTTTAGCATAAAAATGCTATGCAGAGTGTGTGTGTGTGTGTATATATGTATGTGTGTATATATATATATATATATACACACTCCAGACTGGGCTGAACCATGGATGTGGCCTCATGAATTCAATCAGTCATTAAATGTTGCGCAGCCACATCTAGCTTTGTCTGTTGACTTTCACACAGCAAATAAGTTACAACTTGTGATCACTCATGATCACAAGTTGTTTGTGTGCTGTGGTATCCAAGTGAGTCCTCACAGTGTGTGTGGTTTTTTTTCAGATTCCAGTTTATAGTTCCTAAGAGGTGGCAGAAGAACAGACCAGTATGTATCCACTTGGCTGGGACAGGAGACCATGTAAGGCTCATCACTCGAACTCCAACCTCCGATAACCACCAAACACAAAGCACTGGATAAGATCCAGCCAAATAGTATTGCAGTTTAAGAGCTGATACTGGCCCAAGTGTTTGACAACAAGTTTGGTGACCATCCTCCCACACCAGGGGCCTCATTTATAAACAGTGCGTAGGTACAAAACAGGGCTTGAAACGTGTGTACGCTACTTCCCTGGCAAAGGTTGTGATCTATAAAAAACAAACTTGACAGGAGAATGTGCGTCCTGTAAGTAAACTCTGAACCATGCGTATGAACATAAAGAGGAGAAATGAGAAACGGCAACTCACATGGCAGAAGGATGAAAACGTTTGAAATGAAGGCCTACTACTGTGTAAAATAAATCAAAATATTACCTCTGAGTAGTATATGCTTAAAGCCTTTCTGAATAAACAAACATTGATTGACTTTCCCTGAAGTGCGCAAAAAAACAAATTTACAGATCGTTTGCTGCGCACAAAAAGATCCAGATTTAAGATAATAAACACAAGAGATATCAAGGAGACATCTGTTTCTGCAAAAAAATGTCTCAAATATGTTGTACAGTGTAATCAGGAATCATATTAATTAATTAATACTATCCATGCAGCGCAATTTATTCTCATAAATAAGGTGAACAAGAGGACAAATTACATTTAAATTGATGCCGTATTCAATGTGCAAATGCCCGAGCATAGTTTCATATATTATTATCACATGTTCGTTTCCTTATGGAGCCAAACGCTGTGCGCCAGCGTGTGGATGTGATGCGCTGCTTGTAAAAATACATTATAGAAATATAACACTATTTTATGTCATTTACAACAAGTCATATTTCTTTTAACTCATCGGCAGCCTCATTAAGTGAGTGGGCTGTGTGTGGAGCCTAAATAAATGTTCAAACACAAGCGGAATGCGTTTGGTTTCACCTCTTTTCAAACGGGGGAATCCAACCTGGATACCTGGGTCATCCCCTCCAGCCAGTGACGTCACTACTCAGGAGGGATAGCCCTTCCTGCAGATCGGTTATAAAGGGGTGGAGCTCCGGTTCCCCCTTTCCTCTGCGTTGCGTGAAAGTGCGTTATTTTACCCACCACACACCATGCTTCAGCTTCACCAAAAGGACTGAGTTAAATTTCTTTTTGGAGCTTTTCTGTCAGAGTTTGTCAGAATTTGCCTCCTTTTCTTCCTGCAGTCAGGACGTATTAATATTAATGAGGGGCGTTTCACTGACAATTTATAGGCAACTATGGGCATTTGAAGGGTCGGACGTGGAGCTCCCTCACATGCACCACATTTCAAGTTGATTGTGATTTATAAAGGGAACTTGTTTGGTTGTCTGAATATGTTTTGGGCGTACGCCATATTTTAGTGAGGATTCTACGCACAGTTTTATAAATGAGACCCCAGAGCTGGCTAGCAGACAACAGGGACAAAAAAGAAAATCCCTACAGGCACTGATAAATATTGATGATAGAAATTGCAGTGGACGCTATGGGAACCATGATTTGGACCATAACAGCTTACCCTGGACAGAATGCTGTGATGTTAACATTATCCTCTTTCTCTGTACTTTGACTAATGACGTGTGTGTGTGTGTGTGTGTGTGTGTGTGTAGTTTTTCTGGCGTCGGCGGACCCTGATGGCCAGGCCCATGATTAAAGAGGCAGGAATGGCTTCACTGCTTCTGGAGAACCCTTATTATATCCTTCTATCGTCTTCTTTAAAACATTTGTGTGCAGTTTGAAAAGATAAAAGGTGCCTGAAAGGGGCACTCCAGTGATCTCCAGACCAAAAGAACGGTCAAAAATCAAAGCAGCATAGGCCACGATATCCTGACTTTACTGAAGGTGTGGGTCAGGCTCCAAAAACACTGAGCGCAGAGTTGTAACGGAGCTGTCTGATGCAGCCTGACTGGATCACAGTAAACACAGTGGACAGTGTGCGCTGTTAAGCAAGGATTACTGCTGCATGGTGTGGCACTTCTCCAATCAGAGGCTGCAGAACATGTGTCCTGCTGCCTTCAGATGCTGCAGGGATTTCATGAACTGAAGGAGAAGCTGTTCATACATTATGAGGCAGCGGTGGACAACTGCCTCATCTGAATGAACCTCTCTCCTGTTTGTGCCTCCCCTCCCACATGTACACCGTGAGCTCTGAGCTTAGCACAAATACACCACACACTTCCAAAATCCTACACTTTAGGCCTTTAGGTTCATACATTGATGGTCTCCAAGTTGAAGCTGAGATACCCCTGATGACATCACTATGACATCACCAGGGTTATTTCTCAGGCTAGCACTGCTGATGCTTTGGAAACACACAGATGAAGACAATAAGAGTATATATTGATGTAACAAACACATTAAGCATAAAAGAGGACATTCTCTTGCCTGCTGCAAGGTCACACATGGAGCCGAGAAAAGGATTCAGAAATCTGTTCTGTTCTACTCTTATCTTTATCTGATGTATCTGTCTGACCTTTTTTATTCCTTGACTGACCTTTTACATGGCTATCGTAAACCCAAAGACCAACTGTAAGTTAACCCCCCTTCACACATTAGCAACTTCACTGATTTATTACCAAATATGCAATTGGCTGGGTTTATATCATTGTGCAGCAGCAGAATTACACCTTGCATTAGTTATGTAGTTTCAGGTTTGGCATCATATGTATGCAGACATCACAACATGAGATAGAATGAGAGTTTACCACTTCATTGCACACCCTCAGCAGGTAGGGCTGGGTATTGTTTGAAATGTAGCTAAACTTATGCTTAGGGCTGCAACAGTTATCTGACTAATCTAATGAGTAAGTAAAATAATTGGTAACTATTTGTTTCAGTCATTTTTAAGCACAAACATTCACAGTTTCAGCCCTTCCAATGTGATATTTGAGGAGCCAAAACAAAACAAGCATATTCAAGACATTCCCCAGAACTAGAAATTGTGAAGGCAATTTATTTACATTTCATAGATTAAATGATTCTTCAGCTTCATTGCGCAAATAATCAGCAGATTTATCCATAAATTAATTAAAATTAAACAAGATTATCGATCTGACTAGCCATCATTTGTGCGCTACCTTGGACAAAAGCCAAATGAATAAATGTGCACAAAGTTGCACCTTTTTACTCCACTAAAAATCTTTTGTGTGTTAAACACTCAGCCCAGTAGGCTTTAAAGAGCCTGCTCCTTCACAGAGGACAGCAGCTGCTGTCAGCTGGGATTGTAAATGTAAATTCACACACATTCATACAATTCGGGGTTCGGTATCTTGCCCAAGGACACTTTGACATGCAACCAGGGATTGAACCGCCGACCTTCCGATTAACGGCCAACCCGCTCTACCTCCTGAGCCACAGCCACCCCTGTTTCACAGCAGTTATAATAGATCCCATGGGAGATCCAGAGTCACAGCAAAATTTTCCAAACTCAGTTTCTCCACAACAAAGCTAAATACACTACGTCTGTGTGGCTATGTGCTCTTCACCGCATTGCTCCAAAGCTCCACTAGAAGTATTTTTTTTTTTTAAGTCAGGTGAGTTTTAGTTATATCATGTCGTCTGTAAAGCATACACACCCGCGTTTCTACACGGTTCTATAGATGGTTTGATGCTTCTCATTGCTTAAAATCCATTCTAACTGCTGTGAATTCATGCTAATTACAGCTGTGCTCCTCTGTGAAGGATCAAGCTACAAACTGCCCAGAGCCACCTGGCAACATTACAGGGGATGATGGTTAAATACTAAGGTAGACTTTCAGTGGACTTTTGCTCTAACACTGGACCATGATTTGTGAGTTTTTTAGGCGGTCCAGTCTAAAGAATGTGTCAGACCTGTTTGTGATGGGAGGGGCTTTGATCCTGGAGTCGACAGTGCTTCTCCGTTGGCTGGAGAGAGAAGGTTACTGGCCACTAGGAATGACTGGCATCTCAATGGGCGGATATGTGAGTCACCAAAACAGCACACATTCTGCCATTTTGTTTATTGAAGCAGTTTTACAACACGTACAGGTTGGTCCAATATAATACTAAAACCTACCATTTGTCCCTTTGTGTCCAGATGGCGTCCCTGGCGGTGACTAACTGGCCGAAGCCCATCCCTCTGATTCCCTGTTTGTCCTGGTCCACTGCCTCTAGTGTCTTCACCACGGTAACACACTCTTTCTGCCTGACAGATCAAGGAGACATTCAGTGTTTTTCTCTCCTAACTGGTTGATGATTAGAAAACTTTGTTTTATTGGAAATTTGTGTTACAGCACATAGACACAGGGACACATCACAAAAACTACATACAACAAATCACAACAACGCACTAAATCAGTCATCTTCCCCCTTACTGAGAGGTACAGGTGCACAAAGCATTGACAGTAGGACACTGGATTACAAGTAAACTGTGGTAGTGCCAGTCCCCCCCACTTCCTTCTGTCTTCTTATATATGATTTTCTAATCTTCTGAACTTTTTTGTTCTAAATAAAGGAAGAGATGCATTTATGTAAAATAGATGTTTGTAATAAACACAGGAGGACAGTCTGAAACAGGAACAGGTACAGTGTTCATCTTGACAGAATGTATCCTTCCTGCTAGTGAGATAGGAAGCAGTGATCATTGGTTTAAATCTTGTTTGACTTTCTCTAATGCTGGCAGCCTATTGCATTTGAGCACGACCTTATATTTACACGTAACCCGAGTAATTGAATTTGTCTTGGTCAACATTGAATTGTTTTTTTTATTTTATTATTTTCCCAAATTTAGATGGAATGTCCAGGGCCGTGGGGATGGATGTGTCAGGTTCAGAAATATAAAGCAGAATAAGGTCATCTGCATACATGATAATTTATGGATGTAGCCACTACAGTGTGACACAGGAATGGATTTTCACTTTTTCCAGTCCTGGAAGAATGACCCATCCCGTTAAAAATAAAATGAAATAAAAAAAGGAAATATGAAATATAGGAGGAGAAGTCATTGCAAAGGCTCTACTTAAGATCTTATAATCATTTGAGAGGAAACTTATAGGCCAACAGGAGTCACATTTCAAACAATTCTGGTCCTTTTATGTAAGACTGAAATTATGGCTTGTGTCGTGTGTGGCAATAACTTCTCCATGTACATCTCTCAATATGCAGGTGAGAATGTTTAATAAAACTAAATGGGAAACCATCAGGTCCGGGGCTTTTGCATTCCTTTAATTGCTTGTTCAGTTTCCCCAGCTGATGTAGGCCGTTCAAGATTTTCTTTATCCTTTTGGCTAATGCTTGGTTATTGCACTGCTTTTAGTGCTACATTATCCTTTTTCCGTTGTTTATAATTATGCTGGAAGACTGTGTTTTTGCTTGAATAAATGAAGTTTGGTGAAGCGCTCAGCCTAATATAAACTTTTAAACACTAAAAGGTCTGCATTTCTTCTTAATTTTTTAGATTGTGGGATCAACTCATTTTGTTATTCAATTTCTTTTATATTTATAAAAAAAGTTCTTCTCCGAGATGGAAAATGCTCCAACTTAGCATAATGGTGCACTCTTATTCATAGTGAAGCAATCTAAAAAAAACATGAAAGAACAGGTTCACATTTTCTCAAGTGTGTCCTCAAACTCTCATGTCCATCCGAGTTATTGGTTGATGTAATGTCAAGACATAGGTAGTACTGCTCAAATGATTTGTTTCTAGGTCTAGGGGATTTAATTACCACAAAGTCTTTTGACTGTACTGGCTACTAACAGGCCTCACAGACTAGAAAATGTCTTCAGTTCTCAGTCAACAAGAAAAGAATGCAGGTGCGCCGCTGCCGGCCCCCAAAACCCAAATGAGCTTGCCTAACTTATCTTGCTGAACATTTTTGGCCACTTGTCTGTGCAGCTGGGCCACACATTTTCGTAAACAACCATCACACGTTTTGTTGATCTGATTCTATTCAATTCCGTCCAGAGGCGTTTTGGTGTGCGCCTTCTGATAACGACCCTTGGAAATCAAAAATGATCTAAGAGGTTTCAGCAATCCCCAGCTAGAAACTTGGTACTAAAAGACTGTAATGTTGGGAGACAGATTTATTTAACTCAAACTGCTGAAGCCTCATAATTGCATTTTTGCACGCTCACATTGAGATAAGTTGAGGAAGGGATCTCTTCATGGCCAGTGTGGACCGGAGGGACAACTATTGCTGTGTGAATGTTGTTTTAAGATAGGCTTGGAAAAACATGAACCTGTTCTTTAATGTTCAATGGAATTGGTTCAAATGCAACCGTGTGTGTGCAGGGAGTGCTGAGTAAAGCAGTGAACTGGACAGAGCTGGAGAAGCAGTATGCCATTAACTCAGTGTTTGAAGAGGAAATCATTAATCTGTTGGAGTACTGTGGGGTATGTTATCCTTCAAATTTTCATTTACTCATACTGTCACATAGTAATTTTTCTGTGGTGTTCCAATTTATCATAAGAACCAGTGCAGCCAAGGTTACAGTTTGCTTGGTGTGACAAGAATTTTAGATAAGTTAGTATAAATGTGGAAAGTGTTGGAACTGAATCCGTACGTTGTGTAATAAATTGAACAATCACAGAAAATTTAAAATTGTATCTGTATTTTGGTCTGTGTCCACATCTATCAGGCGGATTCCTTTAAGATGGGTCCAGAACTTGTGAAGAATACAGACACTCTAGAGCATCTGCTGGGCCTGTCTGAAGTTGACAAAGCGTCACTGGGTCAGAACTCCAAAGCTGGAGGGAAAGCTGAGGCTGGGCGAGGCCTGTTGATTGGTGGAGGCCCTGAAGGTGCCGGGGCTGGAGACAGGCTAGACCAATTCTTATCAGTGAACAGCAGTGGGACGAGCTTGGGCACTCTTCCAAGGTAATCGGTTATTGTGGCTAAAAGTGTTCATATTTGTAATATCCACTTCTGCTCAAAAATGCATTTTTTGATTTGTTTCTACATATAGGTGAAACTCGAAAAATTAGCATATCGTGCAAAAGTTCATTTATTTCAGTAATTCAACTTAAAAGGTGAAACTAATATACACTCACCTAAAGGATTATTAGGAACACCTGTTCAATTTCTCATTAATGCAATTATCTAATCAACCAATCACATGGCAGTTGCATCAATGCAATTAGGGGTGTGGTCCTGGTCAAGACAATCTCCTGAACTCCAAACTGAATGTCAGAATGGGAAAGAAAGGTGATTTAAGCAATTTTGAGCGCGGCATGGTTGTTGGTGCCAGACGGGCCGGTCTGAGTATTTCACAATCTGCTCAGTTACTGGGATTTTCACGCACAACCATTTCTAGGGTTTACAAAGAATGGTGTGAAAAGGGAAAAACATCCAGTATGCGGCAGTCCTGTGGGCGAAAATGCCTCGTTGATGCTAGAGATCAGAGGAGAATGGGCCGACTGATTCAAGCTGATAGAAGAGCAACTTTGACTGAAATAACCACTCGTTACAACCGAGGTATGCAGCAAAGCATTTGTGAAGCCACAACACGCACAACCTTGAGGCGGATGGGCTACAACAGCGCACACTTTAGGCCCCTTAGTGCCAATTGGGCATGGTTTAAATGCCACGGCCTACCTGAGCATTGTTTCTGACCATGTCCATCCCTTTATGGCCACTATGTACCCGTCCTCTGATGGCTACTTCCAGCAGGATAATGCACCATGTCACAAAGCTCCAGTCATTTCAAATTGGTTTCTTGAACATGACAATGAGTTCACTGTACTAAAATGGCCCCCACAGTCACCAGATCTCAACCCAATAGAGCATCTTTGGGATGTGGTGGAACGGGAGCTTCGTGCCCTGGATGTGCATCCCACAAATCTCCATCAACTGCAAGATGCTATCCTATCAATATGGGCCAACATTTCTAAAGAATGCTTTCAGCACCTTGTTGAATCAATGCCACGTAGAATTAAGGCAGTTCTGAAGGCGAAAGGGGGTCAAACACAGTATTAGTATGGTAGATATTTCAAGCCTTTATTTTATATAATTTCGATAATTATTGCGTACAGCTTATGAAAACCCCAAATTCAAAATCTCAGAAAATTAGAATATTAAATGAAATTAAAAAAAAGGATTTTAAATACAGAAATGTCAGCCCTCTGAAAAGTATAATCATGCATATGTACTCAGTACTTGGTTTGGGCCCCTTTTGCATGAATTACTGCCTCAATGCGGCCTGGCATGGATGCTATCAGCCTGTGGCACTGCTGAGGTGTTATGGAAGACCAGGATGCTTCAATAGCAGCCTTCAGCTCTTCTGCTTTGTTCGGTCTCATGTCTTTCATCTTTCTCTCGGCAATGCCCCATAGATTCTCTACGGGGTTCAGGTCAGGCCAGTTTGCTGGCCAATCAAGCACAGTAATCCCATAGTCATTGAACCAGGTTTTGGTACTTTTGGCAGTGTGGGCAGGTGCCAAGTCCTGCTGGAAAATGAAGTCAGCATCTCCATAAAGCTCGTCTGCTGAAGGAAGCATAAAGTGCTCTAAAATGTCCTGGTAGACGGCCGCGCTGACTCTGGACTTAATAAAGCACAGTGGACCAACACCAGCAGATGACATGGCTCCCCAAACCAACACAGACTGTGGAAACTTCACACTGGACTTCAAGCATCTTGGATTGTGTGCCTCTCCGTTCTTCCTCCAGACTCTGGGACCTTGGTTTCCAAATGAGATGCAAAATTTACTCTCATCAGAAAAGAGGACGACTGAGAAACAGACCAGTTCAGGTAAGACGCTTCTGACGTTGTTTGTTGACAAGAGGAATACGACATTTGAAGCCCATGTCCAGGACCCGTCTGTGTGTGGTGGCTCTTGATGCAGTAACTCCAGCCTCAGTCCGCTCCTTGTGAAGCTCCCCCACACATTTGAATGGCCTTTTCCTGACAATCCTCTCCAGGCTACGGTCATCCCTGCTGCTTGTGCACCTTTTTCTTCCACACTTTTCCCTTCCACTTAACTTTCTATTAATGTGCACTTTGAGAACATCCAACTTCTTTTGGAATTACCTTTTGAGGCTTTCCCTCCTTGTGGAGGGTGTCAATGATGGTTTTCTGCACAGCTGTCAGGTCAGCAGTCTTCCCCATGATTGTGAATTCCACTGAACCAGACTGAGAGACCAATTAAAGGCTCAGGAACCCTTTGCAGGTGTTTTGGATTAATTAGCTGATTAGAGTGGGACACTTTGAGCCTACAATACTGAACCTTTTCACAATATTCTAATTTTCTGAGATTTTGAATTTGGGGTTTTCATAAGCTGCACGCAATAATCATCAAAATTATATCAAATAAAGGCTTGAAATATCTCACTTTGCATGTAATGAGTCTATATAATATTTTAGTTTAACCCTTTAAGTTGAATTACTGAAATAAATGGACTTTTGCACGATATGCTAATTTTTCGAGTTTCACCTTCTATCATAGAACATAGGTGATCTATACACAAACCAAAAACATCCAAACCTAGACAGTGTAGTTTAACTATAAGGCAAGTCAGCAGTATCCAAAGCCTCAGAAAGATACACACAATGTGGTTTCTTGTCCAGCAAATTTATGATATCATTTAGTACAACTGTAGTGTTAAACTTGACTGCAGACTGATTTGCAATTGTCTGTACAAACCTGTATGGGCAACTTTGGATATGATATTTTGTTGACTAACACTAAATCTTTGTTTTAAAAACCATACTATGCAGGAAGTAAACAAGCAGTTAGTTTTAGTCATTTTGTTTTGTTTAACTGATTTGTTTTTATTTTCAGGGTCTTCCTGTTACTTACAGCTTCAGTAAGACAGTTTTGTCATTTAGGTTTCATCTAAAATCTTTTATTTTTCAGAAGCCTTCATGCAAACAACACACTGCATGGGAAGAAGACCGATTCAGGCAAATGCTGTCGGCCATCATTACATAGAGAATCAATAAGCTTCATGAAGGGAGTGATGGATGAATGTACACACATGGCCAACTTCTCTGGTAAGTTTCATAGATCAGACAACAGATTTACAGGACAGAGGAAAGAAAAAATCTTAATACTTACAGATGGTGGATAAAAAAACAGACATCCAAAGAGCTCCAAACTAATTTTACTAAAGCAGTGTTTCAATTATACAGAGCTTTCAGGCAAACAATGAAGGTGCTTTCAGGCGAGGGGCAGTTGTTGCCGTGGCTCAGTGATGCTACCTCAGATCCTGCCTGTACACCACAGGCTGCTGTTTATCCACCACGTTACTCATTGTTTAAACAGAGATAATGTTAAGCAATATCACAAAATAAATATAGCAGGTTTTGCCAACAAGTATCATAAATGTTGTTTACTGTCCCAGACCAGATAATCAGAGTTTAAAGCTGATGTTGCTCCAATACCATTTCTCTGCATCGATCTGTCTGGTTTCTGCTGGTGTAATTCAGGAAATTCCGACACCAGTAAAATCAGCTCCCTTATCGATTCCTGCCATGGCTGTGAAAGCTGAAAAAGTTGAACCATCATAAACTCTGAATACAGCGTCAAAGAGCGGTACATGTTCATGACAGCAGCAGCAGCAAGTAAAGGGAGGGGGCTGAGATGACCTTGGCTGCCATCTTGTTAACTTTGAAAAAAGTGGAAGCTGTCTGAAGGAACATTACATGTGGCAGGCTCTATAATTACAGGTCATACACATAGTATTTCTCCACCTCCACAATAAGACTCATTCTTCCTTGACCTACAGGGATTCACCAGTGTCCAAATAAGGTTACTCTACCCCAATAAATTCCTTCACAATAGTAATTGTAGTCTACAGTTATAATCTACATTATTTTAAACCAACATCACAGAAATTAGATTAATACGGAGAGAGTCTATCTTATTTTTGACATGTACACAGTAACTATGGGAAATATAGTCTTGGCAATTCCACACCATTTTGATATTGTTGTAATTAAAGGCGGTGGTGAAGCCTTAAGTGGTCCTTTCTCCCATCTGACAACATGTTCTTTGTTTTTTTTCGCAGCCTTTGCCATGATATCCATACTGAGAATACCGAGCTAGCTTCTTCCTATAGCTAGCTTGCTGAAGAGTGATGTTGGTGTGTGACGTGGTGCCGTAAATAGGGTTAGGTAGTTTCCGGCCCAAGATTCCAGCGTTACATAGTGCAATACCAGGTGCTCCGGGCCCAGAGTGGCAATGACAGAGACGCCATTCACCCTATTACAAGTCAGTGTACCATCAAAAGGATTTTGAAGCTGTTATTTTAGATAAAATTACATGACTACATAATGTTGCTTTAAGTCACAATGACCAACAGAAGTTAGGGTCCGATGACCAAACTGAAAATACCATGAGTTATGCTCAGAATACAATGACGATGTCCTCTGATGTTTCTCCTCTCTTTACTCAGCTTTTTCCTTTACCTTGTGCCCCGTCTGTATGTCCCAGTGGCAGCATGTACACACAAATAAATGGTATATGTCCTTCCATCTGTCCTAGTCCCTGTAGACACCAGTCTTATCATCGTGGTCCAGGCCAAAGAGGATGCCTACATTCCTCGGACAGGGGTCCTCAGCCTGCCGGAGATCTGGCCAGGATGTGAAGTCAGATATCTGAATGGAGGACACGTCAGTGCATACCTGTTTAAACAGAACATCTTCAGGTAAAATACTGACTCAAAGAAGTGAGGCATGCCTAGTTAAACAATCTGTCAGTATTTACCTAGTGCCACACATCATGTTTGGCTCCTTAGTGGTATGACTTCTGATGTACTGCTATTTTAAGGTTAAGGTTCAGCTTTATTGTCATTATACAATGCAGGGTTGCACAATGAAATGCAGGTGCAGCTGCTCCATGCTACACACAGAAAATGTATAAACAGATATTTGTAGGAGTAAATGGTAAGGACAATGACAATGCTTTGCCTGTCACTGTCACATACCGTCGCAGGAAAGTATGTGAACCCTTTGGAATTACCTGGATTTCTGCATAAATTGGTCTTAAAATGTGATCTGATCTTCACAACAAGTCACAACAATAGACAAACACAGTCTGCTTAAACTAATACCACACAAACAATTATATGCTTGCATGTTTTTATTGAACACACCATGTAAACATTCACAGTGCAGGGTGGACAAAATATGCGAACCCCTTGGTCAGGGGTCAGCAAATAAGTCTGGCATCGGTAGACAAACAGTCTATTCAAATCTAATTCAAATCTTTTCTAATCAATTGCTTTGTTTGCGGCAAAAACAAATTATAGCGGCTGGTGCTTAATTGAGAGCTATTACTTTGAAAGGTTCTGAAGGAAATTCAAAAGAGATTCTGGCTTGCTTGACACACCGCTGAAAAAGCGTCAGAAAACTTGAGATTGAATTCCCCTGAATGAGAAAAGCAGGAATTTCCTCTGCCTCCAGATACTGGGGAAATTAAAATAAGCATCCATAAGTAGATGTGGACCAATTGCCGTGAGGCACACACTCCTGCACATGGTTAATTGTGAACATGTAAATCGATCTCTTCATATTCAATTTGTTGAAAGGGAGAAAAGTAATACAAGCAGCAACATTTGGTAACCAAATAGCTCCCCCAAGTGTGTGACTGTGTGAATGACTACTTTCTGTTTCAAAAGTTCAAAAGTTCATTTATTTCAGTAATTCAACTTAAAAAGTGAAACTAATATATTATATAGACTCATTACATACAAAGTGAGATATTTCAAGCCTTATTTCGATGATTATTACGTACAGCTTATGAAAACCCCAAATTCAAAATCTCAGAAAATTACATGAAATCAATAAAAAAAAGGATTTTAAATACAGAAATGTCAGCACTCTGAAAAGTATAATCATGCATATGTACTCAGTACTTGGTTTGTCAATTAAGAACAGGGATACCATGGTCCTTAAACCAGGTACTGGTAGCTTTGGCACTGTGTGCAGGTGCCAAGTCCTGTTGGAAAATGAAATCTGCATCTCCATAAAGTTGGTCAACAACAGGAAGCATGAAGTGCTCTAAAACTTCCTGGTAGACGGCTGCGTTGACCTTGGACCTCAGAAAACACAGTGGACCAACACCAGCAGATGACATGGCACCCCAAACCATCACTGACTGTGGAAACTTTACACTGGACTTCAAGCAACGTGGATTCTGTGCCTCTCCTCTCTTCCTCCAGACTCTGGGACCTTGATTTCCAAAGGAAATGCAAAATTTACTTTCATCAGATACCATAACTTTGGAACACTCAGCAGCAGTCCAGTCCTTTTTGTCTTTAGCCCAGGCGAGACGCTTCTGACGCTGTGTCTTGCTCAAGAGTGTCTTGACACAAGGAATGCGACAGCTGAAACCCATGTCTTGCATACGTCTGTGCGTGGTAGTTCTTGAAGCACTGACTCCAGCTGCAGTCCACTCTTTGTGAATCTCCCCCCCATTTTTGAATGGGTTTTGTTTCACAATCCTCTCCAGGGCGCGGTTATCCCTATTGCTTGGACTTTTTTCCATTATGTATTTGGGGAGTTCTTAGCAGAGGTTTCCTTTGTTAAAGTCACAGAGAACAATAACAAGGGAGTCCGGGTTTGTCTGCTCCACACACAGTGTCTGGTCGGCCAGCATGCGCTGTGCGTCGTGCACGTTGGCGTGTGGCGAGATGTAAACACCGACCAGAATGAATGAAGCAAACTCACGGGGGGAGTACAGTTTACAGTTAATGATAAAATATTCCAGATTAGGAGAACAGTGCTGCTGAATCACTGTCACGTCGGTACACCAGCCATCGTTAATATAAAAACCTCCACCTTTTGTTTTGCCAGAGAGTTCTGTGAGAGTTCTGGTCCACTCTGTACAGTTGGAAGCCAGCTAGCTGCTGTGCAGTGTCCACTATCAACTCACACAGCCAGGTCTCCGTGAAGCACAGAACAGAAGATGAATAAAAGTGTGTCTTTCCCCACCAGAAGTTGAAGTTCATCCAGTTTGTTGCACAGTGAGCGCAAGTTGGAGAGAAATATTGCCGGTAGCGGTGTGCAGAGTCCCCGCTGGCGAAGACGCACGAGCAACCTGGCTCTTTTTCCTCTTCTGTGGCGCTTCACAGCCTGAACAACAGCGAGCGAGCCCTTCCCCAAAATGTCCAATAATTCCACTGATGATGTGAGAAAAGTGGGAACTAAATCCGCTGGAGTTGTTCCCCTGATGTTCATGAGCCCTTCTCTGGTGAAAGAACTCCGGGAATAACAGCCAAAAACTGAATTAAGACACAAAAACAAAACAAAACAGAGCACACCTTACACTGAGGCAGCTATACGCAGCATCTTGGATCATTGTTGTTTTAGAATTAATTGCATATCTGTTTTATTTCCAGACAGGCCATATACGATGCATTCAACAGATTCTGCCTGAAGTATCCCAACCTGCACTAGACGTCACAGACTGTAGCCCTTTTCTCCCTGGAACAGCACTACGACCTGTGGCTGGACCGTGGAAAAAGCAGCATCTGTCCACAGACCAGAAGCATCAGCATAAAGTATGGCAGTTAAGATCTCTTCTGCAGAGACATGATGGGTCTGAGCTTTACAGACTATCCTGAGATAAAGTTTTTATTCTTCACATTTCCCACTTCTAGAAAGAGAATGGTGTGTGCCCTTGTGCAACTGTAAAAGTATTAACAGTGTTGTGGGGTATTCCTGCCAGCATGTGGTTGTCAAAAAAACATTCAGTTCCTTCAGTTCCACTTTGATAAAAATCACCCCCTACACATGAGGGATTCACAGGAAACGATGCAGCATGTCATTAGATCTCATTGCTATCAGTCTCACTGTTTACTGTTCACTCCTACAGCTGTATCAGTGCTGGAAGTTACTGCTAATGCTAACCCAACATGACAGGGTGCACACCTCCAACTCCTCAGCAATGTTCCCTGCTGTGTGTGACTAAACTATTGGTGCAGTGTGCTGCAGTGTTGACTGTCTGCTTGGCTGCACTGTAAACAGATACACCAGTTGCTCTACTGTACCCAAGAGAAGTGGGAACTGATGAGGAACCTTATAACTTTTCCTCGTCTGCCTCGAGCTTGCAGCAAAATGTCCAACTTGGGAAGCCAGAGGATCTCACAGGTGTAGTATTTCCTAGAACAGCTCGGCTTTCAGTTGCTGGCTGGAGAAAAGGAAAACGCAAAATTACCTGTTTTGTATCTTTGTTATTGTTAATACTACTTACTTACTTAAAAGACAGCTTTGCTCACTGGTCCACCAGTAGTCTTTCTGTTGGACATCCTGTCTGTGAAACTAGAGGGCTGTGAGTTTTTGACAGAGACATTCTTGGACCAACATAACAAGACGCAATGAAGAATGGTAAGAGCTTGGCTTACTTAGTCCAGATGTCATGTTATGTGCTACATTTGAAAGTATTATGCTATTATGTGTTGCATACATATACTTATGCACAAAGGATGGATTATGAACATGTCTAAAAAGAACTAAAGTGTTTAAGGTTAGGACTGGTTCCCTCTTTCCTGCAGTATGTTTGCTTCAACAGAACTCACATTCTGTGTCTCCTATGAACATATGACTCATTTTCTTACTTTTTTTCTTCAACTGATAAACATTGCCTGTCTGCATCACTTTCACTGCATCCACTGATCTTCTGACTTGGGTTCCAATAGTTGCAGGGCCCAAACCCAGAACCATAGTTTTCTCAGTGATTAAATATAATCAGCACTATAGTTCTAGTAAGAACTCAGGTTGAAAGAGTGAAGCTAATCTCTCTCCGGACACGTGTGTGTCCATGTGATGAAAATGAGTTTTAAATTATAAATGCAACACTTTTGTTTTTGCCCCCATTCATTCCACACATTTTCAAGTGGCCTTTTATTGTGGCCAGCCTAAGGTACACCTGTGCAATCCCCATGCTGTCTGATCAGCGTCTTGATATGCCACACCTGTGAGGTGGATGGATTATCTCGGCAAAGGAGAAGTACTCACTAACACAGATTTAGACAGATTTGTGAACAATATTTGAGAGAAATATATCTTTTGTGTACATAGAGAAAGTCTTAGATCTTTGAGTTCAGCTCATCATGAATGGGGGCAAAAACAAAAGTGTTGCGTTTATAATTTTGTTCAGTGTATGTGTTGCTAACACTGCTGTTCATTGAGACAATGCACTATAATACAAACAAACACGATGTCGTAGATGATACGATCTCACAGTGGCAGCTGGTGTGAAAGCACCAACACAGAGAAAACACAGTCCCTCCTGCCCATCTGTTTTCACACCGCAATAAGCGAATTTGCCTTTAACAGCTGATAAGTCAGACTTGAATTTGATGCTGCTCAGTCCTGACTCACTACTTTGTTTCACGTTCTAGCTCCTTAACTACAACCCATGTGTGCTTCAACATTTTTGAATGTATGCTGTGCAGGTTTTAGATTTTGAGTTGTGAACAACAATTCTGCTTTAATTTTTGTCAAAAGTATCATTATTGCTGCCTAGTAAAGCAATTCCAGTGCAGATTGGTTGGTAACCTCTGCAGTAAGTCAGTCTCATAATTACTCTTAACAGAATTGATGCAGACTGGATGTTCACTGTGATGGATTACACAACTGAAGCACATTTATTTTCATATGGTACAGGAATGACACAGTAGCATGGTTTGGCAATAGTTTGCTGTGATGTAAAGAGTAACTGTTTTCTAGTAAATGGGCTAAAACATGTGGTCCTGTAGGAAGCTGCTGATGCTGCTCTCTGCAGCTGATTACAGTATTTAGTACACCATTTGCTAGTGGAAAGTTTTTGCCTGTAGACCAGTTTCACAGCAGACATTTTGATGTCAAAGCAGGAGCCGGCAACTGGCCAATCTAAATGGAATGTTTTGTTTTAATGGTATTGATTACACCTGGACTTTTTCTGCCGCAATCTGTCAAAAGACATGCTGTGAAAAAGGCCTATTACGCCCCATTTGGACCGGATAGACATCTCAGGGGAGGAAGGGATGACTGGGCTCCTCTGTAATTGAACACATCATTCCGGACAGCGTTTTAATCCTGGTGAAATGACAGGGTGAGACAAGTTACTGCAGGACGTGAATTTGAGTCATAAATTATCATAAACTAGTCAGATCTGAATACACAGACATGAAGCACCTATCCAATCATTCAGTGTGACTTCCACTTCCAGAGGATATCACCATCTCTGATGTCCACATCCACAATAAATATCCAGAAATCAGCGTAGAAACCAGAGACAAAAGAAGCTGCAGAACTTGCCTGAGAATCTTCATGTTTTAAGTAGCCCAGTAATCCATTGACAGCTGTCTGTACATCCAAGGGTACACTGCTAACAGGAGCTGCTAACAGCTAATTCACCTGCTTTTAATGGGGGCAGTTTGAGCAAATGTAAACAAATATCGGCTACAAGACATGACTGTTAACAGCAGCACCTGCCTGGAGCTGATACTACAGCACATCAACATGCCCCACACACATTACAATCAATGACCACCACATGGTGTTAAAATCCACCCACCTCCCCTACAGACTGAAACCCAGTCCCGATGGGGCTTTAGTCAGTGTTCTCCTTTGATTTTTGTTGTTTTGTGTTTTTGGAGTGCTTAAGAAATGTTTCCCCTTCACCCACAGTCATACTAACTGTGCCATATTGGTGTAGTTCCATTTATATGATGTTTATGTAATGTTGCTACTGAGACAGCCGACCTTTTCTGTCCTGACCTGGCTGTCTGTAGTCCACCACAGTTCCAGCAAATTCAGCTGCTTGATTTATTTTTATATCTATACATTTGTACAACTTGTGGAAGTGTTGAATGATATTATTCCTGCTTGATTCAAATATATGTTAGTAGGATCTATAACAGTTAGTGATTTTTTAATACACTAATCCAGTGGTGCTGCAGGTCCTGAACACACTGCTGTGCAAAATGTCACATCTGTAAAATGACAGTTTCTTCAAAAATAAAAGATAACTGGTAAAATTCTGTATTTTTCTTTTGTCAACTAATCCCATGATGCGCAGTGCCAAACCAACAACCGACTCCCACACACACCCTCCTGCTGCCCTGAATACTCACTAGAGCACCACAATTACATAATATAGATTCTAAATAAATTCTAGGATTTGAAGGATTTTATGGACCCTATGGGGATGATACATGTAATGTAACCCTTTAATCTCTCAACAAGGTTTTATTTGGATGATGGGAGGATTTTAGTTTGAATGTTAAAAATAATTATCAGTTCAGTAGAAAGGACCAGCTCAAAATACTGCTGAAAAATCATCATTCAGTCAATCATTTCATTATGTACGTTGTGTTTATACACCAACTCTGAGCATAGTGGATGCTTTAGAACAGCTGGAGGCCCTGTGTCCTATCAGTTTCAGTCAGCTAATTTGCAGTAGCGGTTTCTGTTCACTAGCAGCTTAAAGTACCAATAAAGAAAGTAGTGTGATGTTCATCCGATGCAAATGAAGGCTTTAGTGGTGGCTGATCATTTCACTTGGACACCAGTGACAAGGCTTATTATCCTGTCTCATGCTGGATGTCACAGAAGTCAGTCATTCTTGAGTTACCAGCAGTGGATGTTGGAGGAATCCAAGCATAAAAAACATTGAAAATGATCAGTATGAACATCTTTTTAAACTATGAATGGATTTTCAGTATACACTGTTAACATTAACAGAAAACAACAGCATATCCTTTTTTAATCACATAGCTATCCCTGCACACATGGAACAAGAGGTCTGTCACTGATTCTACTGATCCTTGATGTTTAGTATAAAAACTCATTCTGATATGTTGTTTTAAAACAATCCAGGCAAACTGTCAATGTAAAATAGTTGTACATCTATTCTTTGGAGAAAAGTTTTGTCATAAATGACCTTTTAGCTTTAGTAGTGATGTCAGCAGTGATGTGCTGCCTTGGTCACTGAAGTCACAAGGGAAACAAACATTTGGAATTGCCCCTCTCCAACCAGTCACGCCAGCTTTGCCAGCTACATCTGCCTTGCCTGCCTTTGCCCCCTCTACCCTCCACCTGAGGAGTTTCCCCTCATCCTACTTTGCTTTGCTGCTGTTGTTTAATAAACTGTTTAAACCTTCCCGAACTGTCTGCTTGCCTGCATCTGGGTGCTAGCCAAATTCCTGACAGTCTGGCCTCCTGAACAGACATCCTGAAGGGATTTCACATCTGTAACATCTGCTCTAGATACTTTCTCCTCACAGTTGAGAGAATCCTTGCTACTTAAGTGCTGAATTATGTCATTTTCCCCAACAATAAAACCATGACACTGAGCTTAGTGGATGAGATTAAAATAAAAACACATATTAAAGCTTTCCACTACTCAGATGTGTCCGTGGCCACACCTTGTGCTGGTTCACAGTTAAATATCTGTCCAGAAAACTACAATTTGTAAATTGTGAGTTCTTTGCATTCTGCTTTAAATATATTCCCCATCAAGACTGGTTAACAGTTTTTATCACTACAATTTTAAAAAGTCTGCTCAACACATTAATTCAACTTTGACTAAAATCTTGTTTAGTTGTCACGTAACAATACTCACCACAGGGTGCCTGGCAGTACTTGTATATAAAAAGGCTCAATGAAGTGTTTGGGGCTGCAGTTATTCAATTCAAATAAATTCTTTACCCACTCATACTCAGTCCAAACGCCAATGATGTCTGTTTCCATTGCCCATCTTTGAAAAAATATCCATTTACAGGAGCAGTTTTAGAAGGAAAAAAACAGAAAGCCAAAATATTCTGAAAAACATAACCCAGATGTACATCTAAATGACAGCACATTTTTACATTTTAGGTAGTAAAAGTTTTCCACTTACAACACTGTGGTGAAAGATCTTGCTGCTTTTGTTTGTTTATTACAGGTTCAAACATCCAAGTCACAAGTTCTACATGTGCCATGTTGTGCTCATCACAAACAGTGAAACAGAAACAGACAGCTGTTTTAAAGAGCATTAAATATAGCTCTAGTTTCAGATTTCAAGATGAGGTTGTTGAGCAGATCCTGACTAAATCTTTGAGGTCCGGTTACACTATGGATGCTGTAATGCTCCTTTGTTTGATCTGAGATGTGCGGGTCATACACTCCACTGATATGTAGATCAGAACTAATTCATGAGGAGAGTTTGGCCTTTGAGGACTCTGTAATGTCTTTTGCTGGTTACCTAACATTGACTGTGGCTAACTCTGTCCCACAGAATACATTCTCCTGCTGAGGACCATCTGACTATGTGTCGGTGTTCAACTGTGCATTAGAAATAATAAATGCACGAAAAATAAATCCTGTTGTTTTGACTTTTTTCAATTATTTCTGTTTTTTCATTATTGAAGCAATGTTTCTGTATTTTTTGTATTTATAAAATAATGTTCAGCCTGTAATAATGAAATGTATCTGCAAATACCATGCCATTCGTCACTCACAGACAAAATGCACAGTTTTTCACTGGTACAAAAGAAGAATGAAGTGTAACAATAACCCTTAAAGCAGAGGGCAGAATAAAAGGGATACCATGTGATGAAAATACTTGATCTTACCAGTTACCATCTGAGGTAACAATTACTGATCCAGAGGAAAAAGGCTACAAAGTGTGAAAGAGGCTCATCGAAATACACATATTAGTGCCACTTTAGGAAGGACCAATTTAGGAAAAAACTGTAGAAATAAGGCTGATCTTATTCTATATTTTACTTTATGGTAACTTTAAATCCGTTGTGCAGACCCAAACTAACAATGTCTCAGTTTGTCTCTGACTACTGTGTGTTTTCCCTGCCCTGTCTGTGGCCGTTGGT